GCTCTTGATTTCAAGTTGCAGGTATTCGAAACACAGACGAAGGTATTAATCTATTTTATGTCGCCTGCCTCAGGCTCATCATCGATCTTGGCCAGCCCTTGTTCCCGCAGCAGAGCATCGATCTCATCTGCGCTCCAAAGGTGATGGTAGATCTTGCCATCCTTGGTTTTACCCACCGTTGCGAATTCGACTGCGTAGCGCGAAAGGGCGGGTCAGCTTCTTGCAAGCGATGAAGATTGTCAAATAGGAAGGGGGGATGTCTTCGGAAGATACTTACTTTTCTCACTGCTGAGCTTTGTCGAATCCATCGTCTTGCTCAGCACCTTGACGGCCATGGCGCAAGCCTCCTGCAACGTGGAGTCTTCCTTGTAATCTTGCTTAAGCAGACTCTGTGCGCTGGCATTGTTTGCACCAACGCTTGTCGCCTTCCAGCCACCGTAATTGCCACTTGGGTTGCTCTGGTACAGCTGGAACTGACGAAGGTGATCCCATCCAGCGTAGATGAAGGAGACACCGAAAGGACGGAGACCACCGTGCTGAGTATATCCTTGCTTCAAGTCACACAGTCGGCGCACGAGCTGCTCGCAGGGAATGTCTTCGTTGTAGGTGATGAGGTAACGTTGGGCATTTTGACGGGCGTAATTGATAAGGATGTTGGCATCGGCGTTCATACCAGCAACTGCGCAAATCATGTTACTGCAGGGGGAAGTTAGCTAAACGATACAAAAGAAGCACAAGCCTCAAAGGCTGCGGTGATGACCAGGGAGTTCCGATCGACGCACTCGTTGATTGTGTAGAGCTTCTCGGCGGAGGTATCCTGCTCCAGGAGCTTGCTGGTCACCTTCCTCTCGGCAGCGAGAACAATGCCATCTTTGGCTAGAATGCCGAGGGCAGTGCCCGCATGGGAAATTGCCTCAAGTGCATATTCGACCTGGTACAAGCGACCCTCGGGGGAGAAGATAGTGGTCTATCGAACGTCGTCTTAAGTTAGCTGGAGCTCTAGCGACCGAATGGCGGGGGCCGACTAACCCGTGAATCATATCGGCGAGACATGACGTATACAATGCAGATGTAGAAAAGGACAAAAAGCGGTAGTCAAGTTGAACGAGGTCGTGAAGAAAGAGAGGGGATGGATGGAGGTGGTTAAGTTGACGGGTGACGGTGACGGTGAGCTTCAACAAGTGCAAGTCCAGGCACTCGCCCTGCGCGTCCTTTGGCTCTGTCATCCGCCAAGCTCGGACCACCTCACTACACCAAAGCTTCGCCGCGGCTTTGCGCTTCTACATTTGAGCATTGCGCCACGGGGTTCGCCTCTTCTTGATAGTCTTTTTTTTGGAACATTTTGTCTATCATTTGGAGATGCTGAAGTCTACATATAGCGCGCTTCCTCTGCCCCCTGGGTGGACGGAGCATCGGGCGCCTGCTGGTTGGTGCACATCTTTTGGTTAACATTGAAGATTCTGGCTAACCAGAAACTCATAGGTCATCTGTACTACTACAATTCGGCTACAAAGCAGTCGACATACACAAGGCCTCAAGTGTCATCGCCTGCCCCTCTACCTGCACTGGCTGTCCCCGAACCGTCTCAACCACTCCCCTACTATGCGCCAGAAACTTTACCACCATTTTCCTCTACGGCATATGGCCCAGCAGGGTACAGGCCTGACGGTTCACAGCAAAGTGAGCCCCATCATGGGCATGGTCGAGGTGGATTCCGAGGAGGAAAGGGTTATCAGGATCGCGGACGTCGTGAACCTCAGGATAGACCCAAGTCAAAACACCCTATACCAGATTGCGCGCCTTGGGTACTCGTGAAAACCAAACTGAAAAGACGCTTCGTATATAACCCCGAAACCAACGAAAGCCTTTGGAAGTTTCCACAGGAGGTATTGAAAGGCGTCGTCGAATATGATCGTCTGGAACGCGAGAAGAAAGAGAGAAAAGAGCGGGGCGAAGAACCCGAGGAGGAGCTTTCCAAAGATACTGTCTCAAAAGAGACGACACACCAACCAGAGAAGGCTAGTGAAGCTCCCGCTCAGGTTCATTTGGCCTCCGAACATTTAGGAGGGCCCGAAGATAGCGACGAGTATGAAGAGGTCGAAGTTACAGATAGCGAGTATGAGGGCGAGGGGCAGCCATCGAAACGAGCACGGACTGAGAGCGAGGTTCCCGACAACAAGCCGGTGGAATTCACCGAGGAGGACATGGCTTATCAACTTGAGACAATGGGAGAAGACTATGGTCTTGACCCAGAGGAATACGGCGAACATGGGGAAGAGGACTGGGAGGACGGTGCCCAAGGCCTTGAATTGACCGACGCTGATGCCGAAGCCCTCTTCCGCGATCTTCTCGATGACTACAACATCAATCCTTTCACGATTTGGGAGAATATCGTTGAGGAGGGACGGATCATCGAAGATTCTCGATATACCGCACCTGGAAACATGAAAAGTCGACGTGAGATATTCTCAAGATGGAGCAGTGACCGAATCAAAGATGTCAAAGAGCGCAAAGCAAAACAAGAAAAGCAAGATCCACGCATCCAATACTTGGCATTTCTACAGGAATACGCTACACCCAAACTCTATTGGCCTGAATTCAAACGCAAATATCGCAAAGACCCAGCGATGAAGGATTCGCAACTGCATGATAAGGACCGCGAGAAGTTTTATCGCGACTACATCTCTCGTCTCAAGCTTTCTGAGAGCACTCGAAAATCGGACCTTTCTGCTCTTCTCAAATCGGTGCCTGTCCACGCTCTGAATCGGTCGTCGAATCTCGAAGCTCTCCCAACAATGATTATAACGGATATTCGATACATTGCACTTCCTGCTAAAACCAGGAACCCGCTAGTTGAAGCATTTATCTCTACTTTACCGCCAGCACCAGAGGTACAGCTGACAGCTGAAGAACAGGAGGAACACGATCGAAAACAAAGGGAGCGGGAGAAGCGTGAAAGGGCCCTTGCAGAGAGAGAAAAACAAGTTGAGGATGATAAACGAAGGCAACGTGGGGATCTTCTTCGCGGCAAACATCTTCTACGGGAAGGTGAAGCACAAATAGCAGAGGCTATGCAAGTCCGCAAGGATGGATTGCGCAGTCATATGGAGGTCGATGATATGCCGGCCGAAGCTGAAGAAAAGCCAAGCCAATAATACCAGACACCGACCTTGCGAATATATTCAATGCGACACTCATCAGGTGTTTCTCCATGGATGGGTCATGAAATGGGTTGTTTGAAGCTCTCACATGCGGAGGTGACTACCTAGCTAGGTCAGGTCATAAAGTAACAGATATCTGGTTATTCTATCGCAATATATCATTTCAATTTCCAAGGGTATCATCGTAGATTAGAGGAGGCCTGATCTCCATTTTTGTAAATCGTCATTTTTCCCATGAGATAATCATTTGAATCTCCAGTCGTCCCAATCTTCATCATCCTCGTCGCTGTCACTCTCCTCCGCTTCTCTTTGTTCTTCGGTCGTCATTGGCTGGTCTCGTGCGCCATCCCGAGCACGTTTCTCTCGAAGTTCCTCTCGCATTTGTTTCAACTTCCGCACTCGTTCCTCGAGCTGATCCATTTCATCGAATTCCTCTTCCATGAACCGAGCCGCATCCTCACGCTCGCCCTCCAATTCTGCTTCTCTCGCGTTCTTTGTTGATGCCGCCTCTCGTTCCTGCTGTGCGGCCAGCTCCTCGTTGGTTACCGGGGCTGCGGAAATGGTGGCTTCTGCGGCAAGGGCAGCCGGTGCCTGTGGAAGTCGCGTCGGTGCCGCGACTTCGCGTTCAAACGCGGCCCACTCGTCCTCGTCGACTGTGTGAGAAGCTTGCGTAGCGTCGGCGGTTGCCGTCGGTTGCACAGTCGGTAGAATAGTATCTTGGTTGGATTCGTGTGGTAGCTCCGGTCCAGCGGTGTCCACCTCGTCTTCTTCCTCCAAGACCTCGTCAGAACTAGCATCCTCGGCACTCGGCGACTCAGCATTCTGTGCTTTGGCGACGGCTTCCACTGTCTCCAGGTCGGTCGACCGCAGCTTCTTCCGCATTACACCATCGCCATTGTCGACCTTGCGCTTTTTGCTGACTCGGTTTCCGGTGGTATTGGGTGATGAGCCCTTGCGCGAAGCTAATTCATTCCGGAGAAGCGACCGAACGTCGGCCATGATTCAAGAGAGATGATGGTATAAGATCGGCCGGGGAAATTTAGAGGACGAGCACAAAGTTCGGTGGACCGGGGAAGAAAGTTGAGTTGGAATTCAAACTATGTAGTTTCAGGTTGATTCAAAAGTGGATTTTGCCTCGGTGGAGACCTCAAGGTAAGGTATCGCCCGCCTCATCGCGAATTCCAAGATACTGATCATGTGATCCACTTACATAATAATCTCAGAACTCCCCTTGGCTGGTCACACAACTCCCTCTCATCAATCCTTCATCCATCTCCGCCTTCTCTCACTCGCCCATATCACCGGAGGAGCCATTAAGGATACCTCGACGAGCCATCGCTCATCCCATCTTTAAACCCACAAAGTGTTCGCGTCTGAAACATCACGCGACCCCGCTTTTCGCTCGGCGCAAGTGACGCGCAAGGGATCGCACATCTCTCAAAACACGACCCAGGCGCATTACTTGCCACTCTACACCTGTGCAAGAGTATCAGCACTCGGTTTGGAAGCGGCGACTCTGGTGATCAAGTAATACTCTGGACCAGGCACCTGGCAGCAGCGTCTTCTCTTCTGTATCGCTCTTTTTTCTTTTTCTTTTCCTAGCCCTTTGAGCCCGTAGAGACCGTTGTGGTCGCTGGTCAGGCGCATATCGTCGCTTTTGAGCAATCGCAGATTTTCTTCTTCATTGCGCTGTAGCACACTTCGGTGTTCATTTATCTCCCATGGCTGGTAAGCTCTTGTACACCTTCCCGGCAGACCTTGCCCTTCCAACCACCCAAGGGAAGGCAGGCAGTAGCCTCGGCTCACCAACACGCGCTGGACAACACTAAGCTAACCTCAATGCCAGACGAACCAAGACGCTCAGGCCGAGCCACAAAAGGCCAGCACAAGAACCTCGAACTCCCAGCTGATGCCCCCGCGAAGAAAGGCAAAGTGAAAGGCCCGAAAGACAAGAACAGCAAAGCCTCCGCCGAGCCGACCCCGGGACCTAGTGAGGATGGGGAAGAGGAAGAGATAATCCGATGCATCTGCGGCGAATACGAGGAAGAGGAGGATGTGGAACGCGATATGATCTGTTGTGATCAATGCTCTGCGTGGCAACACAACGACTGCATGGGCCTCACGTTCGCCAAGGGTCAGGAACCGGATCAATACTACTGTGAACAATGCCGACCGGAGAACCACAAATTCCTTCTGGATAAGATTGCCAGAGGAGAGAAACCATGGGAAGAAGTTGCAGACAGACGGAGGAAGGAGGCCGAAGAGAAGAAGTCCAAGCGCAAGAAGGGCAAGAAAGGCAGCCGGAAGAGCCAGGGCAGGACAGAGACTAGCACACCAGCTCGCGCTGGTACCTCTGCAACACCTGGTCCTGGCATGTCCCCTGCCCCAGCTGCTTCGGTATCGGTCGAACCAGAAAAGAACGCCCAGGGTGCAGACTCACGAAGGTCCAGCACAAACAAGCGCAAGCTTGAGGATGACACGGAAGCACATATGGTAAATACTTGGCATGCTCTTCACTGCATTGGGCACGGCACTAATCTCTACTGTGACATAGGAGCCTCAAGTCAAACAACAACGAATTTCTCCAGAACCCGCCCAACAAACACCCGCGAGAGAAACACCAAAGCCCAAGACTGAGCCCACTCCGGACACGCCTACTACAATGGGCAATGTGGAAGATCTGGTGATCCCCGCGCGCAAAAGCGCGGCCGGTGCACTCATCAAGCTATTTGTAGAACAGCTTGCGACGTCTCAGCCGAAAGGCGTTTCCGCTGGAGAATCAGCAGAGAATGCTGCACGCCAACTTGGTCTCGCCATCGAGGATGCCTTGTATCGAAATTTATGTGGACAGACGGGCGAGCCTAACGAGGCATATAAAGCGCAGTTACGAACGATCGTATTCAACGTAAAGAAGAATCCTTCACTACGAGAACGGTTGCTCGTAGGTACTCTCTCCTCAGATTCCCTGTCTAGGATGAAGCCAGAGGAGATGGCGAGCGAAGAACTGCAACAAAAAGATGCAGAAATCAAACGTGAATCAGAACGACAACATATCATTGTACAGGAGCAAGGTCCTCGTATTCGACGAACACACAAGGGTGAGGAACTGATCGAAGACGAAACTCACGCTGCAACGGAGTCGGTATTCTCTGCACCACCTCGTCGTGCTACTGAAACGGAGGCTAGTCCTGGTGACCAAAGCCCCTCTTCGAAACAGCAGCAGGGCACCAAGACCGAGAGACACGCACGAGGACCATCGCCAACAGGCGAACACCACGACCATGTCTTCCCCGAAGTTGAAACCAACATTCGCGAACCCGTGCCTCATGACAGAATTCAAGCCGATGCTGAGATTGACGATCTACTACGTGATGACGAGCCCGAATCCCCTCCCTACTCGCCAAAGGATTTCAGCGACGACGGCATTGTTTGGCGTGGCAAGGTTGCCATGGCGTCTCTCGCCGAGTTCATGTCCTCTGCCAAGCATGTTGGAGGAGCAGACCTCAGTGGTCGTATTCCATGGAGTCAGCTTGCGCCGTCAACATTGCTGGTTGACGGTCGAATTGATATCAAGCTTGCCAGCAACTATCTCTGTGGTCTGCGATTCAGCTCCTCCACCGACGTGTCTGTAATTGCGGTCGGTAGCCCTGATATGCCTAGCGAGAAAGCCGGTTTCGACAAGCTTTTCGAATACTTCCAGGGCCGTAAGCGCTACGGTGTTATTGGACAGCACCCGCTTTCTGCCGTCAAGGATACTTACATTGTTCCTATCGAGGCCGGTGCCACAACTAAGCCTGAATTTATAGAGCTGTTGGAAAACAACTCTCTTGAAGGTCCGATCCATGAGCGCATGTTGCTAGTTGTCTTTGTGGTCAAGACGGGCGATTCCAACCCACCCTCTGTTCAGCCACCCTCTCACCAACCCAGCCTCGAGCCAGGAATCACCGCCAGCCCTCTAACTGCCGCTGTCGCCACGCCTCAGCCGAGCTTTGGCTTCCCCCCCAACTGGTCAAACACCACCCAATATCGTCCCTGGCCTTGCAAATACCGCAGCCTACGGCCAGAAAAGTGCAGCACAGCCAACTCAGCTTTCCGCTGCTACACCTGCCGCTACAGGCATCGCGGCCGCAATCCAAGTTCTGGGACCTCAAGTGAATGAGCCTGCCATCCAGCAACTTCTCAAAACTGCACCCAACGTGGAAGTGGCGCAGTTGAACGTCGTTCGCGACATTCTGGTCCGCCAGCCAGCTGCAGCCGTTAATTATGATACTCTCATGAATGCGCTCTTCGAGATTCAGCAGAACGGCAACGTCCCGCAGGCGAATGCCTGATTCATGATATCTTTACGACCATTTGTTATCTTACCATGTACTGTACAGTCTCAATTAGTTAGTTTCTTAAGTTAGTGTTGACTTCGTAGGACCTGAGGCTGATTAGCTTCCGACTCCCACGATGTGGTTTATTCATGGAACAGTGGGGATACTAGTTATACCCACAGTTAACGGGCCCTGCGCATCGGCCCGCCTGCAAAAACGGATTTCAATATTTGTTTAGTATCTCATTAGGTGGTTTTCCTTGTGTCTATTTTGTCTTATGACGGATTGCATGGTATCAATCGAAACAATTTGACCTAGCTCAAGTCTCTCAGTAGTTTCCAGCTCTCCCATAGCCGCAATCGACCCAGGGCAGCATCATGCCAAATTTACTACTAGTACTGTTTCGAAGTAAAGGACACTCTCGGTGAAGCTACTATTCTATCTACTACTACTAGTAGTAGTTCAGGTTCTGCAGTTGGCCATCTCAACCTTCGAACCTTTCGACAATACCTAGGTACGGACTGCCCTGGGCTAAGCCTGCAACCGCACCCTAGTACTACTACTAGATCTAGATCTATGAAGGATCTTCTTGAGAATTCTTCTCCATACCGTCACTTTCGATCCCTTTAGCAACCTTGGAAGGCATAGTAGACAATGTAGATTTGATATGACATTTAGAATATTTCATGAGAAGACAAGGATATATTGAGCGCGCATGGTCAGCAGCTTTCCATTGTACCTGGGCATCTTGCCCGACCTGAACATACAAAACGCCTGCGCTATGCGAAAGACCCGAACCAGAGACTAGAAACCCAGAAGAAAACGAAGCACATTTACCATCTTCCGCCTCGTCGTCTGTATCCGCCGCCACCACCGCCGCCACCTCCATATCGTGGGCCACGTCCACCACCAGACCGGCCGCCTGCACTGTAAGGATCCTCTTCCTCGTGGTGGCGGACGGGCGGAGCCCGGCCCTTGAGCTCGATGCTGAGCTTTTTGAAACCCTTGCGCATATCCGAATATCCCATGTGCATCTTTCCGAAGAAGTGATCTGCCAACCTTCGGTCGTTATCGAGTCGACTTAGGTATGCGCCGCACACGTCGCAGACCTGGAGCTTCTGATGGCCTGACGGGCCTGAAGTATCCTGAAGATTCTTGAGGTCGCGCTCATATCCCTCCTTCTGGTGCTTCGCTGTGCGGATCTTATGCATCTCGTTCAGAGACATGGCGACTGAGCCTGTCTCGCCCAGCACGGAGATCTCGAGTAGGCCGGTGTTGATGGTGTTGTTTAGGTCTGCGATTTGCTTGAGCTGAAAGTAGGTGTTAGCAATGGAATTATACGGTCTGATAGGAATCGGGAAAGTATGGCAGACATACAAGGTCGTTGGTTTGTCTGATCTCATCTGGGGTTTTTTCCAGTCGGCGCTGGGCCGTGTCGATCCTCCGGTCACAGTCGTCAATGTACTTCTGCATATCGCGCATATAGTCGAACTCAAATCCCCATTTGGCCTTTTCCGCCGACGAAGCTGTCTCGTACTCCGTCTTGAGGCCCTCGCTGTGCACCTTGGGGCATTGTCCAAGATCCTGCTTGGTATTGGTGAAGAGGTCGTGCGGGCAAGTACCGACAAGGTAAGAACGGCAGACTTTGGGGTCGGTAATTGAAAGCTGCGAATTGCGGCCCTGGGCTCCGGTACCGATGAGCTGGTCAGCTGGATAGAAAGGTGCTTATTAGCTCAAACCCGGGGGATTAAAGAGAATCGGTAGGGTGTAATATGCTGAAACGTACCTCCCATGAGCTGCTCCAGCAGCTTTCTCTGTTCTGCGGCCATGATCAATTCCTAGACGTCAAACGAAGGAAGAACAAAAGCGAACACTAAGGCAGGTTTTGAATTGAACGATCACTCAATGGCGGTTTTGGGGGAGGTTTTTTGATGCGATGCGGCGCTAAGGACAGCACCTCACAAGGGGAAGGCGGTCAGTCACGAACAATCAACAGCCCCAGGAGGGTCTCATCTTGACCATCGACGCATCTCTACTTCGATTGTGGAATGTCCAGGGTCCTCGGATATTTCCAGGACTTCTTGTGGTGACCTGGCGACTCCTTCTGATCTCTCCATTTTAGTTTCATCGAATTCACTGTACATTGAAACCTTCCCCGCCAAATATCGCATGGACAAGGAGCGGCGACGACCGAGCTCCGGCATGAAGTGATGACGACCTTTGGCTTCCTTTCTCTTTTGCTGGCACTGGCTGTCACGCTATGGAGCCCAAATGCTTTTGCGTCATCAGACTACCATGAGCAACTCTTCCTTCAACCACTTCCTCAATCCTCTCTCCTAGCTTCGTTCAATTTCCGAAGTAACACCTCACAACAAGCTTTCGACAATCAACACTTCCGATACTTCCCCCGAGCATTGGGCCAGATTCTTCAACATGCGCATACAAAAGAACTTCACTTGCGATTTACCACCGGGCGATGGGATGCTGAAAGTTGGGGTCCACGACCGTGGGGTGGCAGTAAAGAAGGTGGCACCGGTGTGGAGCTCTGGGCCTGGATTGATGCGCCAGATGACGATGAGTATGTGGTTATGAAGACAAATGTTGAATTTCTGCTTATATCGGTTCTAATATTTGCAGGGCTTTCGGTAAATGGATCGCTTTGACACAATCCCTGTCGGGTCTATTCTGCGCTTCCTTGAATTTCGTCGACTCAACACGAACAACTCGTCCTGTCGTCTCTTTCGAACCGACTGGTGATCACCAAGACGTTGATGAGCTTCACCTACTACACGGAACCCTACCCGGTGAGGTGGTGTGCACAGAGAACTTGACCCCTTTCTTGAAGCTTCTCCCGTGTAAGGGTAAAGCGGGTATCTCCACGCTTTTTGATGGCCATAAGCTGTTTGATGCTGCGTGGCAGAGCATGTCTGTGGATATGCGACCGATCTGCACTTCCGATGGTGACTGTATTGTTCAAATTGAACAGACAATTGATATGGTCCTAGATGTTGAACGCTCCAAGCGACCTCGATCAAACCCCATTCCTAGGCCTCTTGCGAATGAGCTTCTAGCTTGTGACACTTCGAAACCTTACAACTCAGAAGACACTTGCTTCCCCTTGGAGAAGGGGGCAGATGCTGCTTGGAGTATCTCGGAAGTTTTCGGCCGTACATTGACCGGTGTATGTCCTTTAACGGGCTCCGATGGCAGCCAGGAGCACTCAGTTTGTCTCCGAGTTCCCCACGAGAAGCAAGTTTTCATTACCGAGGGCTCGACTGAGATCAAGAAAGAGGACGGCTTCACGCGCTGCTTTGATCTGGCACCCGCTCAGCCCTTTGACCTGTCAATTCCAGAGCAGACTATTGATATTCCAGTTCCCGGAGAGGAGCCCATCTTATATGCTGAGCGAACCATTGTTGGTCACGGTCAGGAGCGTGGTGGTATGCGTATCATATTTGGAAATCCGTCCAATACTACGGCAGTGGACTTTATCCTGTTTGAGTCTCTGCCATGGTTCCTGCGACCTTATATCCACACTTTGCAGGCGACTATTACTGGCCGCGACGGAATTCCCACTGATATCGCGGCCTCCGACCTTGTCACTTCGACATTCTACCGACCAGCCATTGATCGTGAACGCGGAACACAGCTAGAAATAGCACTGTCTGTCCCAGCTGCATCGACTGTGACCCTGACATATGACTTTGAAAAGGCCATCCTGCGGTATACAGAGTACCCGCCGGATGCCAATCGCGGTTTCAATGTTGCCCCTGCCGTCATTCGGATTTTGAACGGGGAAAATAGTGCGCCGGTCTATATTCGGTCTACTAGTCTTCTGCTGCCTCTACCAACTCCCGACTTCAGTATGCCCTACAATGTGATCATCCTCACCAGTACTGTGATTGCTCTTGCATTTGGCACCGTGTTCAACATTCTCGTGCGACGTGTGGTTTCGGTAGACGAAGCTGCTGCATTGGGTGCTCAAAGTCTCAAGGGCCGCCTTTTGGGGAAGTTGGTGGCCATCCGAGACCGGTTCCGCTCCAAGACGACCAAGGTGGAATAGCTTTCCCCAGAACCACTGATTTTTTCCCCGCATTTTGTTAAAATATACCTTTCAAACATGAAGTCGTTCATAGCAAGAATATCATAATTGCAGCTAATGTACACATTTAACCATTGAAATATACTATCAGTACTAGTAGATGTACTCTAAGACCTCGCTCCAGGGCTTGTCAAGTTCAAGTTCTCAAGTTCAAATGCAGGGAGGACACTGGCAACTTCAACCTTGATGAACCTCGGAAATAGGAGGGAATCCCAGGGCTGTGAATTCTAATCACTGGAGGATGACCTCGGGACTCGGACCTCATTTCAAGTTCTCGAACATGCTCTTCATGGTTCCCCAACCAGGCAAGGTATCCGCACCACCGGGCTTAGTCCCCATGAAGGAATGATCTTCTACGGCACAAGTAGGCTCCCCGCTGTCGGTCGTGGACTTGACATCGTCTCCCGCGAGATCTGCGCGCGCAAAATACTTGGCCTCAGCCCGGGATTTTTGATCGCTAAGACCGAGAAAACTGCCCATGGTTTCATGGGGGTTGCTGGGCTGGATGGTAGAAGACATGGTTAACATACTCATTCGAGCCATTCGACTAGGAGATATAAAGGGAACGAACATCTACATGTCCTTTGCCTTCATTGAGAACATCATCCTTGCCGCCTTTACGGAAGCCTCGGTCGCCCCCACCGGCACCACCGCCGACATTATTCGCCGGGGTTGGTGTTGCCCCTGTGCCTCCAGCCACGGTGGTGGGTGGACGACTGCGGGTGGGTGATCCAGGCATACTCTGACTAGACTTTAGTAAGGAAAGCAAAGAATTAGCTTCGACATACAGTTTTTGAATGAGCTATCTCCGCTGAATAGGCATAGAAGTATAGTGATAAATGGATCCATCAACTCACATTTTAGATGAAAGACTGTCTATGTCGTTCCGAGTCTTTGGCAGGTGGCTTTTTAACAAACCGAGTAATACATTCGATTAATGACAAGATGATAGATACCATCTTCAAAATTGGCCACCTTGCCCCGGGGTTATATACTAGAAAAGGCTGGCTGACCTCATGGGCAGGAATGAAAGAAGGATGAAGTCATTATGAGCTTGGGCTTGGCCTGGGGAATGTCGTTGGCCCGAGGCGACTGAGTCAGCCCCGGGTACATTCAGCAGGGACCCACGGCCTACAAATGATATGTCCTTTAAAAAACAAGTAATGTATTAGGAAATTTTGGCATTTACTAGTAGAACTGTGCACCTGTGCATCTGGGTTAGTCTAACTTGGAAGTTCCATTATTTTCGTTAGGGGATGGGGGTTATGGATCTGGGGCTCCAAATCTATCCATCAAGACGGAATTGAGAATAACTAACCCCAGAATGAGAGGGAATCCGTCGAAAAAAATATGATTTAAACTGAATTAACCATTTTTCTAGTAATTATCTACTGTTTCGTGCCTTGTGCTAGCAGCACGACTCTAGATACCGAATGGCACTTTTGCTCCCAGTCTCCAACCCCTCACCGAGGATTATTTCGATCATAGCGTATCACCTGCAGGGCAGGCCATACCTGCAATATTACAGCACCGGCCATAACGCACCCGGCGAAAATTTGGGCCCTCAGAAATGAAGCATCTTCAAGATTCACCAATGCTCCGGCGATTGGGGTTCCTGCTAAAGCACCAAAGGATGATATACCCCACATCATACCCAATCGTGTGCCCATCCAGTTCGGACTTGAGCAAAAGACTGGGTGAGCAACTATAGCTGTCGGTCCTGTGACAATGACACCACTCAAAATACCCCAGTAGCAAGCCCAGACGATGAAACCAGCAACATTGCTAACAGCGATCCAAGTGAACATAGCAATTGCAGATGCCACCACAACGAGTAGTAGGATTACTATAGGCTTGATGTAGGCAACGAGCAAGTAAGGCATAACACGTCCAAAACAGGACGAGCCGTTGACGATGGCTACCATATAGAATGATAGACTGGTCGTTGTACCTACAACGACCCGACCATATGAAGCTACATAGAAGATGGGGACGTAGTAGGCGAGCATGACCAAGGTCAGAGAGACGGAGAAGAGCATATAGGAAGGCTCACGGAAAGCCTTCCAGTCAATGAGACTTCGGGCACGGGCCTTTTGACCTGGTCGGCGACAGAGAATGAAACATGCGATGATGGCCATTAGCAAGCTGATGAACGCAATAGAACGAACGGCCCACGGAAATCCAACCTTGGGTTGAAGTTGCCGAAACATAACAGGAAAGATGACGGCCCCAACGCTGGATCCAATCGATGCTATTCCAATTGCAAGAGGTCGTTTTGTAGTGAAGCTTGTCGACACTACCGTCAGCGCCGGAATATAAGCAATGCCACCACCTGTCCCGACACAGAATCCATGCGCAAGAAGTACCTAAGATAAGGTTAGATGCCAATTCATTGAATGATGGACGAGGAGGAACAAACTTGGTAGTACTCTGTCGCGAGACTAGCCATCATTAACCCAAATACCGTCAAGAAGCTCCCAATAATGGTCAATGAACGGATATATCCCGCATCAACCAGCGGACCAGAAACAATACCAATCATTGGGATCAGCGTTGCTTGGATACTTCCTATCCATGAGATCGCCGAGGGTGTTTGGTCACTCAGAAGCTCCGTTTGGTAGTATTCTTGAAATGCACCAAAGGTAGTCAATATGCCCCTTTTGCCATATATTAGCTCTTTAACTTTCCGTGATGCCCAGAGGGAAAATCTCACCAAGAATTGACAAAAACGCAGAATAAAGCAAGAACATTCAACCAAGCCTGTAGACCCCCGTTGATTTGTGGTTTGCAAAAGTCACCATCGTCCGACTGTGGAGCTTGATTGTCCGCGACATTTTCAGGCGATGGAATGCCATGATCTTGCTCAGTGTTGGGAAGAGTCGCCTTCTCAGTCATTTCCACGCAGCGGTAAGATCCCATTTCTCGCGAGCCCAACGGCCCCAGAGCTGACTAGTTATAGGACCCATGTTACCCTCGAGCCGACCCCACGGGGTTTCCATTAGTCACGGGAATGAGGTGCTGGTCTTCGGTTGAGCCGGCAGTTTGTAGCCGAACTCTACCGATTGGCACAAGCTTGGGAGCTTGAATCATTCCCCGTAAATTAGGGTCTCTAGAGCGGTCGCCTCCGATCGGCTTCTTCTATCCCCCGCGTTTGGGGATATCGGTCATCGCTTGTGTTCCGTGTCGACTCGGGGGATTGATGCAGTTTCTTGAGATGCGATATCGGGGTATTTTGTATTTGCTCGCCTGTGATTGGCGGAAATTTTCCGCCATCTTTTCTTTTGCATCCTTTATTCTTCAATTGTAAATTCAGGCTACACTTGACGTTATTTTATTCAATTAGCTACTCCATGGGAAGTATAACGTCACTAGAAATATTAGATAATCCGAAAAAGGGAAATGTAACCAACTCGATCAAACCCTCGGACGCAACCATACGCTGTCAATTGATGGACAAATCAACAATGTCAGCGGAAGGCGCAATGATCAATGCAAAAATCACTCTACAGCGGATGCCGAGTTCCGTCCTCGTGCAGTCAACACTCGGCAAAAGCCTTGGCACATGAGCAAAATAAAAATGTACTGGATGCTTGGACCATGATAGACCATGATTCCTTTCCATTTCCCCTTAAGTCATAAGTTCTAGAACAGGGGACACCCCTGACAGTACAGGATGCGGTGTTTCTTGTCAGAGATGAGAATCACGCCATGTACTCCGTACCGGTCGATTTTTGGGATATTGCGTATCTAGAGTAATTGGTAAGAAGTACTATTCGATCACACCATAACGAAGCATTCTAAGGGAATCAATGTAGAATTATTGGCCTCCGTATCTAGGTATACTGATATTCTTGGTGGGAGCTGACCACTTCCAAGCCCTGGAGGGTCTATTTCATAATTTCACCCACAACAATAAGAAGGGTCTATGACTTATATACTGTTAGATACGAGAGTTATTTTTAGTATCGAATTTGGATTTGATCGTTCTGAAGTCACCAAACCATTGGCAATAGAGAAATGAGCATGAACGTATCAGTAGTTATACTAGTATGTAATGAAGTAATTCAAGCATACTATGTATATAGACTGCATACCAAGACGTTCCAAGGTTCTAGAAAGCGTACTAACTCGCCAATACCTTTTGAATGGTCCAAATATGGAGAATAGTTCCCCAATTTCTATGATGGTAGTTACTCAAAACTCTAAACAGAATAGAGCCCAGAGAGCGCATGGCGGAAAGCAAAGACAAGGGGATATAGAGAGGAACTATTTAAGCATTTTGAAGAAATGAATTTGAAATGCCCACTGCACCTCGGGGCCTGTGTTGACGTTTCCCTGACGATGATTCGGGACGCCGCATTTGTCTTAATATCGGAACCGTAGGGATCAAACACAGGAACCTGGACAGAACCTTTCTTTTTAATTCTGTTGAAATTTATTATTATTTTCTTGTCAAGTAGGACGGCTAGGTGTACCGATAATAACGGAACTACCGTGATATCATCTACTAGTAAAGCAAAACTCACTTCCTCTCATAGCGGCCAAAGTGGTATGCTAGTTATACAAGAAATGTAAGATAACAATTGGCCCTGGAGAAGTACAGCCGAAAAGTCAAAACCAGTGTACCTAACTATTTGTTGTAGTGAAGTTTCATTGGGGATTTATTAATTGTAGTCAGGATCTGAGATCCGACGTAAATTAGTTCCAAAAATTATGGCTGTAACATCAGGCGCCCTTGTCTTTTTTTCTCTTGTTCATTCAAGTTGAACTTCAATGACTTTCTAAAATGCAGCAATATTACCCAGATGAAAAGGGGTTTGCTGGTTGTGGGGGTAGTAGACCCTTCAATCGCTCCGTATTCTGCATAGCCCTGTGGCTGAGGCTGGAATCCCGCCGGTTTCTACCCTCTGATTGGCCCGTGCATAAGATCCGAGGTCTTTGTAAATGTCTCCCTTCAGGGCTGTCCATTTTCGGTAAAACCGGCCGCCCGCCGATTCGAGTAAAATTGACTTTGCATGACGGGAGCCAAGCCGATCGACAGATGAGAAGTCTATATATGATGTCCATGCCCCAAACAGACTCGGACTACTCTTATCAATCTCTTTCAAGTCTTTTATCCATCATCGACCATAACCATGTCCGTCTTTAAACGTCTTTCAGGCTTTTTCTCCGGCCCCACCCCTGAAGAGCTAGCTGCGGCCAAAACAAAGGTCCAGGCGCTGATCAATGAGAATGGCGTCGTTGTTTTCTCGAAGAGCTACTGCCCCTACTGCGCCTCTACCAAGCGCACATTAAATAAGCTCGGAGCTAAATATGTCCTACTTGAATTGAATGAAATCGGTAAGTCCTTGAGCGGAAACAAGTCGTACTAGTAATGCAAACTCGGGATGTGATGGCATAGTAGTACCTAGGTACAATGTCATTTCGAATTATTTATTTTAGATACTAAACATTTGGGTATTTAGATGACGGCCGTGCTCTTCAAAGCGCACTTCAAGAAATCACGTACCAGACCACCGTGCCTAACATCTTCATCGGGCGGAAGCATATTGGCGGCAACTCCGAGCTCCAGGACATCAAAGACCAGCTTCCTGAACTTCTCAGGCATGCGGGTGCCCATTAAAGCAATTATGATCCGAGTGAAGGAATTTAGTTTTGATGTGATGCCAAAGCAAGACTCGGACTTGTAGAAAGCTGAGGCTCTGTGGTACTCCCATGGCGCTGTTTTAAGTTATACCCCAATTCATTAAAAATCGATCTACATCTTCAGTACGGAGTACTCCGTACTGTTTTCATAAAAATTAGTGGGTCCAAGACCCTAATTTTATTAAGCAGAGAGATAAACATCCAATTTCTGGTAGAGGATTGAGCTAAAAGTACTAAAAGTCCTAAAAGTAGAAGCCTAAGCCTAAGCGTATCCGTGTCGAATAGTCAGGGCCGACCGCTAACAATCCCGATCAGCCGTGGCTGTCGCCCCAGCGGCAACCCTGCCCCTCGAGCAAAAGTATCGTGCGACTCTCGTGGAAGGTGTGCCCTAAGATAGGGTCGATACCCTCAATTACGCAAGGCCACGCGTAATGTGGCTGACCCTCAACTCCTGAGTAGTCGGGCTGTGAGTGGTCATTTCAATCGGTGCCTGTTCTCCACACGCGTCAGGGGATGATGCCGCGGTCTGGAACACCGCATGGGACCCACATGTTGAGTCGAGGCCTGGTTACTTTATTGATGATTTTCGATGCTATTCGACAAATGAACTAGCCCTGTGGATCTATGGATCCCCATCGTGAGGTGTTCCTGGAGCTAGAACTGCAAATGGACCAGACAGACTACGTTGTCTGAAAACCCTAACCTATGTAGCCAATCAGGTCGGTGTCCAGTGGACGCATTGGTTCTTGAATGCTTCTAGGCGATATATGGGTCTTATACCTATCGAATAGGCTTCCTTTTATATTCGTTTGTGTGTTTCAGAGTTGCTGGCTCGCCCCTTGAAGTGAACTCCACCGCCAGTATAAAGGCGAAGATGGTCCTCTCTGGGCCCCCCTGGGTCTTGTTAAACAATTTCGGTCTTTTGCCTCACTCACTTACTCTCTTTTCCCATACCTTCCTTTTTTTCGAGGCTGTGCCTCCTATCATTCACTCCTTCAGACATTTCCAGTCCTGCTTGTCTGTTGACCAGACACGCTATCGATCACTACAAATTTCAGTCACACACATACATACTTTAAGCACTCCTGCTTGTCCATCCTTTCAACACCAAATTAAACAAAGCAACAATGGCCTTCCTTAAGTCTCTCGGCCTTATCGCCCTCGCTGTTACAGCTTCTGCCCTTCCCCAGGGCTACTGGCCCACTGCAACTACCGCCACCGTCAGCACCACGACTGTGACCGCAACGGTCTCGGCCGTGGCCTCGTTCTCAGCCTCAGCCTCAGCCTCTGCTTCTGCCTCCGCCTCTTCCACTGCCAGTGCCAGCACCGGTGGCGGTGTCAACATCGTGAACAACCTGGACCAGACCGTCTACATCTGGTCGACCTCAAACACCGCCAGTGAAATGCAGACTGTGACCCCGGGTGGTGGCATCTACACCGAGAGCTGGCGCACCAACTCCGACGGTGGCGGCATTTCAATCAAGATGTCCACCTCCGAAAGCGAGGACAGCGTGCTGCAGTTCGAATACACCAAGGGCGACAGCACTCTCTGGTGGGATCTCTCTTCTATCAATCTTGCTTCAGACTCGTCCTTTGTTTCATCTGGTTTCGCTGTCACTACCGATGACTCTAGCTGCACTTCTGCGAAGTGCGCTGCTGGCGACACTACTTGTGCCGCCTCGTACCAGGAGCCGGATGATGTTGATACCCACAGCTGTTCGACATCTGCTGCTTTCACCCTCAATCTGGGTTAAGCTACCGATGCTTTCACGTCAGACTACTAGAGTTGTCCAAAGCTTGATAGAAACTTGCCTTTTACTTCATTCCATTTCGTTTATATCCAGATATAGAGATGGACTCTCGGAAGAGGTCAAGATCAAAAATCAATGTTTGTAGTAAACTACAAGCAAAATTCAATAGATGAATAAAAACCCAAAGTTAAAAAAGATAAAACAAACAATATCATTTCCTTTGCTTTGAGTTACAGGTAGAAGGTATATAAAACAGGAAAACCCCGTGGACTCAACCGAGACAACGGCGTGACTCTTCACATATCAGTTGGTTCGCGGGGTGAATTGTACAGTTAGTACATTTAATAGACAGGGACCTTGAAAGCAGGGAACTCGTAGGTCCAGCTCTCAATAGACTTCTTGTCGTTGACGCAGTCGAAAGTCGAGTTGCTGTGCCAAAGAGGACGGTTAGGCCACTGGCAAAGCATCTGGGTCTCACCCTCGTAGGTTCCGGAGGAGACGGTGGCATTCAGACGAGAGGGCTTGACACCGTTCTCGACCCAGTTGATCATGATATCCATGTTGTTCTCAGGGTAGGGGCCGGGTTGCAGAGTGTTGGTTCCACAGTGGGCCGCACCGGGGATCAGGTAGAACTGATACCAGTCCTGGAGTTTGGAAAGACTCTCCTGAGAGGAAACCCCGGGGTACATGATGTCACGGACAGCTTGCCAGTAATGCACGGAAGAGGCAGCGGGGACAGAAGGATCAGACTCTCCGTGGTAGTGGAGGAGCTTGCCACCAGACTTCTGGAACTTGGTAAGGTCAGGGACGGTGGTCTGCAGACTGTCGAAGTAGCGGTTCATAGCGATATCCATCCACTCAACGACGGTATCATAGGTAACGCCATCCAGGGTAGAGAGGTTGTCCAGATCCAGAAGCTGCACGAACTTGGCAATGTACTCACCACCCATTGAGGTGATGTCTAGCTCCCACTTCTGGGTGCTGTTGTTCCACTCAGTCGAGGCGTCACTCAGCTCGGAGCCAATCTGCCACGAGAGGTAGGCACGTTCACCCTTGGTGGTGTGCAGGCCGTCGTAGATAGCCTGAGCGACAGCGACACCCTCCGCGGAGACCTTACCACTCTGCGTCGGTTCGTAGCTAGTTGTGCTACCGGCAGCTTGGCGCTTGGTCTTGCTGAAGCCAAAGCCCAGGGAGGTAGCGGTTTCGGCGGCGCAGTAGTACTCCTCGCCAATGATAGAAGATAGGTTGAAGTTGATTTTGCAAAGGTCGGTACGGGAGATGACACCGTCGGTACGGCCGTCAAGGGGATCGCAAGCGGCGATGGTGGCATTGACGATCTTAGCCAGCTCGCAGGGCGGGGGGTAGTATTCAAGGGTCTTCTCGACGACATCAGGAACGATGTGGTTAATCTGCTGCTGAGCGTAGCGGAAGGCAGGGGCACCGGTGATAACACCGTCATATTCGTCGCCCCAGCGCTGAACCTGGCTCATACCCTCACGACCACCGTCGGAGCATCCTTCGTAGTAGGTATAGAGCTTGGACTTGGATTTCATGCCGTAGAAACCCTTGGTGAAGTATTTTCCGAGTTGGGTCATTTCACCGAGAGCCTGATACCCGAACATGTAGGTCGCATCCCAGTTGATAGAGCCGTTTCCGAGAAGAACAACATCGTCATAGGAAACGCCATCCAGGGCGTCATAACCGGCAGAGGTAGCACCTCCCGCAGCACCATACTCGAGACCGCCAGTGGCATCGGAAGACAGCGAGTAGCCTCCACCTCCGGCAACGTAGAAGCGCTTGTTGAAGTCGGAAGGCTCGGGGAGAGCATACCTGACGACAACAGTGTCCCCCTTCCCAGGGTGAGTGTAGGTCAGGGTGACATTGCAGTAGTTGTAAGTCTCACTGTCACTGGAAGAAGTGGACATACCACCACCAACTGTAGCATTGTAGACTATACTAGCAACAGAAGCTGAAGAATCAAGGTTGATTCCTAGGAGGGTGCCGTTCGCGGGTAGAGCGGACTTGACATTGGACAAAGTACAGACATCTGAAAGAGATCGAGCACTGGCGGCAGCCGCGAAAGCCGCAGCTGAAACACCTGATTGAAGGCGCATGGTGAACCGGATGAAACGAGTGTATTGAATCGAAGAAAACGAGGGACTCGCAAAGGCTTGGACGATAGCGAAGGCAGAACCTGGATTAGCGGACTATCTAGTATATTTATAACGTCAGGGTATTGAGGGAAATTGAAATGAAATGGCGGTGATTCTTCCGGTTTGGGGTGGACGAATTCTCGAACGTATGCTGATCTTCTCCCGAGTGGACTGAGGTGTATCCATTGAAACTAGTTAGTAGTACCGGTCATGGGGTTCTGAGCACTGTGAGGCTTTCCTAAACCTCCACGGCGTCGTAATCGTGTTGCGAGACATGGATAAGGCTACGGACCAAATGTTTGGAATAAAGAAACCGGCTGGAATTGCAAAGGGGCAAAATAAATCGAATGACGCCTCTGCCGGTAGTGTCCCGCCAGTTTTACTCATGAAAATAAGGTGCTTCATGGTTAAACAAGTCGATTTGGGGGTCCACCATTGGAATTATCCAATTGTCGTCTCGTACGAGACTGTGGTGGATCCCCGAGCTGCCCTGATCAAATTGGAATTTATGTCCGATTTGGCCGAAAAGGAGTTGCGCATGGACAGGACGGTTAAAGTTAACTCCGGTTGAACTGAAGATCTGCAGAGGCTAAAGATCCAAGACTGTCAAAACTGGGGTGACCGCGTCAGTCTTTCAAAGCTTTAATGTTCAAGGCGCACAAAGTAGAGCGATAATCCCCTGGCATTTCCCACCTTCTTATGCTATTTAACCCACGTTTCTGGATCTTGTTGAGAACTGGACGACCGGATGATCACCGAGTCAATCGTAGCTCCGAGCTAATGAAACATAAAACCGAGTTAGAAGGGTTTATCAATCTTGCTGGGTCTGAGGGCCCCACGGTGGAACTGACCACGCAGCTTCATACTACTAGTTCAAGCGACGTTTCTCCGATAGCTCTGTGAGAAGAATCCGGAAAAAACATAAAACCAAAGTTCCAAAGTTGGTTCCAGATTGCATCTCCAAAACATGAGCTTACGTGTTTCTATGCAAGCCATAATCGATGCTGCCTAGCGCCGTTCACTCAAGTGCCGTCTAACTAAAAGCTAATATTGCCCGTGGTGGATGCTCAGGTTGAAGTATTGGTACTCCGTACCGGATCTTTAGGTCAAGGTTTCTGCACCCCAGATTAGTGGCTGCGAGAAATGCAGACAATTGGTTATCATCAGTGCCGGTCGACCGGAGATTGAAGGGTTCGTATTCTCGTTTGCTTTCTCTCTTGAGAAAGGTTGGTGTTGGGCTATAGTGAGACGCCCAGCTTGACCTGGAATTGACATCTCCTAAATTAGTTTCGACGACAAAAGTAAATTTGGAAGAGACCTTGGGAAATACTAGTATCAGTTAACCTATTATCGATATATTGGCCGTAATGTATGCGGTATCCATGGGTGGTGAAAATATTGCTTCAGATGTGATAGCTCAAGTGTTTCAATATACCAATCGAGGTATCTTGGATTAATTCGTTCTTTTGAAGGGAGGTGTCTAATCACCAATACACAAGGGGATATCAAATTGCAAAAGGGTAACCAGAGGTCTTTTCATGTCGTGAGCGATGCAAAACAAAAGGGAAGTCGTAAGGTTTCAATGTGCCAAAATAATAAGCAAAAACAATCGGATCAAAAGAGAACAAGTCAACGGCAAGACAGGCTACTCGTCGTCGTCGAATTGGTCAGCCCAAGTGCCAGTCACGGGGGACATTGTAGCCTCCAGCGTTTCCATAGAGGGCTTCTCCAGGGGTGGAGCTGCTGGCTTGGGGTCCTCCTCGGGCTTCTTCCCTACCGGCAGAGCGGGGAAATCCTCCTTGTTGATAGCAGGAGAAGATGCTTTTTCAGATGGCTCCCTCGACGAGGCACGCTCTCCCTTTGGTCCGCGTGAAGGACCACGACCACGACCGCTACGGCCGCCCCGGCCACGCACCCGATTAGGACTCAGCAGATCGTCCGCGGCGAGCTCCTCCGAAGGCGCGGCGTCGAAGTCCCGTCGTGTGTGTCCAGACACGCCACCGTGCATGCCACGTCGGAATTGACTACCACCGCCACGAGGGTTGTAGTCTTCTTCACGTTTCTGCGAATCCCATTCACGACCGGTTTGGGCCTTGAGTTTACGTTGTCGGTTCTGCTCGCGCTCGTTATCCATGACACGGCGATTCGCAAGTTCTTCGCGGCGTTTCTTAGCGGCCACTTGCTCACGTTCCATGAAGGAGGCCTGATCAGCCTGTGCTCGAGCATGGGCAGCTGCTTTCTTGACGGCGTTCTCTTTGGCTGCAGCGATACGCTTTGATAGCTCCTCCTCGGTGAGTTTCGGCTAGAAAAGCAACCGTCAGTAAATTTGTTTGTTGTGAGTTATCCTAAAGCATACTAACCTTCCTCACACCACCCGTGGCACTTCGATCCCCTCGGACAGCTGGCACTCGTGCCGGCTCAGTACCATCGGCACTCGCGACCTCTGTCTTGCTGTCCTCTTCTTCTGCAGGCTGGTCCTTTTCCTTTTCCTTTGTCTGTTCCTGTTCCTGTTCCTTTTCCTTCTCCTTCTCCACCTCTTGAGGTTTCTCCGATGACTCCTCTACAGTAGCCCATCGACTTCCTTCGAGCCCGCTCTTCGCCGCGCCATTCTTTCGCGGTGCGCTCTCAGGGCGCTTTTGCTCGGCCGGTTGTGACTCGCGACCACCGCGACCTCCTTTACCGCGGCCACGTCCTCGACCTCGACCTCTCTCGCCACCACGGCCTCGCTGCGGCGTTTCCCCGCGCGCGGGTGCTGTCTTTTCGACGCGCGGACTCTCCTCCTGCGCCTGCGGAGCCGGTGCCACTACCTCCGGTACAATTACTTCCGTCTGAACCTCTTGCTCCTCTGCCGAGACCGGGATGATCTCATCATCAAAGAGATCGTCGGCACCACGGGTCTGCGCAAACTCATCCATCCCTGAGTCTGCAATTGAGTTGTACTCGTCTTTGATCCGATAATAATCGTGGCTTTGAAAAATAAAGGAGATGGGATTATTTGGCAGAGAGTTTCGAGGAGAATGCGCGCTGAGGGGTACTAGTAGCTCCGATTGGGGGCGGGAAAGGGTGAACCGTGCGCAAAGTGGAAGTCCGAAGTTGAGAATCCTCTATTCCAGGTAGTGTTGGTCAAAGATGGACTCGGAGGATATCGAAATTCGAGAAGGAAATTAATCAAGGAGAATTGTAGTAGAAACGGGGTTCAAGTTGTCGCAGTCCAAGGAACCCAGCCACTCCACAACGTAAGGCGGTGAATCCCGCCAATCTGCGGAGGGCGCCATTTTGCCCCCCCACGCGTTCGCTGCATGACGTGTGAAAGGTGCATGAGGAGTATAGTATAGTATAGTACATATTATTAATTTCAAGCTACAGGATAATTGGAGGGGACTCGACTAGTCACTATAGGCATAAATCAATTTATCATTCATCATTTATACTGACCAGGTGTGAAGTGAAGTTGATGGTATTAACCTGAGGTACTAAACTGGTAGCTCATAGTTCTAGTTGATCTATACAATTGGGATTCAAGCGAAGGGAATCATCAGATAGGTACTAGTTAGTAAAGGGGCACCTACCTAGGTAGGGATATAGTACTAGCACCACACTCCAAAGTTAATTGAACTGGACCTCCCGGGGCTTGGAAATAAAGTGTCGGTGCGTGGAGTTGTAGTGTTTTTTTTTTCATAATTTCTATTCAAAGATCCACCTAGCAAACATAACTATTCCGGTCCCCCTCATACTCAGAACTTGTCTTTGTTGTTCTCCATCCACTGCTGGAATCGATGTGGGGAATTGTGTGAATACTTTTGAACATTACCGATAGCCGTAGATGCATCAGGGCTTTCCCAAAAATAGTTTGGGTGGTCAATGACATTGCGAATGAGCCAATTGGCTAGGGGTGCAGGAATGCCAGCCTTCTCCATCACCGTTGCAGCTTCGTCTTCGGGAATTTTGGTCACAGTGATTTGCTTCCCTAGAGCATGGCCAACGACGCCAATAGCATCCCTTAGCGATAATTTCTCAGGCCCAAGAAGTCCAACAGTTCTGACTCGTTGACCGGTGGTCAGAAGGGCACCGGCCACAGCGCCGATGTCATTGGGCGAGATGAAATCAAACTTGGCTTCTGGGCTTGGCAATTTCACCTCTCCTTGTTCAATGCCAAGCTTCTGCTGAAGAATGTTGCTTGCGAAATATGCGGGTCGAACAGCGACAAATGAGTCGTCACCGAAAACTTCTTCCAGAACAATTTCAACTTGGGCGTGGTGAAAAGGAATGAAATCGGTTGGAGGAACAGCACGAATATCAGTCATGATCGTGAAACTGCTCAAAAATACAACAAATTCAATGCCGGATTCCTTGAGAGCTTTAATAGCTGGCCTCATGTGTTCTGGGGCACCGAAGACCGCGTAGATAAAAGCAGCCTTTGCACCTGTCTGGCGAACCGCAGCCTGAACAGTGTCGGGCTGAGTGAGATCTGCCTGAACCCTTTCAAATGAGATCCCATCGAGACTTGGAATTGACTTGGATGGATCGCGCACTGCGAGCGAAACCTTTGACCCATTTTGATGGGCTCTCAGGGCAGCAGCAGAGCCCACCGCGCCGGTGGCACCAAACACAATCACGTTATCGTAACTGGGCATTGTATGTTGACAAAAGGAGGAGTATAAAGAGATATTCTGTTGTAATTTTGGCAAATGAAACTCGAGAGAGGGCTGGTATTTATAAAGCTGAGCAGCTTCATGCCAGGTGGACGCAAACGGAGATCGTCATCAGGACGGGGGCATCGGGTGCTGGGACTCCGATACTAAATCCGCTCCTTAAACCCGTCCCCACGCCGAACATAGCACCGAGAATAACACCGTGTTTCTGGATTTTCTCGTAATCAGCAGAAGGCTGAGACGAATGAGGAACAGGAACCGTCAAATAGCATGTCTCTATTCAAGTAAAAATCTTCGATGCTTCGAAGTATTTGCGAAAATTAGCCGTACGACACCATGGGTTTTATTAGTAGTACTTTTAAGCTTTTAACGGCACTGTGTACTATGCTATAATACCGAGTTCCCATTTATATTTTTCTTCGTACAAATACTAGCATCTATGGTACCAGTACGTCTGAAGTATTCTTATAGCAACTGGAACTTGAATATCACCTTCCAAGGTTTGAGTGTCCGGGTACTAGATTTCTCATCTGAAGCCTAACCTAGCGCAGCGGACATGAATCTACCTTTATTATGGTAGGTTTCACACTATATAGCAATTGCTCTGATGAATGATTCAACAACTATGTTTTACTCAACATGTGAGCCTTGGCATGCTTGGCAAAGTCCCTGCATTGGCCCCAGCCGCCGCAAAAATCTAGTAGAAATGTACGCCTAGGCCCTAGATATCTTTTGGCCTAGCGGGGTATTTTGCCGACCTCCTCACACTCTCTTCAGCAATTATCCAAAAAATTGGAATGTATACCTTTAGTGGGGTTTCGAGAATGATTCGGCGAGAATGATTCGGTAGTAGGGTTGAACTTCAAGTCCCAACTGAATTGAGCTCATCATTATGAACCACAAACCCGTCTTCCTTGCTCTCTTTTATGCAAAGCCTTCAAACATTTTCACTTCCTAAATTTTCCGCCACCATGACTGAGGATGATAATAGAAGTCTACTAGTCCCAACAGAAGACACAGATCGTCCCGTCCCAAATGTAGCCATTGTCGCGACAGCATCCTGTTACCCCGCGAATAGAATTGACCCAGAGGACATTTATGGGATCATTTCCACATCATATGATTCAAGCCCAGTGTATGAACTTTCCCAAGGCTATCTAGTCAGGACAATGTAATCACTGACTCTCCGATTTAGTCTTGAAAAGATTTTAGAAATAAACAAAAAATCCAAAATACAACATCGCCACTCGTCCCTACCAGATGATCATCCGTACTGGAAGGAATCAAAAATACCTACTATTTCAGAATGCGACCTTCTCTTCAAGAAATATGGTATTCCAATGGCAGAGGAAGCTGCCAACAAAGCTCTACAAGATTGGGGTGGCTCCCTCAATGACATCACCCACATGGTTGTAGTCACATGTACCAACACAGCAAATCCAGGGCTGGACTATCTACTCTCTCAAAGACTTGGTCTTCACAGAAATGTGCAGCGAAGTCTAATTCATGGCATCGGCTGCGCAGGTGGCGTGGCTGCTTTGCGAACTGCGAACGAGCTTCTTCTGGGAAGGGCTGCACTCAAGAAGCCAGGGAGAGCACTCGTGGTTGCATGTGAGATGACAACCATTTTCCTACGTACGGAGTTAGCATATATCGTGAGCGATGATGAAGTTCACATTGGACCGACGCTGTTTGGAGATGGAGCTGGTGCATTAATCTTGAGCAATGAAATCGAAATTCAACCCACCGAAAGCAGGTCTCTTTGGAAAATTCTCAATGTCCAGTCCACAACGCTAGAGGACTCGGCGGGATGCCTTGAGTTTAATGTACACGCACACGGTATGATATTTTTGCTTTCTGCGTCTCTTGTTAGTCGAAGAACATCAACACTTACAACTAAGCAGGCTATCACGCTGTAATTTCAAAGGACGTTCCTAAGCATATTTCTTCTTCGCTTTTTCCCGCTTTTCAAGATTTGATTGCTTCAACTCCGTCACTAAATCTTCTCGAAACTAATTTTGATCCGTGCAACTATGATTGGGCTTTGCATCCTGGTGGGTATGGAATTCTTCTTCTGGCGCAGGAGATCCTGGGGATATCGGAGCACCATCTGCGGAAGAGTTACAATGTTTATCGAATGCGAGGAAACACTAGCTCGGCTACTATTCTCAGTGTCATCAAAGAGCTCGCAGACGAGGAGAAGGCCACTGGGACTGGACGGGATAAAGTCGTAGTTGCAGCATTTGGTCCAGGGATCACGATAGAAATGGCTGTCATGGCCCGGGTATAATAAACCCGAGAGTGTGGACCCAGCAGCCTTTCAATAATATTATAAGTTCTGGTATCTGATTATCAGAACTAATACTCATCTCTTATCCAAAAATAATTTGGAGTCTCAAATTTGGCACCAAGTGTGATTCAAAAATTTCGTATTTTCGTCAGAAATTACACTTTTGAGATTGTAACACACACTGGCAACTCGGGTTAAGTGTTGAAAATCATAGATGACGTGCTAGTGAGAGACGACATCGAGCTATAAGATTCAATAAAATGACATCGCTTGAGACAAACTCTCGACAAACTCTCGCGAGAAGAGTTACATTCCATCACCAAAGAAGACACGGATTGGCATCCACGCATCACCAACTACCTTCGACCGAGTTTGAATTCTATCGAGCTCGGTGGTTTCCGCTTCTGATAAGCTCCAATTATCCATCTCAAAGTTGGAATCGATCCTTTCCGGGGTCACACTCTTAGGAATCATACTAGTGCCGCGTTGTAATCCCCACATGATACTGGAGATGTTAACTTTGATGCTATGATAATGAAGTGTACTCGCTGATTTATACTCACAGTATTTGTGCCGCTGTTTTCTCCATCGCGCATGATATCTTCAATACCACAGGATCGTTGATCAACTCGGTGCGAGTGTTTATAGCCGAGTTAGTATGACCACCAAGGCAGGAGTATGCCGTGCAGTGGATTCCCTTTGATCGACAATATTTCAAAATTCTAGGGCTAATTTAGTTAGCAAATTATTCGATAAAAATAGATGCTTCATGGACATACGATGGGTTGTGAGGGTGTAGCTATATGATATCATGATGTCAGAACTGCGCCAACCTGTAATAAGAAAAAATAGAGATACTAACCTCGATTTGATTGACTGCTGGAATAATTTTGCAGGACGGATCATTCAGCAGCCTCTCTAGATGAGAAACTGAGAAGTTTGAAACCCCGATAGTTTTAACCTTTCCTGTGCACAAAAGCTTCTGCATTTCTTTCCAGGTTTTGACAAAATCCCAGTTAGTCAAATGTTTTGACCTGTCTTGAGGGTCCGTAGAACACGGAAAATGTATCAGAAAAAGGTCAATGTATTCGAGGCCTAGACTTTTGAGTGACGAATCAAGCCCTTCCGGTACTCGGTGATGCCAATGGTTGTCCAACTTGGTCGTAACCCAGATGTGATCTCTTGGTACACCCGAGGCGCGAATTCCCTCCCCGACTTCCTTTTCATTCCCGTAGTTCAAAGCTGTGTCTATATGTCGGTAACCTTTCTGAAGAGCATGTTTGACGGCTTCACACGTGGCATGCTCCTCTGACTGCCAAGTCCCGAGCCCAATAGCAGGGATAGCTGCTCCATTATTCAAGTTGAATTTATGCGTAGTGAACGTGGAATTCATAATGGCATATAAAATATGTTCTAAGTTGTGGCTCAAAAGCAGAGCATTTAAATGCCGGCAATGCCATGTTTCAGTGTGCCGAAAACCGAGGGTTGACACGTCAATTGAGGTTTACCGATCTGGAAATACAGAGGGGTAAATTGGCCACAGAAATTCTCGGCAAAGACATTATTCAATTCCACATGACCCATCACCCATGTAAAACGCCAACAAGTCGATGCCGGAATTTATGGACGATCGATACGAAGATTGCGAGTCAGTGGAGCTGGGTTGGGTTGGGGAAGTGGGGGTGATCGGTCAAGTGAGATCGGCCAACTCTGAAGATCCGCGGGATGTGAGGGGGCACACACATACAGCCAATCAACTATGTTTGTGACGATAAGCAAGACATATGTAACCTCGTGAAAATGCTGCCCACGGCGAAGGTACATTTGGAGTCTCCTTTGCCCCATATTTATCTTCTTTGCCGAATCTTGAGCGACAAAAGATGGCGTGGTCGTGGCCAGAAATTAGGCAAAAGCTTCAGTGGTGAGTAATGACAGATAGCTTTTCAGATGCGATTTCCAAGTGCATATTCTGACACGCTCTAGTCCCAAGGACGAAGATGCCCAGTACGAGAACACGACTTGGTGCAATCGCGACTTGATTCCAACTCCACCCGATCGCAGGACTTATGGAGTGTGGTCATACTTTGGTGCGAATTTATGCCCATCAGCTCTTCTAAAAGACCAACTCAATGATTTGTTCTTTTTAGGATACTGGACCGTGTCGGGATCTTGCATCTCTGCATGGTCAACAGGAAGTACTCTCCTAGCCTTCGGATTGAGTCCGCAACAGGCTATCGCCGTAGTAGTAAGTGCTCTGATATCAAGTGGAAATAATTCGTCTGACTTTGTAAAATTCCAGGTCGTTGGGGGTATCTTAGCTGGCTTGCTGGCGGTCGCCTGTGGCTGGATGGGTGAAAATCATCATATCGGATTTACTGTGTCGAGTCGATTTTCATGGGGCATGAGAGGCTCATATTGTTCGTACAGGGAAGCTTAACACACCCATATTACAAGCTAATGGTAACCACAGTCCCCGTCGTTTTGCGAGTATTTGTGTCCTGCATGTGGTTTGGTATGCAGGCCTTTTGGGGAGGCCAGGCTACTCGAGTGATGATTGGAGCCATTATACCCGGTAAGATTCTAAAGTTTTCGTTGCCATACCCGTTGAATACTAACATCTCAAGGATTTGCCCATATGCCTAACTATTTTGCCCCGGGCTCCCACCTTCAAACAAAAGACTTTATCGGGCTTTTAATCTGGATGTGCGCATTCATACCTGGGCTGCTTATACGCCCGGAGAGATTGCAGGTTCCGTTTATAATTTGTTTCACCTTTTTTTGTGGATCATGTTTCGGGCTCCTCATTTGGTAAGTTGAACATCTGAAATCGTTCAATCAATATCAGGCTGACGGGAAAAGGGCCGTTTCTCAAGCGCATGGACCAGGAAGCATGTTCGAAAAGCCGGGTTCAGCGCCAAATGTTGGATGGGCATTCATGTTTGGTATCACTGCAATTCTTGGATCTTGGGGATCCGGTACTCTTGGCCAATCAGACTGGACTCGATATGCCAAACGAAGATTCGCTCCGACTTTATCACAACTCATTGCCTCGCCGTTGACTATAGCCGCAACAGCTACCATCGGAATTATTGTGACTAGTGCATCTCGTGATATCATGGGTGGAGAGATCGAATGGAATCCAATATATCTGCTTGCAGATATTCAAGACTTTTATGAATCCAGTCCTGGTGTTCGGGCGGCTGTATTCTTCGCTAGTATTGGAATGGTGTTCTCCCAATTCTCGGTATGGTATTCCATTTTTTAAGGATCTCGATTACTACTAGTATTTTTAACCGAATCGAAAATAGATTTCGGTTGTTTTAAACTCGGTATCTTGCGGCATGGATATGGCAGGTCTATGGCCCCGATACATCAACATTAGAAGGGGTGGATATATCATGGCTTGTGTTGGAATTGCAGTCCAGTATGCTTTGAGATATACCTGAATCTGAACATTGGAGCTAACCTTTGCAATAGGCCGTGGCAACTCCTCTCTACAGCCGAAAAGTTTCTCTCAGTCCTAAGTGGATTTGGTGTTTTCATGGCTCCTGCAACGTAAGTACAAAAATAAATAAAATCTGATCGCACTGACAGCTGACAACTATGGAAGAGGAATCATGCTTGCCGATTATCATATCGTGCGAAAACATAAATTGAAAATAGGCGATCTTTACTCGGGAGACAGCTCCTCCATTTATTGGTTCGACGACGGGGTTAACTGGAGAGCTTTCGTTGCCTTCTTGGCTGGCATGTGGCCTTTGATCCGTAAGTAAATTTGAATTCCGAAAAACGAAAGTTGGATCAATTAATAGTATCGTTTAGCTGGATTGGTAGCTACGGTCAATTCCTATTCGGGGAGCCAATGGACCGGCTGGATACGTTTGTACAATTTGACGTTCCTTGTCGGCCTAGCTATGAGCTTCTGTGTGTTTTGGATGCTTTCCTTTCTTTTCCCTCCTCTGGGGCTTGGCCAGGAAGCTCCCTTTTGCGGCGACGAAATATTGTATGGCGTTTCAAAGCTTGATGATACGGAGCCTACGGTCCAAGGAGCAGAAAAAGAAATGGCAGTTTCTAGTTCTGTTTGAAATTACGATATTATCTGAGCAATATCGTTGGATCAATGTTTTATTTCCTTCGAGTTTTAAATTTGGATTCTACTTTTTATAGCGCAAATCCATCAAAATTCACAAGTTTTGGTAACCCAGACAAGTCACTCACTGATGAAAATTCCAATGGACCGACTTGAATAGTCAGGTTCCAACGATTTCCGATAACTCGAGCGGCACCGGGGGTATTGCGGCTTGGTATTTCCAGTTGACCTTGAAAATTGTGAAATGTTAGTCTTGAGCACTTTTTATACGGCAATTTGATCGGATACTCTTTCAAATTTTTTGAAAGACTACAATTTAGTTGCGAAAGATATTTCATATGCTTTTCAAAATACCAAGCTGGATTACGATAAAATGTCTCCAGTTGTTCATATCATAATTAATTCTCAATAAATAGTAATCAATTTAGTTTCAAATTAAACCTGATAGATTCTAAGGTTTTTGAACATTGCTCTCAGTAAGTTGCATTCATTCGCATTGAGATATAATCCCCGCTCGTAATCGGCTCGTACTTCTTAGGTCGATCTGGTCCATAGCACCCTGGGACACAATCTATGACACGGTCTCGATCAGGACTGATGAAATAGGGAATAGAATAACGCGGACGTGTGATACGGCCTGATGATTCACCAGGCGAATCAACGAGTGGCGGAGCACGAACACGATGCAGAGTGGACTTGAGCTCGTCATTACTCCAACGCATCAGAAGATCTCCAATGTTGACGACTGCGGTTCCTGGGATGTAAGGAGCCGGATTGAACATTCCCTTTTCATGAATGTCCTCGACTTCTAAGCCGCCAACCTGGTCTTGGAATAAGATGGTCATTGTTCCAAAATCAGAATGCGCAGCAATTCTCTCAGCCTTCCCGAGACGCAGAAAATCTTCTTCCACGGCAGGATAGTGCAATAACCTGCACTGGTTGGTTTTGTTTTGGTGGTATTCCAGAAAAAAGTTTTTCTCCAGACCCATGCCGACGGCAATTGTACTTAGCATCACTTCCTCCATGCCAGAGCAGACTTCAAAAAATTTGGTGAAGAACGCACGAAAACCTGGAAGAATATCTTCGGGAATCCATATATTTGGCATACGCTCATCGGACTCGTTTCCAAGTTCGAAAGACTCTTTAACATCTGGCGTCTTTCGTTTCTCGGCAATACGTTCCTTGTCAAATTCCATTTGAACGACTTTCTCTCGACCAATTCCTGAATAACCTCGATGATACCAGCCTTGTGGTGGGTGAGGTGCTTTGTCTTTATCCGCTTGGGAGAGCGCGAAAAACTTTCGACTCTATTGAAATCCGCGTCAGAATAAGGCATTTTAAAACATTGGGAGATTTCATACCCATTCAAAGGCTTCGTCTATAAGGTCTTGCGGGACACCATGGTTCTCAATGTAAGCGAACCCAACGTTCTTAAACGCGAGGTATACTTCTTTGGCAGCTCGGCGAACCTCGTCGGGGTCTGCTGAACGGGCTCGCTCGAGATCAATAATCGGGATACTTAAGGTATCGGGGGATGATGTAGTCATTTTCGCCAAGTGGCAGGCAGCTCGAGGTTACCTTGGAGACGGGTGTTTCTGTCATCGAGGCGGCTTGAGCCGGGCGTTTTATGCCGTGTAGCCCTGGAGGCGCAAGTTGACAGGTGCGGGGCCGGGCTAATGTCCGCAGTCCTCATCGAGCTCTATCGGCGAGATATGCGTTTCATTGTGGATTGGCCGAGGCTGTCTCGCACACCTTCTTGAAATGGGTTGGCGTTATCGCGATCGGGGAACTGCGTCGCTTAACTCAAACCCCGCAATCACATAGCTCTTGAGGGGCTTTCTCTGTGATCAAAGCACGCCTCCATGACGGGTTCAAATGATATGTGATAAATTTGTCCTTTGTGCAACGATTTGCTTCTACCTTTTGCCGAGTCTTGTGAGCCCAAACCATGGCAGACTTTCATGACCGTGCATACCGCATCGGAGTTGATGTCGGAGGTGAGCCCAAGGAAACACATGACTCCGGTGAAATATAATGACACTCATCCCTTCGATCACAGGAACGAACACCGATGCGGTACTTATCTCCCTGAACCCAGTCTCTATTGTGACCTCTCATAAGGCGCCAACGACACCGGATGTCACCACAGGGATTACCAATGCAGTACAAGCAGTGATTGACGCCTCCAATGTTTCGCGCTCATCCATCGGTTGCATTATTATTGGCACAACACATTTTGTCAATGCTGTCGTTCAGCGCTCACCTTCATTGCGAAGTGTCGCGGTTATCAGACTTTGTGGAGGGCCCGAAGAAGGATTTGGGCGTGGAATTCCTCCTTTCATCGATTTCCCTGCAGATCTCCGAGCTTGTATTGAAACGCCTCAGGTCTACTTCTGCCATGGAGGATTCCAGATTTCCGGCAGTGAAATTAGCCCTCTGGATATCAAGGAGCTCGAGCGCGTGTCTGATGATTTGGTCAAGAACAACATCTCCAACATCGTCATTGCAGGCATGTATTCGCCAATAAACCATCTGCACGAGACAAAAGCCAAGGAGATTATCCTACGCTCCATGTCCGGTCACGGAAAGCCTGGCTTTAAGCCTCGCATTACATTATCTCATGAGGTGTCTGGGCTGGGATTTCTTGCCCGCGAGAATGCTGCAATTCTAAATGCCACATTGCGACCACTGGCCGAGAAAACGATAATTGGATTTCGAAAAGGGATGGAAAATATTTTCCAAGGAACTCCCTATACATTATACCTCACTCAGAATGATGGTAGTGTTCTCGGTGCTTCAGAGGCTATTGAGCTGCCCATCCGGACGTTCAATTCTGGACCAACGAATTCCATCCGTGGCGGGGAGCTGTTGTGGCGAGCCGCAGCCGAGGCAGATGGCGAAAGGTACGGTAAAAGGACCGAGCCACTGGTGGTTATCGATATTGGAGGTACGACATCCGATAGCGGGCTACTACTTCCAAATGGTTTGCCACGGATGAGCTCTATAATGAGTCTCGTCGGTGGAGTTCGTACCAATTTTGCCCTTCCCGCGGTCGAGAGCATCGGGTTAGGTGGTGGCTCTATTATTCGGACTATGGGTGACGGGCCTATCTCCGTCGGTCCGGATAGCGTTGCCCTCGAGCTTCTTGAGAAGGCCAAACTATTCGGCGGAGAATTTCTGACTGCTACTGACATTGTTGCTGCGTCAGAGCTACTTGAACCTACAGGTCACAACCCATTTTCAGGAATGGGTCTCCCCCGAGCGTCTAGGAGACGTGACCCCCGAGGTGGTAAATCAAGCTCAGATTGCGATGAGGCGAAAGATAGAGGACCTCGTGGACAGAACAAAAATCCAGAAAGGCGAGGTCGATGTTCTAATCGTTGGTGGAGGAGCTCCTATAATTCGGACCGACGAACCCCTTTCTGGCGTACGTATGCTGCGAACTGTCAAGGGTGGTGAAGTTGCCAATGCCGTTGGTGCTGCTGTGTCGCGAGTTTCCGGGGTGATCGATACTGTCATCGATATATCTAACCGAATGGTCAAGGATGCACAAGAGGAAGTCTCCGGACTGGCGACCAAAAAAGCGATCTCGAACGGCGCCAGACCTGATACTATTCAAATCGCAGAGGTAACCATCTTGCCGATCCAGTATGTAGAGGCAAAAGCACGAATCGTGGTCAGAGCGATCGGAGAGCTAGACGTGGTCTTGCAGCAGGAGTTATCTGGGAAATCTATGGGTGATTCTTCTTTCGAAGATGAATCATCAAGTCATCGAAATCACTCCGCTCAAAAGATTGCTCCGGACGAAGAGGTTGACATCAGAACATACAGACCAGAAGTAAGGGATGGACAATGGATTATCTCTCCCACCGATCTCTCATTCATAGCCCATGGCTGCAAGATTCTCGGATGCGGTGGTGGTGGAGACCCATATCAAGAGTATCTCAAAGCTAAGGCCATTGTTCGTCAATTCCCCGGGAAAATGAGAGTTGTCGCACCTGAATACCTTACAGATGAGTCTCTGGTTGGATGGACCGGCTGCATGGGCAGCCCAGAGGTCAGCATGGAACGACTTGAGAATAACGAGTGTCTTCAAGCCCACGAAGAGCTAATGCACGTCATGAAAAGCCCACCAGTTTCCGGTTTTCTGTCATTGGAAATTGGCGGTGGTAATGGCGTTGTGAATTTGAGCGTTTCTGCGCATTACGGGGTACCTTGCGTGGATGCTGATTTCATGGGGCGCGCATATCCGACTACATTCCAGATCACCCCGAATGTTTATGGGCCACCAAGTGGAGATGCTCTAGTTCCTAATACTATTGCAAGTGGCGACGGATCATTTATCACGATGACGAGGTCACGAACAGACATATTAGTCGATAAGGCTCTTCGGGCAGCTTGCGTGGAGATGGGATGCAGGGCTGGCAGTGCCGGAGCGCCAAAGACTGCCAAAGTCGTCCAGGAGCAGGCTGTAACGAATACCGTGTCGCTTGCATGGTGGATTGGAAGAGCAGTCGCTCTTGAGAAAAACATTTCAGACAAGGCCCTTCGCATCATTGATGAAGTCGGAGGCCCGGACAGCGCAGCAATTATCGCAAGAGGTAAGGTTATTAATGTTGAGCGAATTCTGAAGACTGGGCACACGTATGGTGTCCTGGAAGTCGATGGCACTACGAGTGACGGAAGCAAGGCACTTATCAAGGTTCCTTTCAAGAACGAAAATGCCTTTGTTGAAGCGATATCAGATGGGCAGTCCAAGATCCTGGCAGCTGTGCCGGATCTTATTGCCGTAATAGATGCAGAGACTGGGGCGGGTCTTGGAACACCAGAGTACAAGTATGGTCTAAAAGTGGTTATCATTGCCATAGCTGCTTCGCCGAGATGGACTGATAGTAAAAGAGGAATGGAATTGGGAGGACCGGGCTCAATGGGATTCGAAGAAGTCCAATATTCTCCAATTGGAAAATATAGCAAGCCTCGAAGTGTAATTGATGTCTACGGCGCTCCATAGCGGCAATCGACCCAGTGTTCCTGTCAGGGTCGAAGCATTTTAAAATGACTAGTATCCTATTTGGTATCTTACCCAGTTCAAGTTATACTCAGTATTCAGTACTTTGAGTAATTATTTTTTTAGCAATTTGCATACAAGGTAAAAGAATACGGGGCAGCAGAGACATCAGATTGATTGCCGCTATGGAGCGCCGTGAATTTCCTTAGTTGAGAAGATGAGTAGTTACTACCATATGCCACTGGTGCAGCGTTGTACACTTCAACAAAAAGCCTTCCAGTTATTTGCAAAGAAAAGAACAATCACCACAATTCCATGTTCAATGCGCTCCCATTTCAGTCCTCATTATTCGCGCCGCCTGAGTAAAAAAGGAGTAAATTCGCAATGCCACCGGTCGGACTAAAGCAAGGGATGCATCGTCAATTGCCCATTCTCGAAGTCTTTGAAGAGAGTCGTGAAAGCTTTCCAATAATGCAAAAGCTGAATGGACCTGAGTTGGAGTCGATGCTAGTAAAAATAGATATATCAAAAAGTTTCCGCAAAGTGTTAACTGTGAACGGGCGTCTAGCAAAACGAATAATGTCAATTTCATAGCTTGGAAGAGATTGTAGGGGTTACACACGTCCACCCCAATATGCATGCAGGCATTGTCGCGTAATTCCATTGATGAACAGGGTAAATTCTTGAAAGGAGCTGACAGCGAGCTCAAAATGGCGACACAGAGAAGAATTTGAATCTAGTTTCGCATTCATCTTTGCAGGGCTCATAATAGCCCGAAAAAGAAGGGCCTGAACTGTAAAGAAGGCGAGATTCAAAGGCGCTGCAGAATAGTCAACCACTTGTTACCAGCTGGATGAGTTATAAAGATTCTCCATGAGTACCATTATTCCTGAAATTAAGCGATTCTTGGGTGGATATCATTGTCGTGCATCTTGGCATCATTGAAATCCATTCGTCAAGATCACTTTTAATTTTCAGTAGTCCCTGCTCGCGCTGTAGAGGCTGTTGCATAGATGTTTCATGTGCAGTATCGGAGCTGCTGCCATTGTCAGTATACTGTGTATTTTGAGTATTGAGATATTGCTTGATATTCACTAATACGAGTCAATCAAATTATGCAAAATCTTGTTCAACTTAACTGATTGAATAAATCGAGCTGTAGTAGAAATTTCAATACCCTTATTGGAATTATCTACCAGATAAAATAGAGTGTCAGGAAGATCTTCATCAGATTCTAGGCATTCTCTGTCGGGGTCAGTGGTTGTGAAAGATTGCCGATAGATTAAAGGAGGGTTTCCATGACACACGGAGGACCAGATGTCAGCATTGTAGGTAAACCACCATAATTTCCTACGCAGTCTCTTTTCCCATGACGCAATCTTCCAGTTTGTTGGATCTCTGTGTAGACCAATCATCTGAGCACACGCCACGGTGTGAGCAGACTGAATCCACGTGCGTGGTGTTTCAATCGTCGCGTTGTCCGCAGGTCTCTCATAAAGAAGTAACAGACAAGCTTGAAGTTTCCAGAGATTTGGCGCATGGAACTCTCTCTGCAGGGAGGAATGAGCTTCTTCAAACAGATCATGTAGATCAAACACTAGTCTTTCTTTACCAGGCTCGTTCTGCCAGAACATTGATCCGAGTCCGTAGATGGCACCTCGTAGAGAGGCGGGGATTTTGAGCTTATCTGTGTGGTAGCAGTCGAGGAATCTGGTTTTTGAGACCACGCAGTACACAGGATGGACATGCTGAAAGAACAAGCGTATTAAAGCTGGCCCATGTAGCCCGACCATAGATTCGATTTTCTCCGACGCGCGCGCTTTAGCAATATCATCTGCAGGCTGGAACTCATCATGGAGAATATTGAAGTGGACCGGGGAATGCCCCTATGAGGATCTCCAGGGCCAATCTGCATTATATCTGCACTCACTCCATTTTGTTCATTCATTATGACCGATCGGAACGAGGCCAGGAGATCTGTATCTTGCTCGGCACAGAGACCCATATTATGAGCCGTTCGGTTCAGATTGTCTTCCAGCGTCAATATTGGAGAGCATTCGGAGGATTGAGCGAATGATTCTAGTGATCCACCTTCCTGCGGTGCCTCCTGCATCGTCCATTGAACTTCTTGGGAATTTCCATGGTCGAGGGGGGTAGCATTTCTCGGCCCATGGCTGCTTCATGAGTATGGGACGGTCCGTTTGGGAGCGATGTCGCACCTCCTGTGCCGTATGCAGCTTCAATTGTTTCCCCTGTACGGAGAGATGCCCGACTCGACATACCAACTGATCGTCCCGTCTCTTCCTCTAGCAGCTCAAGTGGGCCTTCATCTTGTGCAGATCGACAGGAGAGCCCTCTGGAGCGGCAAAACCGGCCTGCGAGTTCGTTAAAAAAGACCATGAAAGTCGCCACCATCCTGGCACATGCTTGGGAGGAAAGCGATTGGTAACATACATGGTGGCTCTGATTCAATCACGCAAGCTGTTTTCCTCCGGCGACATGTATCACATGGTCGATTCTTCCGACTCCTCCAGTTCCTTGCGCTACCAAATCTAGTTCTGATCTTGAACGTACGCTTGCGCTGCACACGACGATCCATTGAGGAGGTCAACCGAAGTTGAAGTTATCAGATGAGATGCCAGGAGATGACAAGCGCGATTCCCGAGATAAGGGGGAGGAAGGTTGAAGTGGTGGAGTTGTGGTGGAGCTCAAGCAGGTCCGTCGTCTTAACTAGGCGCTTCACCCCGCCGGCGCTAAGGCCTACTACTAGTGTACCCACCACCTGATTCCGGAAACATTTGATCGAAGATAAACAAGCTTTTACATGCTATTTCTATGAAGTAATGGATAAAATGCAAAAAGAAAATGAGTGATTCTTTTCACGAGGAGAAATTCTCTACTACCTAGGTGATGTTGATTCGTCACCTGAGCATGTGTTCAGATCTCCCGGGCTATGGATACTAGATAATAGCAACTTGAACGCCACTCAAGCTTTTAATGTCTCTTCTTGCTTAGAAGTCTTTTCAAATCTCCAGACACCACAAAGTAGGAGAAGAAAAGGAATTGTGCTTAGTAAAATGAACGCTACCAGCGTGAAAGACCAGCCTCGGCCCAGGGCTGTCAACATGGGGTCGATGGCAGCCGACGCACCGGCTGAGAAAAAGGAACGAACGAGGTTGTTGGCCGCAGTTGCAGCTGCAGGCTGCGACGTATGAAGATCTACCAGAAGTGTGGAGGTGCTAATAAACCCGCCTGTCTGACCAACTCCAACAAAGAAAAGCAAAATTTCCGGAGCCGCCAAAGGCGCAGCGTATTGAAGGACCCAGCCAAACGCAAGGACGGTAACACTTCCCACAATGACAAGAGGTATGGTGATCATGCTGCGAGCTTTCTCGACCGGGATCGCATCCTCGGGTTTCTCTTCCCCCGTGGTGGGATCATTGTCTAATTTGGAGCCCATCCGTCGATAGTTCCAGTCCAGCATTCGCCCCGTGGTGACAGAGGCCACAATTGAACCAGTACCCAAAGTGATGTAGCAAAGGCCAATTTGAAGCATACTCAAATTGTATTGACTGCTGTAGATCTCTGTGATTGATGAAAGAACGGTCATATTGCCGCCCATGATAATACCAGTGACGATCAGAATAATAATCGAGTTTGGATGGCATACAACCGCCAGTGGTTTGAGTGGGTTGGGAAAGCTGAGTTTGTGCTTGGGTTTAAGAGTTGATTCACCGGTTGATGGTCGATCAGAACCCTCCGTGCTGGCACGGGACAGGGCTTCGGCCACTTTCTCGTGAGAGAGAAGATACTGGACGAAGGGCCGATTCCATGACTGTGCTGGAAGTGAACCATCGCCAACAACATTGCGTGCCGTTTCCGGGAGAAAGAAAAGCAGCGGGACTAAATAGACCCCAGACACAATGGTCAGAAACCAGAAAATAGACCTCCAACCGAGATATTGAGCAAGAAGACCGCCGATGATGGGGCCAATTGCTGGCCCCATAAAATTTCCAGCCATCACGATGCCCATCATTGAACCTCGTTCTTGCTTAGTACTGACATCGGCTACAGTAGCAGCGGATAGCGCTACACTGCTGCTGATTCCTGAGCTCTGCATACATCGCAGTACGAGCAGCGCGGCATAGTTGTCTTGTAATGCGAGACCGATATTTGATGCGATATAGATGATGAAACAAATGATATATGCGGGTCGACGTCCAGTCTGATCGGCAAAATTACCAATGAACATAGGGGCAATTCCTTGGAAGATCTTAAATCATCATGTCAGTTCACTGCTAGATTTCGTCAAGAAATAGCAACAACTGATTTGGTTGATTAAACGGGGCATGCATACCATGTAACTTGTCACTGTCAAGTTGATCAAGGATGTCGAGACATTCAAATCCTCAGCCAGTGTGTTTAGGGCCGGGAAGTAGATCTGTGCGGAAAGAGACGAAAAGAAACCCGCTCCAGCAGCTGTAAATACGATGTATCTTTTCATGCCATTGCTAAAGGAGCTGTATGGAGGAGGCGGTGCCTCAGCGAGTGTGGTGTCTGAGTTCATGGTTGTCGAATTCGGTTGGTTATGGAAGAGAAAACCATGGGAAAGTAATGAATGAATTCGAAGTCGAAAATTGAGGGCGATAGAGCCGAGGAGAGAAGTGAAAGAATTCTGTGTTTAAGGGTCACTCCCAGTGATGATCCCCTATCCCTTTTTTACTTTATGGCAGTTCCTACATTACTCATAGTGCCATCGGAAGAAAGAGAATTATGATCGAATATTCCCCAGACTTTGCGCAGGTTGACGCGACAGTTCCACTTACAAAAGTCGGAAAGCTTGTGATAATGAGGTGATGGAACCGGGTTTGCCAAGAGTGATCGGCCATCTCAAAAATGATCACTCGGCTGCATTTCCAAGGCCAAATGAAAATGGAAATAAACTCACCTTCGGGCGGCAAGATCGCCTCAGGCGTCTCCTTCGGGTTGGGGCTGTGTAGAAGGACTTCTGCAGCAAAACGGGTCGCCGATGGACGGCCGCGCTACGGGGCCGGGATGCCACGGGAATCAGTGGTTTGATGTGAATGAGCCGTAGCTCCCCCTGGCCTGTCTTCTTCAGGGTCCCCGAGAGTCAGGGCTCCGATAAAACGTGTTTGGATATTCAGGGTCTAACTGGTCTCGAATGTTTTAGTGCGCGTTAGGTCCACTTGGAACCCACTGATCTACCCTGATCTACCCGGCATCCATCGTGGCTGGGCGGAACCTCTTTATAATGAGGATCAAATACTTTTATAATGCAGTGCGTCATAGCTCCCTTCGCCCTTTACATTTATATCCGACACACTTTCAATTGCCACATGGAGGCGACTAACAGGGAATAAAACTACCGAATTCTCCCAACACTCCCCTGATCCGTATTCTGTTATACTACTTTCCGTGCCAAAGGCGAGACTGTGAACTATGCAAGAATTAAACTGTAGAATAAAACAATAGGATAGAGCGTGAAAATCATCGGGACCCAAAACACGCTAGCATGATCATCAATTCTAATGTGCGCAATCATATGCTTCGACTTCACTGCGTGCGGATCTACGCCTGGATCTCATCAGCAATACACTCCACTATATGAGGGTTTCCACCACAAAGCTTCGAGAATTGGTTAAGCTGAGATGGTTCGTGCATCCATGGATGATCATCCAGGCCTCATCATTATGCTCCGTACTCCGTACCTATACTATTGTAGAAGCCAGCCCACGCAAGCTTGTGATCACGCCATCCCAATTATAGATATTCCTAATTTCTATAGACCGCGTAATGCGATCTCATCATAATGCGAAGAAGTATGGAACTGCCAAGGGAATTTTCATAACGTAAAATGGGAATTTCCCGGCTACAATGAAGATCAGGGTATATTCTGGGATATGGGTCGAAGGCAAAGAGGAGGTGAGCGAATAATGGAAGTTCGACTCCTGAACTCTGGGCTCGGGACCATTACCTGTGCTTCTATGGCTCTATGATTTTCATGCAAGTCAACCTTCAAGTCGTATCCCGTGAAATGAAATATAAAGGGCAACATCCTCCTCAGTCGATATAAGCTATCAATCAATTCACTAAGAGCATTCTTTCCAAGGTTACTATAACTTAGCCTCACTTTTTTTTTTATCTTTTTCCAACGGACATATCACACAACGCCCAAAAGCATAATGACTGCCACAAACTTTGACTCCGTATCATCCGTCACTATCATCGGTGCTGGGCCCTGTGGGTGTGCCTTTGCTGCTGACCTGGCTAGCCGTGGCAAGTCTGTCATGCTCTATGGCCACCCAGACCACCGCGGTGCCATTCCTATGATTGAAGAAAACGGCGGCTGGCTCGAGGCTGACGGAGCCTTCGAGGGCAAGTACCAAATTCAGACCACCAGTGATCTCTACCTCGCTATCCGACACTCTTCTTTCATTGTCACCACTGTTCCCTCTTATGGCCAAGACACTATCCTGCGCACCTTGAGCCAGTTTGACCTCCGCAAACACACCCTCATTATCAATGTTGGCAACTTCTTCTACCTCGCTGCGCGTCAAAAAGTCAACGCCCACGCAATCCTCGAAACAGACATTTCCCCCTACGCCGTCCGCATCGTTGGAAGCAAGGTTTTCATCAAGGGTGTCAAGAAAAGTTTGGCCATTTGGGCCGAGCCCCCGACAACTCAGGTAGAGCGCCTTGATGCCGGCGCTGAAGCCAACCTTCGCCGACAAGTCGAAGGGATTTTCTCGCAGAACTTGGTCTGGTGCAAAAACTTGCTCGAAGTTGGTCTGAACAACGTCAACCCCGTCGTCCACTGCCCGGCTGCTCTCATGAACGCAGGCTGGATCGAGGCCACAAAAGGCGACTTCTTTTTCTACGCCCAGGGCATGTCCCCTGCCGTCTCTCGCGTGACCGAGAAAGTTGACCAGGAGCGTTTGGCCATTGGTCGTGCCTATGGTCTTGAGATCATTCCCATCACTACCTACATGAACCAAAACTACAGCCATGACCGAGAATTCGCCGACTACCATGATTTCGCTGCTGGGTCAGTCATCCACAACAAGACCAAGAGTGCCCCCACCAGCATGAAGCACCGCTACCTGTTGGAGGATATCCTTTACGGAATGGTGCCTTGGTATGAGCTCGGTCTAAAGGCTGGTCTGCCTTCTCCTACGATTCGCTCGCTTATTGAGATGGCTTCTGTCGTCAGCGGCTTCGACTACTTTGAGCACGGCCGAAGCCTCAAGTCCGCAGGTCTTAGCGATGCTTCCTCTGAACAGATTCTCATGGCACTTGGTGGACCGACGGATAAGTCCTCCAATGTTCGTGCCCTGCCAGACTCCCCTGTCAACAGCAATACCCTGGACTTGCACGTTCCATTCCAAACACCACAGGCCGTTGCCTAAAATTCGAACGCGTTCGATTGGTTCGAAGAACAAAATATTTTCTTTACAGCTTTGGATTAGACCTTTAATACCTGTGCTTCAAGTTGCGTCTCTATTTTGCTTTTGTACTTGGTTGGAATTGTTGCTAGATCATCTGGCCGTCTTGGAGTCTAAATTCTATCGGAGTCTAATGGTTCACAAATTATAAGAAATTCCCATATTTACTTTCATACATCACGAAGTCTGCCTAAATTTGTTGTAGCTTTAAAAACTGTCTTCATCTAAGAATACTACTAGCAGTACAAGGCTTGACTGGCTCCGGGCCTGCTAGTATATACAAATGATTATAGTACTAGTAGAAAAACAGCGTCTCTACCTCCGAGTCTGTAAATGCCTCAGAAATCTTTGCATAAATCCGCTCAAGTCCACCCCATCGGCAAAATCTAAGTGCAGCTGGAGCTACCAGCAACAAAAGTACCATCCGAGTTCTCGCAACCACACTCTCCGGTGTTGGGGTCCTTGATGCAGGTAGTGCCGTAACCGGAGCTCTCGCCACCGCTGCCCCAGTAGAAGATCCAGTAGTCGGAGTCGGTCTCCAGCTCACTGCTGGTAGGGGCGGTACAGGTGTAAGCGGTGCAAGTACCGTAGGGAGCACCGTTGTTTGCGTCGTATTGGTGGTCGGTCTCGAAGACGGCAAAGGTCTGTGTGGTTGAAGTGCGAGTGTTGTGGGAGCACTCGGCGGCCTGGATGGCATTGGACGTGGCGGCAGCTAAAGGATTGCCCAGTGCCCAGTGTGAGTGGATATCTCCATGGGTATTTCAAGGATGGGATTTTTGCTCCGCTGAGCAGAGAAAAATTTCAGGATACTACCTACCGCTGCAGTTGAGGGTGCTGGGCTTCTTGCCCTTGGTGTTCGATGTAGCCGGGTCCAGGGTGGCTGCAACCATGGCCGGGGCGGCCAGAAGAGCGATAAGGCCGGTGAAGTGCATTTTGAAGGCTTTTGAGGGCTTAGATTGAGTTTCTTGCTTGTAGTGAATCCGTCAGATAGAATATTAAAATCAGATCATGATCTAATTGATATTTATACTCGTATCGCCCGTCAGACCTTCGGTCGTGTTTCCGAGACATACGATCAAGGATCTATCAAGCTACGTCTATCTGACACAGGCTTATTTCCCCGGAGAGAGACCGCCGAAGGCCTAGAGCGATGGAATAAAACAACGAGAAGGAGTTTAATGATTGTCGTTGTCAGGGGGTCCCCACATTGGACTGTTGGGCGTAGAAGCCCCATCAAATACGTTTCAGGTTTGGCTTCCAAGCCATTATGGGTCAATCTGGCCTGTCTGCGGGCCGATTTGTTGAAGAAGCTTCCGGAATCCAGTCAAGTATGCTAACTAGTAGTGTCTGCAGCTCGAGGAGTAAACGGAGTCTTCAAAAACCTTAGAAGGCACAGCCTAGTACGATCCACTTGGATAATTGAGTTTTGGATACCCACTTACCTACTAGTGGGATGATCATCTGATAATTGGGACTTGAACGAATCCTCTGATGGATGCGGTACTCGTCAGCTGAGTTTCATGCAAACTGATCTGTTTGAGAATTTCTTTTCCAGATCCCGAGTTAATAAGCCACGGATTCCAAGGTTGCCAGAGCTATCAGGACCGTGTTACTTCGGAGTCTCTCCTAAACACCACCACGTTTTGGAATTCCAGATACCCCGGGCTGGGCCATTTCCAAACCTATATTGAAAATAGATTCATAAATATACTCATAAATATTATGGAGCCATGTATATAAGGATGCTTGCTAAGATACAGTAGAATTTCATCAGGAGCAGCTCGCTGCGTTTTCATACCCGGCAAGGCACGTCTTTCATTCACCAGATCTTCTTGGCGACCATCTCATACCGCTGCACATGGTCAATCTTCAAATCCTTATCCTTGTTCTTATCCCGATCTTCCTTTTCCTTGACACGTCTCAAACCCTCCGGGTCATCGGCATATATCCAACGACGCTTCTCATCTCCGACCTCGACCATTCCCCAGCCCCCCGCACGACGGCTTCCTTCAACATTGAACTCGTCCTTGCGCGGCGCTGGCGTTTCAGCCGCGGATTGTGGTTGTGCCGACGCGTGAGAGGACTTGCGAGGCTCTGTTTCTCCAGCTTTCATCTTCTTGTATCGAGAGCGAGCGAATGCGAGAAGAAGCATTCCCAGAAGGAGTTTGAGTATGAGCAGAATAATGAATCCGGTCAATATTAAGATGGCGGTGAATATTTGGACGGATTGTGCTGGAGATGGGATAGCGTTGGCAAGGAGGGTGCGGAAGAGGGCGTTGACGTGGGCGACGGATACGGGGATGAATGTTTGGAACGTCAAAGGGGTTGTCGATGGAATAGGGGAGGGCGCGTAGTGGTTATGGATAGATGATAGGGATGTAGACTCCATGGCTGTTGAGGAGGGGTGCTGCGGCATTAAAGACGCTAGGAACATTTGGTATGTCTGAACTGACACACGTACAAAGAGACACGAGAGCGGGATGACGGGTAGACCCAGACGACGGGTCAAATTCTGGTCACCAAACGCATTCGTGTAGTAGTCTTTGGCAAGGACGTCTAGGTACCGACGGTACAAAGTAGGGCGATAGTTGTTGAACTTGCTGATGTAGGCATGTTTCAGCCAATCGACGAACATTTCAGATCCCAGCACCACCAAGAAAGGCCCAAGAACCTGTGCCAATGTTGGAAGAAATGAGTTGACACTGCTGACGGAGGATAGGATGGAAGAGGGAAAGAATGTGAACGACTGAGGGAGAATGGAGGATGCAGTTCGCGGGGGCGTAGACAGTGGCGTGCTGTTGGTGCTGGTAGACGGGGCGGAGAAAGAGAAACTTGACCCTAAGCTCAAATCCCCGATAAAGCTGAAAGCGCCTGTCTCAACGATATTGCGAGACGCAATTATGGTGAGCATCAACCACAGTTGAAACCGTTCAACAACATCAGCGCAAGTAAGTTGAAAGAGGTTCTCCTTTTCAAATTTGCGAAAGACGGTCGACTTGATCTCCACGAACTGGTTAGACAGTAGAAGCGTGATGAGGGCGTTTGAGTAGGAGTTCACAGCAACATTCAAAGTCATGACCTGGTAGAACAAAGAGGTAGAATGCGCTACTGTGTATCCAAGCGCGAGAAAGAAAAGCCAAAATGGACGGAAGATTTTACTGCGACCATCCGGACGACGCTCAAGGGCTTCGCGCGAAAAGAGGCACTCTAGAACATCCTGGCCAAGAGCGGCCAAGAGTCTGTCGCTGACTTCCAGTACATTGTAAATCACATAAAGCTTGATGGCAGCTTGTCCACGAATCCAATGATACATTCGACTAGCATCGAAGTACATCAAAGCGCAACAGGTAGCTATCATGAGCAGCCCTGTAAGGATGTCCGCCTTGTCGTCTGGAAGCAGGGCCGATGGGATTGATTTCTGTCTTCGATGATGCCGCCGAGACTCAGAGCCACGATGGCGTCGTTTTGATTGGTCATGTCTGGATCGGTGCTCCCGATCTAAAGCAGAAATATCTTGCGTAGAAGATCCATTGGGTAGCCGGGGCGTCGCATCAGGCTCACTGCCGTGTTTTTCTCCTTGATCGTCTCCGGAAGACAGCTTTCTCCTCCGCCAAACTCGTCCGATACCGTTGACAACAAATCTCCAAATGAAACGGGCCTCGCCCTGCAAGTTCATCACCCATGACTCGCATAGCATATACAAAGCCTTCACAAAGCGGAGTGGGAGAATCGTGAATGAATAAAGCCAAGCATCAAGACAAGCCAGTGACCCGAAACAGAGTACCTGCTCTAGGGCGGGTGGGAGAATTAAAAAGTTCAATAATCTTTCGATTTTGGCGCTGGACGACTCATAAGGGAAATCGCTGTTTGAAGCACGATGAATATACAGTGGTGAAGGTCGACCAGATGCAAGCTCAAGTTGAAGGTATGTGGGTATCGAAGCGGGAGGGAGAGGAATAGATGGAGGCATGGGAGATGTCAGAGGCGACTCGATAATCTGAGGCGACGCAGCAAGGTGGGCTTTCAAATCGCGGTCTGCGGCAGGTCGGTCTTGTCTCGAGCGTGTCGCCCAGGTTTGGGACAGACGTTCGTTAGTAGGTGCCGCAAAGTTCGGGCGCCGCGAAAGACCAGGTGTCGAGAACGTGCGCGATGCATGGGGTCGGTTTCGAACTGGTCCGCTGGCAGCATTTCGCGGAGCGACTGGGCTAGTAGGCAATGACGATTCGTCCATCAAGAACTCCTTTGGTGGGCGGATCTTGAGGGAAACATCTGGTTTGGAGGAGGCGGACTCGCTGAGGGATTGCAGCAGGGAGTCTCGCACGGTGTCTCTGGCCTCTGCTCGATCCAGCGAGACATTTGAGGGGACATTCTCAGACACACTCCGTTTTCCTGTTGTTGAATCTAGATCTACCGCTCGGTAGGGTATTGACTGAGGCGAAGAGGTAAGTTCTTGGATCTTCTCCGGAGAGAGCTTCAAGACCTTTTCCTTCTCGTCGGTAGGCCGCAAAGTCGAATCTTCAACGAGCTCTGCCAAAGCTACCTTTGCCTTTTGCCCGTCCATAAGATTCACGATGGAAGTTCGTCCGCGCTTATTGAAGTCACCAGGTTGGCTTTCAACCAAGATGCCGAGGCCCTGCTCCGGCGATTCGGCCAAGGGCCCACTAGTATGATTCTCACTCAGAGTCGGGGGAGCCTCCGCAGGCGCTTCATCGAGGACTGCATTCTCGCTAGCATCCGTTTCTGAGGGTGTCAACATTCCATCCCCATTTTGTCCTTCAGAGAGAGGCGAGTAGTCTTTGGCTAGCTTCACCGTCCCATTCCCGTTTGTTTTAGGGACAGGGTCATCTGCCATCGGGCTCATCCTGACGGTTTGGGGGGGTCAAATATTGGTCGTGCGCGTGTGCGATGTTTTTGTCTTTGTATGAAAATCGCAGTGTCGACGAATCAACGTGAGTACGTGGCTGTTGCTCGCATCATCCGTGTTCGACCCCAGATCCGACAAGAGAATCAGACAATCAGTTCGTGGCGGTGAAGTCGGGAAAGGGTGCGGACACGCGACCGGAGGAGATGGGAGGGAAATCAAGCTAGGTAAAAAAGAAGAGGTAATCGTGATTCAGCCAAGTGGCATTTTGGAGCGGGATAGGGGAATCTGCAAAGGGCAAGATCAATGCAGCAGTCATGCATAGGAAGCATGGGACAGCTTGAGCGACCGGGGAAAAGATAACGGCGTTAAGGGATTAGCTTGGTGGAGCGGGTCACATGATGTACCCACAACTAGTATATACACTATGGGATAGTCTTTAAGAGAAATTACGAGAATTGATAGTTTAAAGTAGACAGTTTGGATTAATGTAGACTTGATTTGAAATTTGTCTATGCTAAGAGAGCTGTGGAACAACGAGTGATCGAGAAAATTCACAAACGAAGGGGGTATGGGTATGGATAACTATGGGTAACGTATTTCATGGGTGAGCTGGCCACCCGGGTGAGCTGGCCACCCGCCCCACTTACGCGTCGCGTGTAGAAACCTCCTTTCTTCAACCATCGCCATGCCACCAATTCGCAATGGAAACCGACAAAAATTGATCGAGCAAGAGGGCAGGATGGTATTTGCCATCCAGGCCCTAAAAGACCAAAAAATATCATCTATCCGCGAAGCTGCGCGTGTTTTCGACGTACCGCGTTCCACATTGCAAACACGGCTCAAGGGCGCAGTTCATCGGCCAATTAAACGCGCAAACAATATGAAATTGACAGCAATTGAAGAGGATTCATTAGAAAATTGGATACTAGACCTTGATTCGCGTGGCAAAGCCCCTACACATATGATGGTGAAGGATATGGCCAACATATTACTTGCGGAGCGGCCACATAATGGTAATATCATTACTGTCGGCAAAAACTGGGTATATGAGTATGTCAAACGTCGGGATGCTCTTAAACCTCGTTTTTCACGTCGATACAATGCACAGCGTGCTTTATGTGAGGATCCAAAGGTTATCAAGGAGTGGTTTCATCTTTTTGCTACCAAAATTGCCGAATATGGTATTCATGATGATGATATTTACAACTTTGATGAAACTGGCTTCGCAATGGGGATTACAAGCACTTCAAAAGTGATCACTGGCAGGGACTTTCATGGGAAGCGAAAACTCCTACAACCTGGTAACCGGGAGTGGATAACAGTGATTGAGTGTATCAATCGGAATGAGGTTCTACCTCCAACCATTATCTTCAAGGCCAAAAACTTAATGACAGGCTGGTTTAATACTGTGCTAAGAGACTGGCGATTTGAGGTCAGTGATAATGGGTGGACAACTGATCCAATTGGCCTCTCATGGCTCGAAGATAACTTTATTCCTCACGTTGTCAAGAGGCGATGTGGTGTCTGGTCAATGCTTGTTATAGATGGTCATGGGAGTCATCTGACCCCCGAATTTGATTCAATATACATGGCAAATAATATTGTTACAATTTGTATGCCTGCACACTCATCTCACCTATTACAACCTCTGGATGTTGGTTGTTTTGGTATATTGAAGCACTTTTATGGCCAATATGTGCAAGATATGGCCCGTGTCGGAACGACTCATATTGATAAGCTTGATTTCCTTGATATCTACCCTGCAGCGCGTGCAGCAACCTTTAAGGTCTCTGTTATTACAGCAAGCTTTACTGGCTCTGGTATTATACCTTATTCGCCAGAGAGAGTGCTACAAAAACTTGATATACGCCCTCCAACACCTACACCACCACTATCACGTGGTAGTGCTAGTAGTCGTGAATTTGTGCCACATACACCATGCAAATCAGTCAGTTTCAAACGGCAAATATCATCAATTAAACGGTTAATTGAGCAGCGATCAAATATGCCTGATAATACACCTGATGATGACCTAGAACAGCAATTAGAGCAGGTCAATAAAGGTGCCCAAAGCTTAGCAAATCAGCTGGCTATTATAACTGCCAATTATAGCCGTTCAATGGCCGAAAATAGACGAAGACAACGCAAGCATGCATTACCTAATACCTAAGTGGCCTACGAAGGTGGTATTAGTGTGGAAGATATGCAAATACGCCTACAATTGGCGAATGAGACCAATATGGCTACATCATCGGCACCTCCGCGAGCAGAGGGATCGGCCAATCAGAGGGCACCACAACGTTGTGGTAATTGCCGTGAGATAGGGCATAAACGTAATAGGTGCCCACTTAATGATAGCACTTAAATTTTTGCAATTTAATTGGTGTTGGTTGATTTATTTCTAAAAAAAGGTGGTGGTGGTAGGGCGGGTGGCCAGCTCGCCCGGGTGGCCAGCTCACCCATGAAATACGTTATGTGGTATGTACATTCCGAGAGACTCGGTCGCTGGTCGTGGAGGGTATCAACGATCATGTCATCAAGTACAGAAAGATCCAGCTACTCTGTATTTTATCGTGTCATGATTCACGGAAATCTTCCAGAGTTATCCGATCAAAATTGATTCGTGTTGGCGCGGTTGAAGCCGTGCCCGGCAGGTGGGCCATCACGGTTTGTTGGTGTGGATCCCGTGTTTGCACGGGTAAAGGGCCGATATCCCGGTGGCCCAGAGGGCATTTGCCTTTGAGTCTGCGGCTGTGGTGTAGACGCGGACCCTGCAGGGTTGAATGCCGTGTAACTTGCGCTTTGGGCAGAGTCCATGGGAGTATAGGCTCTTGGAGGAGGTTGGACACCCTGCTCGCTTTGAGGAGCAGGGGTGCCATGGTAAGTGGCCGGTGTTATAGATCGTGACCCAGCGCCAGTGCTTGCCGGTGTGTACGATATAGCCTGGTACGGATCCTGTCCACTCATCTGGTAACGCGGTGCGGAAACTGCACTTGCTGGAGTGTAAGACCTGGCCTGGTAAGGATTTTGAATGTCGCCCTGGGAGCGGGGGCCTGCACCAGTGCTGGCGGGTGTGTATGACCGAGCCTGGTACGAATCCTGCGCGCTTGCTGGGGTATAAGACCTGACCTGGTATGGGTCATGACTATCACCCTGAGAACGAGGTCCTGCACCAGTGCTGGCGGGTGTATAAGACCGAGCCTGGTACTGATCCTGCGCATTTGCTGGAGTATAGGACCTGGACTGGTATGGATTTTGGACATCGCCTCGTGGGGCAGGGGTTGCGCCGGTGCTAGCTGACATGTAGGACCGAGCCTGGTAAGGGTCATGAGGCACATATCCCTGTGAGCGAGGGGCCATGTGATTGTAGGGAGTTGTTGGCCCTCCATAATAATCGTAATCCCCGGTTTCGCCATACATGTCCTCGGAGCTCCCATAATGGTCGTCATGAGGGGCGTTGTGAGAGGCGTTGAAGTAATCAGACGGTGCAGGTGTCGTGGATGTGCCATACGGGTCTTTGGCCGGAGTAAAGGGGTTGAAGGGCTCGGCTGCCGGGCCTGGATGAGGTCCAGGCGTTGAGCGCGACGGGACCGAGCCTGTCCTTGAGGGAGTAACGCCGATGGGCAATGGTGGAACAGGAGGTAATGGAGAGGCTTGACGATCCAGAGGACTATAACCCATTGAAGCCGCGTGATTAGTCAAAGAAGCTGATTCTGATATTCCCGAAGACTGCGTAGTTGAGCGAGTTAACGATGGCTTCATATCGATTTCGACATTAGGTAAGGTCGGGTTTTTCTCGGTAGCTGTAGAATTACTTCGAGTATAAGAAGGCAGAGTTGCCATTGTTGTTTCAGTAGCACTGCGTGACAATGTTGTCACAATTGGTCCCTTATCCATATCAGGCAGTGTGGGTTTCGAATCTGAGCTTGCCAGGCTGGGCTGTGTAGCAGTGCGACTCTGGAGCTGGAATCCTTTGGCAAGGGCCTTGTCAACCTTGCGCCGAACGATGCGCTTGAGTCGAGTGCTAATCTTGCGACGGCAGTAAGCCCTAAGGGTACCATCTTCCTGTGGAATGTGGTGGAAAAGAAAGACCAGATAAAGGATCATGGCCGACAGCAACTTCAAGACCGACAAGACCCAAATAACCAGGGTGAATAGCATACCGAACAAGACAACTGCTTGGAGGTTGTTTTCTTCGGCAAGAATCTTAATATTATTGAAGAATTGAAGGACTGGTGAGGTACCGTCATCTTTGGTCGTATTTTCACCACCAGGCACCATGTCGGCCTTCATGACAGAGTATAACGTAATAGCGTTGATAACTTGTCGAGGTCCGTCTGCGAAGATGGTGTTCATCCAGAATTGGAAAGAGAAGTAGGTGTATAGAGCGACGTACTCGGCGCCCTTTTTACTCTTGGTCAATTCAGCGAATACAAGAAACCGCTTCCAGCCCTGGCCTTTCGAGCCAAACACGCGGACACTTTGTATTCGGACTGCGAGAGGATCCAGATAACTTTTGGGGATACTGCCAGAACGAATGGCACGAATGGCAAGAATCCATCGGTAGGCAAGAAGGGCGAATGAAACGATAATACACACTGCGAAAATCCATCGGGAGATTTTGAAGGGAATTGCTGGCTCGACTCGGCCAGACCAGCGGGAAAATGCCAATAGATTGACGGCGGTAAACGTATCGACGCCGTAGACGGCAAGTGAGACGATGAGGAATACCCAAAGAAAGAAGTAAGAGAACGGAGTCCAGCACGATTCAGACTTGAAATCGTTCAGGTTCTAGAGGGGATCCAAGTTAACCAAAGCGCCATCGCAATCTTCTGGAAGGTCTCAATGAAGAGCACCCCGAAAACCACTCACCACATAGTCCCATTTCTCCTCCAGAGCTACATTTCCTTTCTCTCGATCTCCGCCACATCCCATTGCGAAAAAAAAAAGTAGGGCCTGGGCCTGCCAGGTAGGGGGTATCAAGGGTGGTTTCTCAACAGATGTCGCGCGGCTACGGTGTAAGGAAGGACAAGTGAACTTCCTCGGGCCAGCCGGTAGAAGTCACAATTGGCAAGCTGTTTCAAGAGTCGAGTTGAAAGAACGGGCAGAGACAAAGCTCAGAACGGAAGAGCGACAGATGCGATTGTTTAATCGCGTGCACAGCACATAACTGGGGAGGATGGTGACGGGAGGCTGGCGAGAGAGGGATGACGGACCCTGGCGGTTGGGTTGACAGGTAGGCGATCTATGTTTCAAAAAGGCATGCGTGGACAGCGGCTACGTTGAGAGATGCAATGTATAATCGACAATGCTGATCGATCGAGCGCCAAGTGATGTGAGAGATGATCACTTTATTGTCTGAGCGCCTAGGAAAGGGGTGGATTCAGTGGATCCAAAAGAATGCGCAATGCGTGATTGGGGCTGGCAATCATAAAGTGGAATGAATGGACTCGGGAGAATGGGGAAAGTGAAAGAGCGTAGAGTGTTTGAAAGAGAGTGGTTGTAAGAGTGAATGAACGAAAGGGGGGGAAGTCAAAGATGAAACGGGACAGTTCAGAAGAGAAGACCTTCCTAAGGTTAAGAGAAAAGGAAGAGGGTTCGGCCCCGCCCCAAACAAAACCGGGGGGTCCCTGCCAAGCGCAGGGCTGAGGAACTTCCCCTTTGTCAAGACTTTCATCATGACCGATTGGTTTTCACCACAGCTATTTTAGTCTTTTGAAACATCCTGCAGTATTTCCCCCCTGGCGGTTACTGATGCGACATGTCGTGGTGATGGGCGCGTCGAGTATTGAACTCCCAACTCCAACTCCAACTCGAGCACGAGCACGAACACCGACCCACTGCACGCACGGCCTGAAACAAATAAATTATGGGGCAACACTCGGTCGCACTTCATCATGCAGCCAGTCCCTGTCCTCGGTCCTGTAGCCGAGTCTTCTAGTGCTAAGCGCCGGTTCTTTGACTAGCCAAATGCGCCGCTGCTAGTCTTGAATTGTCCCATGGCCACTACTACGGTTGACATGCACCCTATCAGCTTGCTTATCACCGAGTTGGGTTACTTATCACTCGGCTTGGGTTGCCTGAGGCTTTGAAGGTCGTTTCAAAGAACTGAATAGGATCGGCGCGGGCGGACTTCTAAGTGACGTCCAATGGACTTAGAGGCTCCCAAATCGAAGAAAAGTAGCGCATATGAGTGCATACGCTACTCCCTTGGGCCTCAACTGATTGCTCAATGGCAGCGTGTACATGCCACCATTCAGCAACTGGAACTGACCATCCCAGCAGGGAGCTGTAACTGCCCAGGCGATGATGAAACACGGCCCGGCAGATCGTTATGACGATCTTTCTCGTTATCCCTTTGTCTTCTTCCGAGACATGAAGCTGAGCTGGGCTTGGTGTCTACTTCAAGTTTGGGCCTTTGTCGTTGTCCCAACGTTGATGCCGAAGTTCTCCCTCGAGCTCTCGCAGGTGAGTGTATAGGTCAACATGGTGGGGGTGATGAATTATACTTGAACCCGGGTTGGACGTACTGTGAGGAGGTTGGCAGACGATCTCCAGATTTGAGAAACAAGAATGCACCGTCAGTGCAAAGGTCCGATTGGAGCCAAATATAGCGTCAGCCATCATGATGATATACTTCTGGGGATACTAAGTTAGTGGAAGGGCAAGAGTGGGGGGGGGTCGAGTGGCTAAAAACAACCTTGGAACACCGGAGCTTGAACCATGGAAGTACTTATTTCTTAAACAGCCAGTATACCTAGTACTTAGTTACTACGTAGTAGCAATAATGGCAATAATTGATACTCCATTGATTCAAGCATAGACCTCGGCTTCTGCCATCCCTCCACCTCAACCTCTTTACTCTGAACCCCCGTCTCTCACTACCTCTCCTCTGTACGTGTACAACCTCGGATAATTACTTGAATGAATATACTAGTAGTAGAATATACCCGAGGTATCCCCGCAATTGGCGAAAAAAAAGTGACATGCCAGTCATGACGTTGGATTGCATTTATAAGCCGGTGGAGCTCGGGAGGTGAAGGTTGAAGGTACCCTACTACTACATAACTACGTAAGGTAACTAGGTTAGCTACCACACAGTACCCCCAAGAACCTATTTCTTTTCCTTCTTTCCCTTCCTCCATTTTTCTCTTTCAACCAACGCATTGAGAATCTCCCACCATGTCCCGACCAAACTACCCTGATATCGCCAACAAGCCCGCCGAGGGCATCTCCTACTTTACCCCAGCTCAGATCCCCCCCCGCCGGATCCGCGGCGATCCCCCAGTCTGATGGAAGTCAACCTCCCAAGCTCTTCACCCCCTTCACAGTGCGGGGTGTAACATTCCACAATCGCATTGGGGTAAGCTAATACTCCAACTTCAAGTTTAGAATCTACCCCTTCCCTGCCTACATACCTGTGGAGGCGGGTAGCTCCATTACGATCACCCCGCTGATATGGGTCTACTATCTAGCTCTCCCCGCTCTGTCAATACAGCGCCGATGATGGACACATGACCGACTGGCATATGGCACATCTGGGTGGAATCGCCCAGCGCGGCCCCGGCTTCCTGATGGTCGAGGCCACAGCCGTTCAAGCCAATGGTCGTATCACCCCTCAAGACCACGGCCTTTGGAAGGACTCCCAGATCGAGCCCCTCCGTCGTGTGGTGGAGTTCGTCCACAGCCAGAACCAGGTAATTGGCGTGCAGTTGGGACACGCCGGTCGCAAAGCGAGCACCGTAGCACCGTGGCTCAGCATGGCAGACACAGCCACCGAGGCGGTCGGCGGATGGCCCGAGAACGTCAAGGGACCCAGCGACATTCCTTTCCACGACAAATTCCCTACCCCGAAAGCTCTGACAGCGGCCGAGATCGAGCAGTTCAAGAATGATTGGGTTTCAGCGGTGAAGCGGGCCGTCACGGCCGGCGTGGACTTTGTGGAAATCCACAATGCGCATGGATACATGCTGATGAGCTTCTTATCTCCAGCGTCGAATAAGCGCACCGATGAATATGGCGGCAGCTTCGAGAACCGCACCCGGCTTACTATGGAGGTTGCGAAATTGACGCGTGAGAATGTGCCCGCAGATATGCCCGTCTTCCTGCGGGTTTCTGCGACCGATTGGCTGGAGGAGGATATGCCCAACGAACCCAGCTGGCGGGTTGAGGATACGGTGCGTCTTGCCAAGGCGCTGGCGGATAGTGGCACGATCGATGTGCTGGACATCAGCAGTGGAGGAAACCACCGCGCACAGCATATCCATGCCAAGCCTGCATTCCAGGCCCCATTCGCTATCGAGGTGAAGAAGGCCGTTGGGGATAAGATCCATGTGGGCTCGGTCGGCATGATTGACTCGGCTCATTTAGCCAACTGTCTGCTTGAGAACAATGGGCTGGACTTTGTTCTGGTCGGTCGCGGGTTCCAGAAGAACCCCGGACTGGTGTGGACCTGGGCTGAGGAGTTGGATGTTGAGATCGCCATGGCAAATCAGATTCGCTGGGGTTTCTCGAGTCGTGGTGGGGGGGGTTTACTTGAAGAAGCGACAGGGGAAGATGTAGAATTGACCTCTGATGATGAGATGAGATGAGATGAGATGAGATGAGATGAGATGAGATGATGAATCCGCTTGGTTCCTATGACCAGCTTGGCTGATTTTGATTGGTGCTCTCGTATTATCTGATTATGGTTATTTTTATCATCGTCATGCCATATCTAGGTGCTCACCGGTTCATCGGGCACTACTAAGTGGACACCCCATTTGGCTATCTGAACACTAGATCTGTCTAGTATTTAGACAAGGTGCTGTATGTGTAATCCCACGGGGTCGGTCCTAATTAAAATACAGTTGTAGTTTATACACACTTCCAAGGTTTTTGGCAACAGGGTGTGGTGCGGTAGATATGGCTAGTATGTATAGGGCATAGTTAGCTTCTGCTAGTAGGATCTACCCGATCAAATACCTAGATATGATATTAGTTACTGAGATAGTTAGCACTGGTAGATACCTAGATACCTACTCAGTTACCTACCCGAAGGTGAGAAAGTGGAATTCTGGCCCCCTACTGTAGTTCGTGGCAATACACATACAGCACATTTTCTAAATGTACAGGATAGGGTGTTCAGATAGCCAAATGGTGTGTCCACTTAGCAGTGCCCGGTTCATCGTACGGAGCAGGCGGGTGAACAATCCCCCGTAGCTAAGCAGTGCTGATCGATGCAAGGCATCAACATGGTTACCCTCAAAGTGTTCCATCAGGGTTGTCCCATTATCCGAAATACTTGGAATGTGATTCGTCCATGATTTGTTCCCCTGTGTCCAACCCCACCCCTTTTTCCCTCCGAAACGAGTATCGATTGCGAGGTCTCATCGAATCTCCCACCTGTTTGGGATAGCAGGGTCAAGAGGTCCGGTATTGACTCCAGTCCGTGTCCGCTCTCGCTCTCACTAGCTCTTACTGAAGTACTGCCACTCTCGTGTTCGCGTTCGTCATCGGGTCTGCTGTCGATCCGCTTAGGCCACCAACACCCGCCTCGGCTCGCTTATATCAAGTCGCGATTATCATCCCCCCGTGGTTTTTACTCCTACTTCATCTTGAGTTTTCAAATTAATCATTTTGATCTCGATTTTATTCTGTGTCGAGCAAATTTTGGAGACTTGGTTTGGTCAGCTTGTCTCAGCCTTGGGGCCGTCAACTTCAGCCTTGGGAAACGCAAACAAATTAACGTCGCCAAACGGTCCAACCAAACACTGGAGATCCCTGCCTTTTCCCCGTTAATACATTTGCGGTATATTGACGCTGACGCTGGCGCTTCTGGCATCTCGCTTCCTGCCCCACCGCCACTTTCGATTTAACGCCCACGACACCTAACAGGGCTAGCCGCCACCATGGGCTTTATCCAGGACAACTTTCGTTTGGTTTACGTCGGCGTGGCAGCTGCCGTCTACCTGAGACCGGAATATGTCATTTTCAACTCAAAACTCTTAACAATCATTGTTTATCTTACGATTCTCATGCTCTCAAAGTTCGCCTATCAATTGACCCTATATCCTGCATTCTTCACCCCACTCAAACACATCCAAACTCCTAGAGTGAGTTCTTTTTCAAACTTACAGTCAAAATATCCCAAGGCTAATCCCTTTTAGAGCCGAAATTGGCTTCGAGGCAATACCAAATCCATCTTCCTCGAAACACCATATCAGCTGGTAAAGGAATGGGCCAAAGAAATGCCCAACCAGGGCTTGATTCGATATTACATCGTCATGAACCTAGAAAGAGTGGTTTTGACTAGCCCCAAAGCCCTGAGCGAGCTGTTGGTCACCAAGAACTATGATTTTGAGAAGCCAAAGACTGTGCGACAGAGCTTGCGCCGCGTGGTTGGAGACGGCGTCCTATTGACCGAGGGAGATGAACATAAACTGCAGCGCAAGAACCTAATGCCGGCCTTTGCCTACCGCCATATCAAGAATCTATATCCGGTCTTCTGGGCAAAGAGCAGGGAAATGGTCGAACTGATGCAACAAGATCTGGAGAACAGAGAGTCCCCCCGACGACAACATTATTCAAGTCCGCACTTGGGCAAGTAGAGCTACGCTCGACATCATCGGTGTGGCTGGCATGGACCATGACTTCGATTCCCTACGTAATCCATTCAACAAGCTGAACAAATCCTACCAACGAATTTTCTCGCCGCTATCATTCGCAAACAAAATTTTATTCATCCTCGCAACCCTGATGGGCACTTTGACCTTTATTCAAAAGTTACCCACTCAGCGCAACAAGGACATTGAGGAAGGTGGCGAGGAGATCCGCAATGTCGCGCGGCAAATGATCCAAGAGAAGAAAGAAAAGATGAAAGACCCGAAATCCAAGACCGGGGTTGATATCATCTCAGTCGCAATGGCCAACGGCACCTTTGACGATGAAAACCTAGTCGATCAACTGATGACCTTCCTTGGCGCAGGCCACGAAACAACCGCCACGGCCTTGCAGTGGGCTGTCTACGCGCTGTGCAAGAACCCAGACGTCCAGACACGTCTCCGTGAAGAAATCCGCGCCAATCTCCCCCCCACTCTCCTCCGACGACGCAAAGTCTCTGGACGCTACCCAGATTGATAATCTGCCTTACCTGAAGGCCGTCTGCAACGAGGTTCTCCGTTTTCATCCCTCGGTTCCGAACACCGTCCGGGTAGCCGCCAAAGATACTACCCTGCTGGGTCAACCAATCCCCAAGGGCACGTTCTTTGTCATTTCCCCGGAGGTGATAAACCACATGGAGGAATTTTGGGGCCCGGATGCCGACAAGTTCAATCCGGATCGCTTTATGGGCGAAGGCAGAGCCAATAACGGCGGCGCGACTAGCAACTATGCTTTCCTTACCTTTATTCACGGTCCACGCAGTTGTATTGGGCAGGGATTTGCCAAGGCTGAACTTGCCTGTTTGCTTGCTGCGGTGGTTGGTCGCTTCCAGTTTGAGTTGAAGGATCCTGATGCGAAATTGGAATTGATGGAAGGTGCCACCGTTTCACCGAAAGATGGGGTTATCGCCAAGTTTACTGCGTTAGAGGGCTGGTAAAAGGATTGTATGTTGCCTGTTTATTGCCCGGGATGGCTGTATGTATCTAACTCGATTTCTAGGGTTGCTTATCTCCCTTGAGTCCGATTCTTTAAGAGTATGCTTCCAGCCTGTTCGTTTCGCTTGCACCGGACTTCACCGTTGCCGCATGACCGGTCTTCAATAGATCATTTTCATAACGAGGTCTGGAGAAATATCGCGAGGCTTTGACGGTTCAGCGAATAGCAGTGCGAGTTTTGCGAGCCGACGAATAGCGTCATTCCAGATCGCCCCGTTTGGCGGTCGAACATCATTCCGACCGGCACAAATACGGTCCGACAAGAATGTACAATATTACCACTATTTGTGAACTCATACGAAGCTTTTTTGAAGTACTCGAGTTAAAATCAGAAGAAAATTCTCTCGTACTTCCAATTAGTGTCCGACACAACATCCGCCCGCAATGCCGAATCTCAACTACAGCCCCGAAACAGAAATCCCAGATCTCTCGGGGAAAACGATCTTTATCACAGGAGGTGAGTTCCCCTTTTTTATTCAATTCGAAGAAACCTATAACTTCAATTGTTCAATTCAGATTCTCACTTCACGCAGGAACAAATGGTCTCGGTGCCGAATCGGCCTTACATCTGGCTAAGCACAACGCCGCGCATATCTATATCAGCGGAAGAAACGCCAAAAGCGCTGAAAAGGTCATCCAGCGAATCCAAGAAAGCGGCTCGAGCTCCGAAATCACCTTCATAGAATGCGATCTAGCCTCTCTGTTATCCGTCAAGAAGACAGGCGAGACCTTCGTATCGCAGGCATCCCGCCTAGACATCCTACTCTGCAACGCGGGCATTATGGCCCAACCACCCTCTTTGACAACAGACGGTTACGAGGTCCAATTCGGAACAAACCATCTCGGCCACGCGCTTCTCATAAAGAAGCTCCTCCCACTTCTAGAAAAGCAAGGCAGTGACGGCGGCGACCCACGAATCATCATCCTTACCTCGGAAGGGCTGATGCTCCACCCAAGCGGGGGAATTATCTTTGACAAGTTGAGAACTGTTCAGGATGATTTCTTTTTTGGGGGGCCATGGCGTCGATATGGACAAAGCAAACTTGCCAACCTTCTCTTTGCACGAGAACTCGCCCGTCGGTACCCAAGTATTATCTCCGCGTCGATTCACCCCGGTGTTGTGTCGACGGGACTGGTTGGGAATCAGAAATTCTTAGACCGCGCTCTGATTTATAGCACGAGCTTTGGGAAACTGCTGAAACCAGAGGAAGGTGCGTATAATCAAGTGTGGGCTGCAACGACTGCGAAGGGAAATATTGAGAATGGTGCGTTCTATGAGCCGGTGGGGAAATCGGCACATTATAAACTGGGCAAGACGGCAAAGGATGATCAGTTGGCGGAGCGGTTGTGGGAGTGGACTCAAGAGGTGCTCGAGGAATTTTAAATTTTGTGCTTCTTTGGGCGTAGTTATTCGGGAATCGTTTTATACCTTTACTGGATCTACTAGTCATTCTCAATCTTCGTCTCCATTGAAATATCATTTAATGATGATATTCTTCTCAAATTCATGTCTTATTAACGCTTTTCTTCATTTCAGGGAAAGTAGAATTCACGAGAGAAGCAAATCGAAGTTCCTACTTAGTTCCTGCTTTGACTGAAGAGATCTCATTCACTTCCCTTCAGCACTCGACAATCTCTTCGCGAGGGCCTCAAAGGGGACCGCGTCTCTCCCTCTTTCCCCAAGGTTTCCTAAAGTATTTGTTCAAAGATTCAAAGGCGATCTGTATCTTGCTCATTTCCAATTTCCCTAGACCTCTGGCTCAGATTATTTATTCTTTTACTATTCTGTGCATTTTCTTCTTGTGGAAATGTTTGGATTCGGATGAAACACCAACACCAAGGGCCGCGCCTCTCAAGCCTCAGCTGGCTCGACAGGAACTGAATCCTCTTGGGGTCAATCCAACAGCAACCGCCCTCTCACCTGAGCAAAGACAGTTAACGAGTGCTCAAAAGAGAAAGCGCTACGAGGACGATTTGAACTTTTCTTCCACTCTTGAAGAAGTTAGTATACATTACCCCAAGGAGAAAGAGTCAGGCCCTTCCAGTTGGGTCCCGACAAGAGAGAGATTGCGGATCGCGACAAACCTCGCAACCCATTCAAGAATGTTGCTAAAAGGGTAAAACTCGCTGGTCGGAATATAAGAGACAAATCGAAGCCCAAAAAGCCTTCACTGTTACCTTCTGATCCACTCCGGCGAAAGAAATTGGATGTTAACAAATTGGATCTTCAAAATTCTTATGTTGGGCTTGTGCATCCTGTGAGACAACCGGCGGCCAATTTTAGCAAGAGAAAGGGACCTGACCCTATCATATTCACCCCTGTTTCAACTGCTGGAAGTGTGAAGGTCATAGATATGTATGGCTATCCCACTCCGCAACAATTGGCTTATCCCAAACAAATGACATGATTTGTGAACTAACCCGTCTCTGAGGCACACTGGCATGCTAGTATAACGGTTTCTTGTTTCTTTTCAAGTTTTTGTCTCGTTTTTTCTACCTTGGTTTTCTTTCTGGTGTTCGGATTTTCGATATGTTATATATTATTTCAGTTTCTTTTTGTTTTTTTTGTTAATATACTCCATAGTACTAGTAGTTACGCATCATGCAAGTTATTAAGAGCTCGGAACCTGAGTAACTACTATCTACTCATGGGTAACTAGCCGTGGCCAACTCGGACTAGTAGGCATAATCTTTTCTCGTTATATATTCAAACTCCGCAAATGAGGCAAAACAGCTTGCTCCAGCTATGGATAAAGTTCTGTCACAATGCCTGTGTTTTCCGCCAAGATCTGCGGCTGAGTTGGGGTAACATCCCAAAGCCCGCTAATGCAGGTCTGGCCTTCGTCTTGTGTTGCATGGTTGGGGGTGCTTAGCCTCTGTGCTGTCCCCATTTAAAACTCCATGCTTACACCGTCAGAACGCTTTATAGATTCGCAGGTAGCTTTCACAAGTTTTGTAAGTAGTCCATCATAGTAGCCGATTGATTAAAGGACAGAACATCCCTTGAAAAATCAGACCCGCTGCCCGTATTTCAATCACCCTTGCGCCCTTGCTCATTGCCGCTCAGCCTGCCGCGTCGCTCAACCCTGATTTGACAGTGCTTAAAATGAGGATGTCCCATTTCAAAGCGAAATGAACGCCAAGAATCAACACGGTTTACTCTGGACGGTGGCTGTCGTGACATAGGTTGATTGGTTGCCTATGCATTGAATACGAGGATCTGCGCTGAAAGACCCCAGATCTGGAGTGCCGAGGAATTAAGGCTGGAATAAAACACGCGTGTAGATCTTTTATAAAAACGGGTTAAAGCCATCCTGATCGTTCGAACCTCTCCGCGTTCCCCAATAGACACTTTCCCCTTACACAGTGGTACTCGTGAATTCTACTCCTATCGCCCCATTATGAAGTGGTCAGCTCTTCTTCCTCTGGCACTTTCCACCATATCCCTGCTCCCTTCTGTTGGAGCATGGGAAGTGACATGGCATGACTCCGACAACAAAAGTCATAGTCGAGACGGACATGGTCCTAGCGAGTGCATTGAAATCGACAACCCGAAGGGCAAAGTTTTCAAAATCGACTCCCAGGACGAAAAGGGCATCAATATGCTGCTCTTCGATAACAGCGAATGTACCGGAAAATCGGCGGGCCAAGCAACCGAGAGCTTCTCTAAGGTCGCTTCTCTGGATCTCCTCGGTTTCAAGGTCGTTAGCCTTTCTTCGTCGAACTCCTCTGAAACCACCACAAAGGACAAGTCTGCCAGTCACACAACGACTACTTCCTCCAAAGTCTCAAATACACAGGCCCTCTCAACAAGCAGCAGTGAAGGTGACAAGTCGGTAACCGCTCAAACAACAGCTGCAACAACTGGTGCAACGACCTCAGCATCCGAAACTCCGAGTAATGCTTCTCCTACGACTTCGAGTGCAGCAAGTGCTACCACCTCCAATGCGGCAATGAAGGTTCTTGGTCCAAGCGATAACGTTGCGAAGGGACTCATGGGTGGAATTATGGGACTTGCGATGGCTCAATGGATTATTTGAGAGGCCTAGAGATGAATAAAAGCCCACCATTCTATGCTGGGTCCGTATCGTCTCTGCCTCTTTTTTGTATCGTAGAGACTTTGCACGAAGTAGCTTGAGAAAGTGTCCTATCTGAATGCTGTGAAATTTCATCGGCATACCCCGAAAAAATTTCGAGCAGGATAAATAAACCCAGTCGCCAGCTACAGCTTAAAGTCAAATCTGGACACTGTATTTGCCGATTCTCTATTCCAGTCTGATCTCAAGTTCCTCAAAACCAGATCTATTAACCCCCAAATTATGACCATTTTCTAGGGTAGTTCAAGTTGACGTAAAATTCAGGTAGATTACCTAGCACATAAAATTATTCCACGCATTCCTCCAATCATCCTCATGTACTTAGACCACGAAGTCATCAAACAGAACTCTTGGTCTCTTGAACCTCCACATGTGTCGCGGCCCTTTTCGGCTCGTCGTCGTTATCAAGATGTTTGTGAACAACCGCAGCGACCTCATTGGCCTTGTCTTTGTCTTCGAACACTGTTCAAGTCAGCTCTATTCCTCGCGGCAGAGCAGGAAGACCACTTACAGAATGACAGCTCCTCAAGCGTGCGGCCTGAAGTTTCAGGGAAGAAGAAGTAGATGAACACCAACTCAAATGCCAGCCAGCAGCAATAAACTAGGAGCCATCTCCAGGAAATGCGTGCCAGACCAACGGGGTTCACGTAAGTAGCGAAGAAGCTTGCGCCACGACCATAGAACTGAAACCATGAAATACCGCGTGAGCGGCCCATGTAAGGGAAAAGCTCGATCAGATACGCTTTTTCAAGTCAGTATATGAACAGGCTCTGGAACGGAGGGAATACACACTGTAGGTTAGGGCGTTGTAGCCGAGGTTGTATGCGGGGGAGTAGGCGAAAATGAAGAATATGGTCAGAATGGCTGCGGATTGAGCCTTTGTGCTTATGAAGCGCTCCATGGAAATAGTCCATCCAATGTATACACACAGCAGGCAGCTTGCGCAAGTAAGATACATCGGCCGACGCTTGAAGCGCGGCGCCGTCAGTGCTAGCGCAGTACCACAGACAAGACCCCAGCAGGCGATACCGATGTTGATCTTGGACTTAGTCACACCGTCGGTGATTCCAACCATGTTAAGGAGGTCGCTGAGATAGTACCTATTTGGGGGATCAGTGAGGATAAAAGGCATATATTGCAGATGTCTCAGGTGCATGCTTACGAGATGAGGGTGTTACCGGACCACTGAGTGAACAGGCCGAGAAAAGCGGAGATGAAAAGCCGACGACGCATACCGGCTGTGCGGAACATGTCCAGCCATGATTGTTTTGACTCTTCGAGCTCCATCTTGATGGTATGTTCAATTTGCGCCAGTTCTGCCTTGACAATGACCGAGTTGCGGTCCCCTTCCGCGTGGTACTTGGTGAGAATTTCGAAGGCTTCTTCGTGGCGATCTTTGCTAATCAGATATCGAGGACTTTCAGGAAGGAGCCTGTGCATGTGTTAAAAGGAGAAATTAGAATAGTAGCCGGGGTGGTCCTACATCACCGTCAGGATTTGAACCATGGCGGGTGCAATCTGAAGCAGAGATGGGATCCGCCATGCCCAGTTGGACGAGATGGTCACCGTCCCTAGGCCTACAGCGGCCGCGATGATCTGGCCAATAAAGTAGGAGGAGTTGAACAGGGATGTGAGAATCGGTCTTTCCTTCGGGTAGCCCAGTTCTCCCAGCAGAGATGACCCTGCAACGATGCAGAACGGGATTCCGAATCCTAGAAGCATACGCGCGACAATGTACATGGCCACTAGAAATCATCAGATACTATGTTACAGGTGAAAACGGGGAAGGAGAAATACCTCCATTGGAGAATCCCTGGATAATGGCCCCGACCAAGCTCACACATGAACCAAACATAATCGTCCATCGTCGTCCGACCCATTGGTTGAGATATGGGACAAAGGGCAGGGAAAGAATAGCCCCGAGAGAGTATGCAGCACCCAGAAAGCCCTTGAGGTTTGCTTCAATCGCGTACTCAGGGAGCCCATTCACAGTCTTACCGGTTGTATGACCGAAATCTATATCATAGCGTCAGTATGCTGTAAAGCTCGTTTTGGATCGTTCTGACTTACACTTGTTCCAAGTATACACAATCTGAACAGTGTTGATGATCTGCGAGTCGAATCCCGACGTGATTTCGATACCCATGCACGCCAGAAACAAGATGGAATATAGTCGCCTCAGATTCGGCTTCTTGTACCAAGGCGTACGGTCATCGGCCAACAAGTTAGCCAGCACAGGTTCAGCAACATTCTCCTCGCGCTTTTTCCCCACTAAGACCATGTTGAAAGCCTGAGGTTGATGTTGATGTTCGAATGCTCGCAACTGGAGTGCTGATCTGTGGACCCCTGAAGACCTGCGAAGACCGAATCATGGACACTATATATCCCATTTGTTTTAGGCTCTTTACCCACTGCAAGACCCCCCAGCGTGGCCCAATTTCCAAGAGCCAAGACTTGTGTAAGCCATCAGGTCATGCGTAGACTGGCTGGAGGGATTCATTCTGGAGTATCGAGTAAAATAAGCCGGGTAAGATCCCCGTTGGAGATATTAAAGTTTCGTCACCCCACGGGGTAGCTGGAGGCGGGGTGGGGAAGAAAGGCCAGCCAGCATTCTCGAGGCTGGCGTGCAAGCTGATGGGTGCAGTTGCTCAACGCCAAGCACTTGGGCCTTGGCACTGTAGTTTAGCCTAAAGAAGGCTAGCTGGATGCAGGGACTTCGCGGAGTCTCCCCGAATGCCTCGGCCCAAGAGTGAGATTCAGACGATGGCCAGCGGTAGTTCGCGAGGGGATAGAGGTGTTGCGGGTAGAGACTAAAAGGGAAACGGAGCTGTCGCAGATCTCTCTTACTACGGCACCCCAAGCCCGCGATCGACCCATTGTTTCTGTCAGGTCAGCAATATCTAGAGATTACTAGTGTTCTCTATACGAATTTGGCCACAAACTATATTCGATTTTTCCAAATAGCTGCTGCTTTAGTAGAATACCTATACTATTCATGGCGATGAAATACCTTGGTTGGTGCTCTCATATTTTATTCTACAATTCCAAACTGACATGCATCAGCCACTCCAGCAACACACTTAACTCCTTAATCCCGCCGCCTTCCTCGCCCCATATCTTCAAACGTTCAATCACCACCCGTACACATTCCGCCCAGTCGGGAGGAATGTTCACATATTCAGTCGAGGGGCGCTGCGTCAACTTTGCGCGAAATCCCGCAATCAGACAAAGCGCATGGTTGAACCGGACTCTACATGCTCCCCAAGACCCCGGATGCCGGAAAAATGGCACTTCATTCTGAATGCGATAAACTGCCAAAAGAAGCGCCTCGCTCGCTTTAACCCCATACAACGTCGCCATGCCCGGTTCAAGTGGTACATGGATGCAGAGGTATAGATATGCGCGACAAAGCAATTCACGCACCTCGACGTATCTCTCACGGCTTAGCTTCATGAGCTCATCCTCCTTTGGTCTCACGGCGGATTCGAGAGGCATATTGAACCGGAGTGTATGTGGGAGGCAATCTACCCACTGTTGAAGTTGGCCTTCCAGCTGAGCCAGAGTTTCTGCCAGATTCTTGATGGTCGCCAGGTCGATGTCTGGAGAAAGCACGCGGACTGCATTGCGGGCTCGGTTGAGAAGCCTGCGCAAGAAGATCTCGGCCAGATAGTAGTAGGAAGATGCTGCTTCGAGGTCTGTGGACGAGGGGCTGGAAAACGTCCAACCAGAGTTGTCGTTGGATAATTGTCTCGTGGGAAAGCTGGGGAGGGAATAAGGAAAGTCGGAGAGGCTTAGGTCACAGGGTGGAAGATCTGTCAGTTCATATCGAACCTCACTATTTTATGTCAGTCAGATGTGAGGACTTCAAGTTGAGATCTGTGGTTCATTACATACCATTCAGATTTCAAGCATGTCCAGTAAAGTCGCTGCTCCAGACCTGAGGGGGTTAGAAATATACGCAATGGGGACATTGACTGACTGACTCTCTTCTTGTGCGCTTCTCACTGTCTTTCCCTCGCGGTGCTTCAAACGATACGTTTGCCACAGCATGGATGCTGTCCGGAACATTTTCCAACCGGGCACCGGTTCGATGTTATATTGGTACCAAATTCTAAACAAGATTAGATACTCATATCTAGAGCCAATTGGGACGAGTGATCTCACCCGAATAAACAGAGACACTGCACTCCGAGTAGGGTATCATCAAGATACGCAGTGGAAATGCGCTTACGTGCCATGGAGAGGAATGTTAATGATTCCTTCATTCGGTGCTCCGGAACCGACATCGTCATGTAAGTGACCGGTGGACTGAATGATCTTTCATTGTAAGAGACCTCCCGGGTTTCGTCATCTGGATAATTCCCCCAGATGGCCGCAAGCGCAAAGATAAGTAAAACCAAGCACGACGACGCGGACCACTCAAAGCCATTTTCTAGCACCCGAGCGATATGGAAGTCTAGCTGGCCAGGGTCAACGATCGGATTCTTGGTCCAGATCTTGGTCATAAATATTTCTCTCAATTCGAGGAGTCGTTGAGGATCTAAGCTAGGTAGAGCTGCAAGTGTCCATTAATGTGCGATTCCGGAATTTAAGGCGTCAGGGAGATCGTACCCGTCTGAAAGCGATCTGGCTTCTCGGAATACGCTGCCATCGGGAAAGTCGAAAAGGGCTTCTCTTTCGGAAAAATGGGCCAACTGAGAATCATATCCGACCCGGTAATAGGCGTTTTGGGTGCATCATTGCGCGAAATCGACTCGGGATCTATCTCGTCCACTGGTGATGGCGACGCCTGTTGTGAAAAGAGAGTAGACCCCTGGTTCGAAGACAGGGTCTCTGACAGAAGTCGCTCTTGACGTTCTACTGCGTCTAGAATTCTTGCCCCCCATGTCTCTAGACTTTAAACAGAATTTATGGTCATTAGATGCCTCAGCTAATGGAGAAGTTCTATGGGAACCGACACCGAGATGGGATCCGTCTGCGGATACTCGCATGCTACACCCCGCTGGATACATTTGGCACACACTGGCCGTGCTGAATCGCACCGAGTCTTGCTGAGACGACAGGCATCGCATGCGTTAAGAACCCGAGTATGCTTGCGAGGTTGCGCAGTTGACGAGGCTTCCATTATTCCTGCTGAGACCTCCTGCAATCGCACACGGAAAACCAAGGGGAAAAGGTGGTGATAATTTGAAAAAGCCAAGAAAGACACGATTGGTATTGAACTAGGCAAGCGTTGGCGGAATCATCCGTCCAATCAAGCTAGGTCAGTCTAAGATCATTTAGCCGGCAATTGAGCCAAACGAAGCCGGATGAATCCCTTAGAGTCCCAGCCAATAGATGGTGCGATCGACTTGAAAATTGCCCCGGGCTACCACTTCCTGGCTTGAGGTTCCTATTAACATTTCATACGTCCCTTGCTCGCTCTTCCACATGTCCTCAATCTCGTCCCAGAAGCTTGTCGCATATCGGTCGAGTTGGATGTCAACCGTTTTTTCTTCCCCGGGTTGAAGGAATACCTTTTCGAAACCATGCAATTCCTTGTTTGGGCGTGGGGTTGGGGATTCCGGGGCGGAGATGTACAGCTGGAGAACTTCGGCGCCCGCCATTTTGCCTGTATTTTTTATTTGTACGGTGGCGACCGCAGGACAGTCCATGTTGAAGATCTGAGGGGCGACGGTAACAGTCGATGAGACTTCGAAGGTCGTGTATGACAGGCCATGGCTTTGAAAGGGTTAACGAGAGAGGGTTAGGAAACTGGGAGATAAAAGTTCCAACTCACCCAAATGGAAAGAGGACTTTTCGTCCAGTCTTCTCGTAAAATCGATAGCCCCCATAGATATCCTCGCCATACAACACTCGGCCACCAACACTGGCGTAGTTGAGATAGGCCGGATTGTGTCTCACATCGACTGGCCAGGACAAGGGCAGCTTTGCGCATGGATTGACATCTCCGAAGAGAACATCGGCAATTCCATGACCCGTCTCATTACCTCCATACCAGGCCTGCACGATGCACCGAGCCTGATCGGCCCACGGCAAGGTGACTGGCGTACCAGACTGATTGACGATAACGGTCTTGTCTGCGGCGACTTTCAACACCTTCGAGATCAACCGATCAACTCCCGGTGGCAGATCCATATGCGTGCGATCGAATCCTTCAGACTCCCAGTCCTTGTTCAGTCCAGTACAAATAATAGCGTAGTCGGCCTCTGTGGCGATTTTCACTGCATTCTCGATCATTTTATCCTGGTCCATCCGTAAGCAGGCCCCCAGATTTGCGGCGCCGCCGCCGAAATTCACCATTCCCACTGATTTCATTGTGGTAGTGTTGGCAGAACCGAACTCAATCCGAATTTTGTATGTGGTACCAGCAACTAATTCCTTCGATCCCAGCTCTTCAATGGTGCCTTTGCCGAAAAAGGCTGTTCCGCGCGTCTGGTTCGTTGTATTGTTTATCACGAGCTCGTCATCGATATAGAGATTCGCTGTGCCAAAAACACTCAGGCCAAAGTCCCAAAGTCCGGATGCGTCTGGCATGAATTGGCCACTCAATGTAGCCCAGAACAGCTCTCGGTTGAGACCGGGAGCATTATAGTCCATGAATTGAAAGGCTGTCGTCGATATAGGCTCGGTGCTGATCAAACGTCTTTTTTTGCCTGTCGGCTCGTTGTAGAAATGAATCACAGCATTTGTCAGGAGACGGTCTATCACGGGGAGCATCTTGTGAGCGTAAGATCCTACTTCATAAAGCAGGTCTGCGTTAGGATTTGCTTCTCTGCAGGCTTCGTATAACGAGACAGAGTAATACGGCTCAAGCGACGCACTGCCACCCCCCGATATTGCGGGAGTCTTCATGTGAGATCCTATCAGGGCGAGCTTCTTGATGCCCTTTGGAAGGGGTAAGATGTCTTCGTTCTTGAGGAGTACGATGCTGTTTGCGCAAATTTTTCGGTTCAGCGCTCTATCCGTTTGGGAATCCCGTCCTCGTTCCACTTCTGACACTTCGACCTGGCTTGCTTTTCTCACGAATTCCAACACCTTTCGAGCTCGTGCATCGATGGTCGATTGCTTGATCAGTCGAGCCTGTACGGCGGACTCGATGTACTTTCCTCGATATCTGGAAGGCCCCGGCATTTCCAGGTCAAGGCCCGCGTTCATTGAGTCAATGGTCGTATAGGTACCGTACCAGTCGCTCATAACCAGCGGATTCCATTTCCATTCTTCGCGGATCAAATTGAGCATGCGAGCATCTTCTACCACATGTTTCCCATTGATTTTGTTATAAGAGGTCATGAGCGCGCTCGGCTTCGCATCTCTCGCGACGATCTGGAAGGGTCGCAGGTAGATCTCACGCAAAGCTCGCTGTGTGACGAGCACATCCACCGCTCGACGTTCATGCTCCTGGTCGTTGCCCACGAAATGTTTTACAGTGGAAATGATTCCTTTGCTTTCGGCTCCGAGGATGATTGATTTGCCCAGAATGCCCGAGAGATGTGGGTCTTCAGCAAACGACTCAAAGCCGCGGCCACCGAGCGGAGACCGTGGCATGTTGATTGTAGGGCCCAGCCAGCAGTGCGCTCCTTTCGCAATACACTCGTCACCCAACAATCTCCCCGCTTGATAAATCAGATCTCGATCCCAGGTGGCGCCCAAAGCTGTGCCACAGGGTAAACATGCGGCTGGGATTCCGGCGAAGAATTTCGTGCCCCGAATACCATTGGGACCGTCGGTGGCGCGAATCGAGGGGACGTTGAATTCGGGGATGGGATGTGTGTGCCAGAAATCAATTCCTGTTTGTCTCAGCGGCTGGGGTCTTATAAATCATCATCATCGTCTCGGTATTACCGGATAAAAGAGCGATCTTGTCTTGCTCGCTGATGTTCGTTAAAACTTTCTCGACATCAAATGTGGCCGGCATCATGATGATGAATGAGCAGTCGGAAACAGAAAAATGTCAAAAATGGCAAGAAAACCCTTGAAACAGAATTCTATGAGCGTAACCTCCACTGGTACGTAGAGTGAACAGAAGATGACGCGAGTATTTATAACAACTTGAAGTTGTACTAGTAGTACCGGGCGCAATTCACCGCTTCAATCTTTTTGGATAGAGCTCACTCTCCGAGGGGACTTCTAGGCGCTACCAGTAGTCTCTTGAATTCCCGAACCCCCGAGACACCCAGTGATGCGCTGGCGGCGGAGCCTCCCCGGCTTTGGTGGGGACCTCACTTGTGCTCCAAGGTGGGGATCCCCGCATCTCACGATTCTCAGCTATTCTCCTCCAAGTGCATACCAGAGAGTAGCAAGTTTGAGCATCGCGTATCGTGGGTGGAATGGAAGAAACCAAATAACTTCTTCCAACTTATCAAGACCGACTTACCACCTGGTAATAATAGTAGCACATGGTATACATGGACACTTATTACTGTAATCAAATGAGGTGCTTAGTGTAGGCTTGATGAATAATATGATATATAATCCAAAACAGACTCAGGAAATGTCTAGGAGCAGTAGTGCTAGCTCTTTCATGAGACAGATAGAAGCTGCTATAAACGCTAAAACTGGTTTCTATGGTTTCCTTGCTTCTGTAAGTCAAATAGACTTAACGGAGAAGCGTTTAGTAACTCCTTACCTATTATATCGTGAACAAGTAGCTTTATTAGTACTACCTCCTAGAGGTATGGCTGATCAGCTCATTTAAGTCTACTAGAAATACAAATAGTCTCTGTTTCTAGTTATGAACAAATGAGAGATTAATGTCTTTTATCAATCCCTTTAGTTATCTCCCAACTCTGATGTCTGCTCCTTTTTTATAGGTATCATTGATATATTTTTTATATTAATATACCACTACTATAATTTCCTGCGAATTTAGGAGTGTAGGCCAATAGGACAACTTGAAGATTTTTTATTGTACAAAATGTCCCCGTAATGCCCGGAACTGGAAAGAGTATAGCTCTTATTGCTAATTGGAATATACTTTCAGAGTATAGATAAAGCTTTTAAGTGCTGGATGACTATTGGAGAGGTAATTCAGATAGCCCAGAGTTTAGGCATTTTTATCAAAATAGCCCTCTATCTGAATCTATCGTATATCGAGAAAATAAATAGTGTACCTGGTATGCTCGTATCTGGCTAGATTGATGACATTGCTAATCTCTGACCTTAACTCCTATTTAGACTTTTTTAATTTGCGTCCTCACTGTATTTCACTCCTAAGTATCTGAATAATATGGATTCCTCTGAAACCCGGTTCATTATTCTTCACTGACTACGAAGCTAGAGTTATTTCAGATATCCTTGGCCATCTAAGAATAATTCTAAGCTGGCTTTTTGGGTCTGTTCCCCTTCTGTTAGTAATTAATGATGATTTTTTTGACATTCAAGAAACATTATCTGAAACTTAACCAGATGGATAGGTCTGTATAATAGTATTTACTGTAAAAAGCTTTTGAGTTTTATTAAATTCTGGACGATATCCCCGTCAAAATATACCTAGCACCGACCCAAGAGGAAGAATTCGACTATAAACTTGCTTATCTTCTAGAGATTAACAAAAAATCCCATATCTGGAAACAATCCCTTCCCAAATATCTCAAATATCCGCCAAATTCGGAATATGGTGTAACTATAGCTTAAAGGGTTAATATTGTCAGGATCCGGTAAGTAGACCCGCTAAAGTCTCAACCCGTAACGTGACAAATCTATACTTTCAACGGACCTATGATAATAGCAACACAGCCTCTTACACATGTGTACCTAGGTCTATTACTTCTTCGCCCAGCCCTTGTTAGTTATCTAAACAACAGAGCACCTTTGAACGGTGACAGAAATCCGGCCGATATAGGCCTTTTGAGTGTTATACTTCTGGAAAATGTACATTGATATCTCCGGCCCGCAAATAAGCTTATAAATATTTTCAAAACCAATTTGTGTATCGATAATATAACTGGATCGCTCCCATCATGGTGGTATTCAGTATTATGTGCGTGATCCCCAGGGAACCAGTCTGAATGAATTACTGTCCAATCCATATAGCACCAACGATGTTAAATCTCGATTGGATGTCTATACAGCCACTACGACTATCCTTGTGGAGCAATTCCTCAAGGACAAAGTAGTCATAGCGGAGAAATCAAAGGCACAACAAACATGGGATGACGCCATTAATGTTTTGACCACTTTTACTGCGGTGGCGGGCTCGGCAAAAAAAATGCATGAATGCTCTCGAAGTCCTCTCCAAATATCTCCTACCTAGCGATGAAAGTTCTCAAATCTCCATAGACGGCCGTGTGCATGGTGCTCTTGATCTCGAAACATTATCAGAAATGAGGCGTTTTTTGGCGAGAAATCAAGTGTTCTTCCATTTAGCAGTGATGATTTTATGTGGTTGCGGTGATTGGTACTTGGATTTTCGGGATTGCTCTATCAAACTTGTGCTAGAAGATGATAATTATAGGCGAAACACTGAAACTTGAATGAAGTCACCCTGTTATTCAGTGATGATTATATCCCCCTCAAGCCTAACTAGATAAATATGATGCAAATTTATTGTAGATGACTGTGGCTATTTTGAAAAAGTATCATTTGCATGAAAGGTCTTGGTAGGCCTGGTAATGACCCGGTAATCATATGATGTGCCCAGGTTATGAATTTGTTGACTGCTGTAGGAGGTGTATACTAGTACACAGGCATGCAGAGGAGATAGATTTGTGTAGCCAAAGAGTGGGAATGTCTTCATCAATTAATCCGATATGGTGTAGTGGCTAACATCGCCGTCTCTCACACGGCAGCCGGGGGGTTCGATTCCCCCTATCGGAGTTGCTTTTTTCTTTTTGTATTCTGCAACTATTCTACATCCTGTGTGTCTCAAAGAGATTCTCTTTTTGCCTAGGAGATACAAGGATGTAAGTTCCGCTATCCAGCCTAATATATATGTTGGACGGCCTATGGATGATCATGGTCACCTACTACTAGTATATCCTCCACTCTGCTGGGAATGTTTAGCTACGATACCAAGTATCGTACCTAACCCGGTGGCGGGGCAAGCCAACGCGCTCACGGCACGTGACCATGCTCTTATCGGATCTAATCGCAACTCAAAAATTTTTGGATGTCCAGCCAATCCTCAGCATCTCGAATACAGACATATTTTCTGGGTCAATCCCTTTTTATCCCGTATTAGAAATCGTCATCAGACTCGGAATATTCGATTATTTCATTTCAGCAACACCTCGGGCCTCCAATTGCCACGCCTCCATCAATTTTCCACCTATCCCCCCACTCAACCTGCGGGGCATCAATCTGCAAACACGCTTCACAAAAACAAGCCACCCAACATGAGCGACCAACCAGGAACTGCACCCCCGGCCACAGATGCCACTTCCTACCTTGACCTGGGCATCTCCCTTGCCGTCAATAACTGGCCCGCCCTCGCCCTCGCCGTCGAATCGAACTGGGGCGGCCCCAAATCCGCCGATAAGCGCGACTGGCTCTGCGGTGCCATCTCTGAGATGCTGACCGATCGACCCGAGACCGATGCCGAAGACCTAGAGGATGTCCTCATCCAAGTGATGAATGACGAATTCGACGTCGTCGTGGACGACGATACTGCCGCCGACGTGGCTATCGAGATCATGGAAATGAAGGTCCAGACTTCGCGCGGGGATTTCTCATATATCCGCGATACGTGGGAAAAGTTCCAGATTAAGAGCCAGCAGAAATCCGCTTCGTCAGCGATGTTCAAGCAGGTCGAGTCTAAGGATGAGGATCAAGAGACGGATGGTGATGAGAGTGATGATGGTGAGGACGTTGATATGGACGATGCTCCTGCCCTGGTGCGGGCCCCGAGGGAGAGAGCCGAGCCAGAGGTCGACGAGGATGGATTTACGATGGTTAAGAAGCGGTAAATCAGCATGGCTGGTGCCTCCTTTTGATGTTCAATGATACCATTCGACTGCAGATGTTTTCTGGTGAATCCATTAGCCTATAGATAGAAACGGCATATATCTATTTTTTCAGCTGAATACACAATCCAACTATACATTAATATTCAAGAGATCCCTGAAAACCTTGGAAGTTAAGCACCTGGGCGGAGGTGACCCATACATCCAAATTACGTAGTTACCAGATCGGACATTGGCAGATGGCTACGTAACCGCCTATTGGAGGGAGTCTTCATCTGTATCCTGTCGACAGACAGACTTACGAAAATTGTAAATAGAGTATACTAAATGCTTCCTCAATGAGAGCGAAATTCTATGTGGAGGCGTAACAAAATTCATCATCGTTAGTCTTAAGAGACTCTTGGGGAGTATCACTTTTTGGTTCTTTGCTTTTTTGTGAGGTATATGCACAACCGGACTCCGCCTCATGAAATTCTTTAGACGGTCTCGCCATCTGGCAAGATGAGCTTGGTAATCATACCAATGGCAATGGTTTGACCCTAAAAACTCTACTGTTAGCAAATAATTCTTTCCGTATCCTGAGCAGAGGATCAGTCCACATACCTGGTCACGGAGAGTGAAGCGACCGAGCTGCTCATAGTCGGCGAACTTCTCAACGCAAACCGCACCAGCAGTACTAGTAACCTCAATGCGGGCAATGATAGTTTGGCCCTTGTTGGCGAAGGGAGGGGGGGCGCTTGCTCTTGCGGCCAGTTCCAGGCTCAAGCTTGTGCAGAAGAGCAGCGACGGTGATCTCCTCAACAGCGGAGTGAACGTGGAGAACACAGTTGAAACCGGCAGTAAGAATGTTCTTCAGGTCCAAGATACGGATCTTGGCCTCGAAAGCAGACACACAGTGGACTGGGCGCTTCGGGGAGCACAGCACAAATCCAGGGTAGAAATCTTCCTCTTCCACACCACGCAGACGCATGCGAACCTGGTCACCGCAGGTGGCGTTGGCAACCTCATCTTCGGTTTCGCCGTAAAGAGCGGCAATCTGGACCTCAGTTCGGTTAGGCATCATCAGGTAAGTGCCGTTCTTCTTGATAACACCGGACTCAATACGGCCCTCGCACATGGTTCCCATGTCACGGTACTTGGCACTGATGGGCATCATGAAAGGAGCGTTGATCTTGCGCTCCGGAAGCTTGAAGTCGGTCAAAAACTCCAACAGGGATGGTCCATCGTACCACGGGCAAATCTCCTTCGAGACACGATCCTTGATACCGATAGTACGCTGAGCAGAGATAGGCATGCAGAAGATGTCGGCCTTCTTATAGCCGAGAGCTTCCAAGAACTTGATCACCTTGACGGTACACTCCTTGAAACGGGCCTCAGACCACTCGACAGTTGGGTCATCCATCTTGTTGACAACCAGAACAAGCTTGCTCACACCTGTGTTGCGAGCAAGCAGGGCGTGCTCACGGGTTTGACCGCCCTTTTCGAAACCAGTCTCATACTCACCCTTACGGGCAGAGATGACAAGACATCCCAAATCGGCTTGAGAAGCACCGCCGATCATGTGCGGGACGTAAGACTTGTGACCAGGGGCATCCAGGATAGAGAATTCGCGGGTAATGTCGCCATCCTCGTGAGGAATCTGGACTTGGAAGAACGCACGACCGACCTCGACAGTCTTACCCTTGGAACGCTCCTCTTGGGTCAGATCCAGAGCCCATGACAGATACCAAGTTTCACGGCCAGCCTCCTTGGCCTCTCTCTTGTACTTGTCCATAGTTCGCTCGTCCACCATGCCAGTACAGTACAGCAGAGAACCACCGAGAGTGGACTTGCCAGCATCAACGTGACCAATGAAAACAACGTTGACGTGTTCGCGCTTCTCACCATAGATTTCCTTCAGTGTGGCCTCATCAACGTCGGCCGCCTGCTGCTTAGCAACGGCATTGGCGTCACGGGCCGCCTTCGCCGCATCAACGCCACGGGCAGGGCTGGAGCGGCCAGGGCTAGAACGGCCAGTGCCGGGAGTAGGAGAGGACTTGCCGCTAGCGGCAGCCTTGGGATCCGCCTTCTTGTCGGTCTTCTCAACAGCCTTGGCAGCGGTGACCTTAGCACCGGCTTCAGCAGCGGCAGCGCCCTTCGAGTCACCCTTGGAGGTGGCGTCGGTCTTGGGAGGGGTGGGAATTCCAAGCGAGAGGACCTTGGTCTTGGGGGCGGCGGAGGAGGAAGTAGCCCCAATCGAAAGGACCTTAGCCTTGGGCGGGGCGTCGGAGGGGTTCACGGCGGGCTGAGGGACGGACTGGGCTGCGGGTTGCTGGGCAGCGACGGGGGTTTGGCGAGGTTGCTGTTGAAAGCCACCGGGCTGCTGGTTATAGTATTGGTTATAGCCAGCACCAGCACCAGCGCCAGCACCAGGCTGTTGACCATATGCGGCATACTGACCGTAAGCCTGTTGCTGGGGTTGCTGGTAGCCGCCGTAGGCCTGCTGTTGTTGACCGTACTGGGGGTAACCACCGTAGCCAGCACCGTACTGTTGGAACTGCTGTCCGGGGACGAAAGAGTTGGCACCTGGGGTGAAAGAGGCAGCTCCGGGTTGGAACGACGCAGCTCCAGGCGTGAAGGTAGGTGCTTGCGCCTGAGCGCGCTGGGCATTCAGGTTGACGCCCTCGGTCTGTCGGGAGAGCTCATCCTCCCAGGATTCGGGGGTCTGGTTCGACATCGTGTATGAGGGATCCGAGACACAACCAAGGACACGGTATAATGGCGACACGAGAAGTCGAAAGGGTGGAGGTCCAACAATGAGGGGCCCTCACGCCGTTGCAAAATCAATTTGGTAGATGACTAAGCTCGGCTCCCCGCTGTTGTTAGGTAAGGTCAGGTGACGAGTATTGTTTCTTTGACAAGTTCACTTCCCTGGCCTACCGGTTAATTTGAAGCAAGATTTTCTTTCAATCGGTGGATGATCGAAGTTGTACAGAAATTGCTGCAGCTTTAACCCAGACTGTTGGGCCCTTCTCTGTGGCGAACTTCATCGAACTTCATCTCCCAACTCCAATCGAAGCCTCCCAGTTGGGCAGATCTATCGATAAGCCCCTCCATTTGATCAAAGCATCCATCAGGGAGACCCAGCGCTCTGTTGTCGGTTGTTGCCTTAGCCACCAATACATCTTTCGACATCTAGTTTCCTCAGCTTGTCTTGGCATCATTGTGAGGCTCTTCACCGTCAAAATGGACATCTTTCTTACTCGCGTATGTCAACCATACCAATTCCTTCACTAATCATCTCACTGCTAGAGCTGGAAACAGGTTTTCTAACTCGATATATCTTGAGCAGCTTACCCAACAGGCGACAAATTATGCCATCCGGTATGTGTGACACAGTTCAATCCTGGTATATCATGGCATGCATGACACTTCTAATAACGAGCATAGATCGGGCGTTGCGCTAACGGCCAGCTATGTAATCCAACAATCGGCGCGATTGCTGAAGGTATGCGCTGGAAGATCTACGAACTGTCTCACAAGTTGACTCTGTGCTAAATATTTTCCGAATCAGAGGGTAGATGGTGAAGACCGTGAGGTGCTGCTGTCTTTGCAGCAGCGTCTAGAAAGCAAAATCCAGGTATGTGATGGATTTCTTGATCGGAGGTTCCCATCATCTCTAATAACGTCATTCGCAGGTTATCTCACCTTCAATTGACATGATCGAAATGATGTATGTCACAATTAAAAATACCCAAAGGTGTTGAAAGAATACTAATATCCTGAACAGTGCTGCACGTGGAAATACATCTCTCGAATCTGCTGTTGCTCTTACAAAATCCCTGAGATGGGACATCCAAGCCCTGGGTCAAAGACTGGCAAAGGCTGCAGCATCCGAGGAGTCTAAGCGCAAGGCGTCCAAGTCACCCAGGAGCGGAATTTCAAATGTCGCGGAAATCAAGCTCATCATCAAAGACATCAAAAGTTTGCTCACTAGGATTGAGGATGCGGTACCATTGATGAACTTGGCCATTACGACCTCGGGTGCGAAGCTGTCAACCAATCTACCATCAACTGTCTCACCTTCCCGACTCTTACAATCAAGCACCTTCTTGACTGCGGGGGATACACAGTACGCGATGTCAGAAGCTCAGGCCGTTCAGATTGGACCAACCTTTACACTGTCTATGTACATGTTGTTTGCCGGACACCTGCGACCCCATGATGAAGAATCCATTCGCGAGACAACGTGGAAAGAAGTAATGCACAAAGCGCGACTCAAGCTTCGACGTGTTCCGATGGGCCTCTATTACTCCGATGACGATCCCAACTCCCCGCAGTTTCCAAGCTCAGCTGGCGCCGACGAATATGCTTATCAGGTTCTCATTATCGAGGACTTGGATGACGGAAGAGTTCACACATTTGAAGAAAATGAGCCCCAACCCCACGCTTACGAAGGAATTGCAAGCGCCGGTATCCGAGAAATCCTACCGATTCACCAAATCTCAAAGATTTTCTATGCCGACACGGGTCGAATTCTCAATATCAGTCCTGATGGTGAAACAAATAACCCTGTCATATTACTCAAGAGGGACTCCAACGCATTACCACCGCGCCATATGATGGAACGTGCCGATGCCGACAGCGAATATGCTTCTCAGTCATCCGAGGCCGAACCCGAAGATGACGAGCAAGCACAGCTCGATGCACAGTTGGGTGGAAGCGGTAATCCTGACCACGAGAGCTTCAGCTCACTCCACGAGGACGCAATACCCGAGGAGTGGCGACTGCCCTCCGGTCTAGATCCGGAATGGATTGCATTTGAAGTCTACAATGAAGACGAAAGCTCAGACACGGAATCCGAACCCGAGAACCCCACCGCACGAGAACAAGAAACAAAAATCGATCCCAAAATGATGCAAAAATTATCATTGAATGATAAGAAACATAGCCCATCATCATCTCAGTCAGGCAGCGCCACAATAACAACCGTCTCCAACCCGCTTTTCGAAAACATTCGAACCTCGCTATCTCTTCTCGAGACTCTCCTCCGCCTCACATCGCTTCAACAATTCCAACAAAAATCCCACCTCGGCATTAGCGACGAACTACTCAACTTCTTCTTAGAAGAATCCTCCTCAACCGGTGCCGGCGGCGACGAACAACATCGCCAGCGCCTCCGCTCCGAGGCACGTCGCCGTGTTGGGTGGGATCCTTACAACGAGAGCCCTGTCAAACTCCGTGGCGAGGATTACCAATACAGATACGGCACTGAAAGTCCATCTGCTTACATGCGGGAAGGGGAGATGTACTCTCCCGCGAGGGGCTTCGAAATGCGTTCCAGAGAAAGTACCCCCGAGACACCCCAGCGAAGAGGATCACCAAGTGTCCGCGCCGACAGAAGAAACCCCAGTAACTTGCGCGGAATGACACCGGCATATTCAGATGATTCGGAGTCGAGACAGTCCTCGCCTTTGGCGAAGAAAGCAGGTTTTGGTACAAGGTCTGGAACAGCGGAGTAAGGCGTAGCCGAACTCGCCAGGATGTATGAATATGCTCAGCAATGATGATAGCGATCTGTATTGAAATTAGACCACTCGAATTACGGAAGCCACTGTTTCCTTTACATGACGCAGCCGAATTTACCATCTCAATTCCAATTCCACAGGTAGATAAAACATAGCTATCTTCATGTAGATGTTCAAATCAACGACAATTAGTCGCAATGTCTACCCAAGAGTCGCCTAGACTGATAAAATATGGGATTGGGAATTGTACCGGGTAAATTCGCTGCCAAGTGATATGTAGATAAAATGTGCATGCTTTGCCAATTGAACGGACAAGAGAAAAATAAGAAAATTCGATCGCTGAGGTCAAGATAGAAAACAAATCCGGAGATACGGGTAGAAAACAATAGCCCTGATAACGCCCATGACCCAACATCCACAACTCCAACTCCAGGTACAGTGGCGATGACCAGCAAGTAAACCAATCCCTTGAGTACTCAATAAGAAGACCTCAGGTCGGATCACACCCATCGTCGGATGCTTTTTGACCTAATAGTCTCTGATATAACTAGAGGTCATATGTTTATTCCCAGTCCTCGTCGCTATCGTCGGCCTTGGAATCGGTGGTTGGGCTCTTCTCTTTGGGACTACCGGGGTTGCGGGTGGTGGCTCCGCTCACGACATCGTAACTCGATTCACTTCCTGCTTGGGATTGCTGGTCGTTGGACTTGCGAGGCTCAGCTTTAGGGGTATCGGCATCCTTGCTAGCAGCGGAGTTCTGGGAGCCAGAATGGACTTGTGGGGTAGATGGGGACTGAGATTCAGAATCAGAATCGTCGTCCCAGCCGACTTCCTCTTCTTCTTCAGCGGTAGCACCTGTTCGGCCAAATTTAGTAAGGATGGGAACAAGAAATAAAGGACATTAAAAACCATCAAGGTCCGGGGTGATCTTACCCTTCAGAAGTTCCTTGCGCTTCTTCTCCTCGGTCTCAATGACCAGGCGCAAGAAATAGTAGCGGGTCCAGAAATCAGCATACTCGACCGTCTCGGGGACGAGCTTCTCCATGGCCGAGCGCAGCTCGGGGTACTTTTCGAGATCCGCGGCGATCTCGTCGGTCTTGCTTTCGACATTAAACTCATTTTTGAATTCGGGGAACTTGTCACTAGCAGGTTCCTTGGTGAAACTGTCGAGATTTGAATGAATGACGTGCAGTTGGGCTTCGAATCGGGTCGCATGGATGACTCGTTTGCCATCGGCATCCTTGCTCTCGAACAGAAGCTTGCCCGACTCATCAGACTCAGGAGGCACAATGCTTACAGCTTCGCGCAACCTTTGACCGATATTCATTCCGAATCGCAGGATCGCTTCATCGGCTGCTTCCTCGGCCTTTTCGATCTCCTTGAGTCGTCGGGCGGCTTCGGCCTTGAACCGGGACATGAATCCCTCTCCACTCGAGCTGCCTGCCTCTGTGTCTTCCGTATCCTCGCCTTCCTTTGTGGTTGTGGCCTTGGGTGTGGTCGCTTCGTCATTTGGTGATTCACCGCTTGTAACCATAGCTGCGGTATTGAGGGAAAGCCCCTTTGTTTGGTCGACGATGGTGTCCCTCAAGCTTGAAAACCCCTTTACTGCTTCCTCGCTAGCTGAGGCATATTCCTGGCGAGCTCCTTCATAGTAAGTCTCGCCTTGCTTACGAACATTGTCCCAAAGACCACCAATTCGGCTGCCCCACGGACTGGCGGAGAAGGCGCGGAATGTCTCTTGCAGCTCGGTGTTGAGATCGTGGCCGGTGGCTTTGGAGTCGGATTCGGTGTTGGAGGAGGAGGAACCTTCCTCCTGCTTAGAGGTGAGGATTTCCTCCTGGATGTGGTCGTACGCAATATCCATGGTGTTGTGGAGGAGTAAAGATTAACCTTCAACGAAGTTGAGTGAAGCCCACTCCGCGTTCGTCAACTGACGGGCCGACCGCCCCGCTTGGCTGGGCTTGGCACTACGATGTAGAAAGGTTAGTAACTAGTAACTAGTTATGTACTCAGTACGACTCCGTACATGAAGACTTAAAGAAAAGATTAGGTGGCAATTGAAAACATTGTGCATTCATAAAAGGGTATCTTCATAATATTATCTAATCTCTTATTGGTCCGGTAGACTATATGGTTCTCCAACACTATCCTGACTTCCCATCCAAAAATTGGGAACCGCAATACTCTCCATCACACTTGATGTCAACAGCTGACTGCGAGAGAGAACATTACCAGAACCAGACTCCTCTCGGCGGACTGGTTGCGATGATTCAACTTGGACAACAGCATCAGGCGCACGGGGTCGTTGGAAGACATGGTCCGTCTTGTCAACGCTGTTCTGCTGTTCCCTAATAGGCGATGACTCTGGTACAAGTTCAGTTTGATCCGGTTCTTGACTCTGAGTTTGAGATTGCGAGAAGGGACCCGGGAAATTCTGAGGAGGGCGCAGGGCTCGATGTTGAGGGTATTGGGTATTTCCTTCATTAGGAAATAGCTCGGATAACTTCTGGGTATTAAGATTCGGAACTGGTTCATGGGGGAACTGGGTCGCGGGCTGGACTCTCTGGTAATAAGCCGATACATCTGACATCGGGGGTTCAGAAGGAAGATCGAAACCCATATCGCCTGGTGGCTGGGTTTCCGGCAAAGGTAATTCTTGCGAGTCATCGCTCGGCGGTCGCGAATTGTCTTCCACTAGGCGTGAAACGCTTTGCCGTGGGTTTTGCGCTCGTGGTAAATCTGGATGCTCATCTTCCATATCTTCGAATTCACTTGCACTCGAGTCGGCATCAGTCTCATACACCACAGTCCGTTCTCTTTGGATACGCTGAGAATTCGATCCCCGGTCTGCGAGTGATGCTTCCTTGGAACTGAGACCCATTTCGTGAAGAGATGGCCGCGCAACGTCTGCAGATATTGGCTGTTCTTGGGCTAGTGGCCTTGGTTTATTTGGGGATATGTGCGTTGGTGTTTTGAGCTTTGGAGTACCCTGCGAAGCTTCACTCATTGGTCGAGCACTCGGTGATTCTTCTTTGACTATATCGTCTTCTTGAAGCCTGAAGTTCAGGGGTTTCCGTTTCGTGGGTGAGAGTGTGGCACATCTAAATTGTGATGATGTGATAATTGCTAGTCCAGGGCTTTCCGGGGATTGGGAAGAGGGAATTTCGAGTTTCCGAGACTTTTGTGGCGTAAAGGGCATATTTGAGCCCAAAGAATTTCGTTGATCTTCTGGAAGACTCGTATCTTGGGTTTCACCTGACGTGAGCGGCTCGCCTGTAGAAAGATCCAATTCTTGTTCAAATGTCCTGCGACTGCGTTTTGAAGATGTTTCCGGCTCGGGTTTTGCTGTTCTCCTGCTGGCCTTCGGTGTCTTCTCCTCTTGCCCGGTAGGACCCTGTCCGATCGTAGAGTCCTGGCGTGGCGTTTCTATGTATCCCATGCTCTCATCGTTATCGTCGGACTCGTCTATCGGAATGTATCGCCGCACGAAATTCATCTGCGTGAGGGTTTTATCCCGTTTTGTGGTTGACTTCTCCATGGATTTCCGTTTGCCCTTCCCAGATCCAGTTGCGTTCGTCGTCTGACCTCTTCGAAGGCTCTGGCCTCGATCGATCACTCGGTTCCCCATCCCGCCGCCTTTCCTTCGTCTCTTTGGGTGGTCGTCGTTTGTTTCGAATCTTGTAAGATTTGCTCGGGTCCGCAGCGGGGGTCGATAATCGGTCTCGCTCTCAGATCCATTGTCTAGCCGTGCGGATTCTTGCCTTTGATGCGTAGCATCGGGCTGTCCTTCTGTGATATAATCCAGCTGGTCATTGTCCAAATGTGTCGACTGAGCCACGAATTCAATTTGCGTGAGAGTCGATTGGGATCTTGTAGGAGGTACCGAGCCCCTTTTAAACGCTGTTGCGGGTGATTTTATCGCTGGAGATGGCGTTATATTTGATTTGGCGCCTCTCGAGTGTGCCGGAGTAGTGGGTTGTTTCGGGGTCCGAAATTGATTTTGGAGTATCTCTGGTGATCTTTCGGTTCGTTTGGGTTTTGTCATCGCAATAAGGCAGGTAGGGACATGAGGACCTCCAAGGTTGGGAATAGGCAACAGAATAGGCAACTTGGTACGAGCGAAGGTTCTTGCCGATGACGCTGGAAGATGTTCTGCCTGACTTCCAAGGCCTACCGCGTCGACGCGTTGAGTTAAATGATGGTTCCCGCCTCAGGCATCAAGGCCAATATATTTACTCGTGACGAACAATCATCTTGTAATTTCCATCATCTTGATTTTTAAGACTGCATAACTTTTTGTACATATTGGGATGTCTACCGTGAATGACGGGTTATAGGGCGTATTTCAGGTGCAGCTTACAATTTCCAGGGTACATGTAGACAACTAATCAAACATGAGCCAATCTGGAACTGCATCCTCATCCTCAGGATCCTCTGATAATAGAGAACCCTTCTCGATCTCGCTATCCGATTCTACTGGTGACAATGGCTTGGGCTCAATTGCAGGTGGAGAAGGTGGCCTGGAAATAAGTTCCACGCTGGCGGACTTGGAGTCACGATTCGTCGAAGAGTCAACAGCAATGGCAGCTTTCTCAGATGATCCCTCAAGTCCTTGGGGGTTATGATTCGCAACCACAACTAGTTCGTATCTTGAGGCATTTGGAATGCCGCGCCTCTTTGCCTTCTCTAGACTTGTCAACGAATTTGTGGCCGTTGAGGGTATCACAGCGAAGCCATCATCTTGAAGGCCATCAGTGACAAAACCGCCGCCGTAATCTTCATTCTGATGGACAAATGTATCTGCAGCACCTTCAGTCGGGGCTTCATCGGGAACAAATCCACCGCCTAGAGTATCGTCTTCATGGCTAGATTCATTCACAGCATGCGACATCGTATCAGTTCTTGATTCAGACGTGATAGAGTCTTGAGGGGGAAGCTGTTTTGGCTGGTCAGGATCAGGGAAGAATCCTCCACCGGCGTCGTCTTCGTCGATGCTCATACTCGGCGACTGTGGTTCTGGTCCTTCTTCATCCTCGTCTGCATAGCCCTTGACTCTCTCCGCAATCCTAAGCTTGATCAAGAATAATCGCCAAAGTCGCAAGGCTTCGGCACTTCTTGCTTCAAAGAGGGCCTCCTGCCTGTCATCTGCGAAGCCTCTCAGCACTTCTGCAAGCGCTTCTTGATACTCGGTGGCAATCACAATTCCCCCAAATACTGCTGTTCCCCGACGTCCTTTGAAGTCGAATCCAGTAACGGCATCCGCATAGTCGATTCCAAGAAGACGAGCAGCTCGAGCAGCTTCCGGCTGCTTGATGTGAAGTCCCCCAGGAGGTACCATGCTAGGAACGTATACATCCAAGTTGCCATAGCTGTTTTTTGGTATTCTCCCTTGGACCACAGGTGGAGGGTGGTATGTGTGAGTTTGGTACTCTGCATAAAGTGCCGTTTGCTCTGGTTCATCTGTCTCGTCGTCGCTAGTCGCCCCGCCTTTGGGTCTTATTGCATTGACACGCTTGAGAGGTTGCTCGCCCACTTTCACGTCCCTTCCCATGCGATACCATTTGTCTGCGCTGCGTACCGTATGCACGTCCGAACGACGATAGATTGAGTCCAAGGTATCGCTGTTCGCGCCACTCTTGCTCAATCCAACGCTTCCAATGACGCGTTTGGGGAATATCACCTCGTTGCGGCGTAGATGGCGTTCAAGTGCATAGACGGGATGGTCCTTGAAATCTAGGATGTTTCGTGGCATAGGTTCAGCCGCAGACTTCGAGGTCAACTCGCTGATCTCCAACTCGTCTCGATCTTCGAAGAAAGGTCTTTCGTATGCTTTCAATGCATGCTCCCACCACTTTTCCCCATGACGAGTTGACTCCACTCGCAACTTCCGCGTTTTTGCATTGTAAGCCTTCGTATAGCGCCTCGTAATGTCTCTCGCGGAGGCATCGTCCTCAAAGCCAACCACGTAGTTCATCATGTTATATGGATCACTTGCCGGTGGTTCAAATTTGAACGGCTTCCCCAGCGTTTTTGTCACGATGGGGTCGACTGAAACCCATTTTTGCATCGCCTCATTAAATGCTTCAACCCAAAACACCGGATAAGAGGACTCTCGAGGTGTCGGGCTAGGGCCTAGCTACGTTAGTTTTATTTCAGGGAAATGATGATCAACAATCCGTACCTAGACGCGCCGAAGGCTGAATAGGGCGCGGTTTAAACTCAGGGCGACCAAGACGCCGCACTCTTGAGGCAGATGGAGAGGCCGTGGCTATCTTCCGCTCGTCTGTAGACGTTTCATGGTCATCAGAAGAGACAACGATGTATTCGGGACCTTTTTTGGACGGTGTCATATCCTTGACCGTTCCGGAGAATGGAAGCGCCTGTAGTGAACACACGAGCCTTGATTCTATTGCAACTGAGCGCAGTAACGCACAAAATAATTGCGCACCGAAATCCCGCGAACCCTGCATCATTTTGGCTTGTGATATAAAGTCCTCCCTTGACAAAAATACCTCGGCATTGGACATGATAGATTCCTATATTTGATCAGGATCAGGATCAGAATCGATGCATACGGATAGATACTTGAGAGCAAGATGCATACCACTTTTTGCTTCAGCTGTTCTTGGCCCTCTGCCCAGTGTGCGCGCTTTAACCCTGGCCTAGTGATGCGAAATTTTCGACTGAAGATATCTGCTGCCTGGTTGAGACCATCGATAAAGGTTGTGGATCTGGAAAATTGTGGCTTGCTTTCGTCTGGATTGAGAAGTGTCAAGGTCCTTTTGGGGAGCATCCTTTTCAGAAATTTCTGTTTTATTGTGAGGGATGCACAAACAGTCAAACAATCAAGCGGTCACATACATGAATTTCATTATCGTTACACCATCGGTTCCTCAAACTAACATGGCCTAAAAGGCACAGAAGGTGGGATTTGTGAGTGTCCAGTCGTATCTTTTTCTCGGCGGCTGTGATGGGTTTTCTCTTTTGAATAGCATTCTTCCTGGGTTGAGGCTCTTGTCCCAGTGTTATCTCCAAAGGTTCATCGTTTCCCTGTACCGCCAAGGATGCACTGGATGGCCCTAGTATAGGTTGTGGAATGTCGACGTCTTCCCACTCGACATCTGATTCATCTGAGCTGCCTGAATCATATACTGTCTGGACTTGCTGTGTAGATTCATCCTGCGACATCTCATCTGGATCGTTCGGGAATGCAGAATCTGGGGTAATAATTTTCATCTCATTCACTCGGCGTCGTTTGATCGGCCGGTCTTCCTGGAACTGGGCAGGATCTCGAGATTCAGCCTCGACAAGCATCTCGTTGTAAGCATCCCGGGTTCGCTCCTCTCGTGTCCTCTCATTGAGCCGGCGGCCACGAGATGCCCTTTCCCGCGTGGAGCGGGTTTGGGACTGGCGCGCCATACCTCACGGATGTTTCGCGCATGAAGACTAGCTTGTTCCTAGTAAAACCAATGCGTGCAAACTAGCGGGTAGATAGTGCGATATGCGGTCCCACCTACGCTGACCCCATGCTCAAGAGCCAAATGAACAGAAAACGGATCAAGGTGAGTGAGGCTCGTCGTTGAGACTGTAAGGGTCGAGTTGTTGATGGGGTGGGGCGCTGCGTCATAACGGCGATCCAGTTTCTCCGAGGCTCCGTTGACTCACGTCCAACACAAGGCAACAGTACTACTAGTACGTTTAACCATTGGTTTTAATTTGCTATTCAAATTTGAAGAACAAGAGTCAGTAACTTGAATATTTGATATCTATCAACCGGCACTGGCAGCCCGGGAGGTTTCAGGAGATTGTAAACAACTTGAACCTTGTTGAATTTTCTTATCCCGGACCGACATCCATGGGTGAATATATAATACTAGTCTTGAACTCCCAACTTGAATTTGAAGTTGGAAGGTTCACTTGGGCGCGTTGGAAACCATCCGGAGTCCGAATCTGGAACTTCGGTCAAACCTCCAGGGCTTCAAGTTCCAACTTGTGAAGGTTCCCAGGTTCAACTTCTACTACCTAGGTACACCTCTAATATCTACTAGGTCGTAGTTTCATATACCTACTAGGTGTTACCTCTAGGGCCGGAGACTGCAACTCAAATTTGAATTCTCTTTTACTAGTACCTAGGTACTACTAGGTACTAGGTAATTATAAAGAGCAAAAAGTGAGATTTCCAAGGTCTGGGCTTAAAGGGCCCAGGGCTTTGCTAGTACTGCTGTCAGTGGTAGTCCATTTTCAATCATTGGCACCTTCCAACCTTGGCTCTATTTTCACGATAATGAATGGATGCTATAGATAAAAGCAAATGCAATCCAAGCTATTTCAACTTTTCAAGCACAGGAACCATCAGTGCTGTGGATTATGGTAAAATTATTACTCATCCATGAAGAAAGAGAAACAAAGGTCAAATAGATGATGCAGGATGTATCTCTTCTTGAGGCCAGCGGTGAAGTAGCCAAAGATAGATCTTACGTTGATGCCTGCCTGCCTGCCACGCTAGTTGCAGGTTATATGAAAATGAACGACTAGTATGGATGATAGATGGACGGTGAGGTCAGATTGTTCAGTGCCTTGGATGTTGGCACATCTTGATTCGCCAAAAATAGATCGTTAGACTCCCTACATAACCCACAGGGGCGATAGGTCTAAGAAATGGAGGACATCATTGCTTTTTCTTGAGATATCTCGCTTTTTCTTCTCAATATTTACCTAGCCACCGAAGTTTCCAGGCCTAATACCCGGCCTAGTCTATCGCGCTCTGGCCATAGAAGTTCCACTGCGCGTATTGTGGACTTGGGACTGATCCTACTAACAGGAAGTATTGTACCGATGACGATGATGGAAGTTGCTCTAAACAATGGGATAACTGTCCCAATTTAATGGCAAATTGCTGCATATTTCGACCATCATTATTCAAGTTTATTTTCGCTTCCTCTAGAGCCGTGTCCAGCCCGTCCGACTTATAATGACAGTGGAGCATCTTCGGGCCAGTTCCTGGCCGATCTGTAACTGTAGGAAAGGGTGACTTTATGGGTGGGTCAGTTGAGTTTGATATGTACCATACCACAGCACTACGTAAATGATCGACATGGTCTTTTTTTCCATTCTTGCAGTCGACAGCGACCCAGCCGTGTCATTCATGCATTGCCATGCGTGTGTGCAATGATCCGATTGGGTCGAGACCCCCACTTGGGCAATTTAAATGATGAGAGAATTTTGCACACCAGGCTGCAATTCCAAATACCCAAAAATTTCCGACTACGGTATGATTATGTCCCGCACCACGTCCATCAAGGAGTCCCACCGCTAGCCTTCTTCTGGTGGAACGTGCTCGTAGCCGAGCCCAAGGCGCCGTGTGGTGGATCGCTGCCAGTGATCATTCATCAACCCCGCCGCAGATGCTCCAATTCTTGCCGAGTTGAACTCACAATACCCCGTACTCTTCGTATTGCCTAAAGTCTTATTTAATTATTTATTTATTTCAATATCTCATTCATAAAATCACCATCTTTTTCTTACCCTTAGCGACCCTTCCGGCCGAGGGTATTGTTCCGGGAAGCGGTCTATTTCACAAGCGGATTTCCGGCCTTTCAGCCACGAGACACGTAGCCCAATGGCGGAACTAGTCGATATTAATGGAGTTATGGCTTCTTCTTGGTATGCAGGTTCCGGCCGAAGCACGAAGATTCGCAGAGTTCAAACCTGTGGCTAGCACAGAAGTATGTACTACATACTATGTAAAACTATGCTGCGGAGTACATACGGAGTATACGGCGGGGAATTAGGCAACCCGACCCATCGGGTTGATTGATTGACTGTTTCTGAGATCCAATCTGATTTGCTCTTTGGATCAATCCTCGAGGACCACCACCCGAGCTCAATGCAACTCAACCGGAGATCCGGTTTGTTTTTTTTTTTTTGATCGTTCGGCTCTGTGACCCGCCTATGTTCTGGACACATCTTGGTCTGCAGGATACCGGGCCTAAATCACCAGTGCAGAGCCATGTTCCGACCCGGGTTTTCACGGCGGCCAATGTCTTTTAGGAAACCGCGGTAAGCTGCGAGGATACAGGGGACATAGTGTACATTTTGAGCGCCAGAGTGCCCTGCGCTCTCCAATCTCACTTTCTTTGTTTTGTTGCAGAGACTAACTTCCCATAGCTCATAATGCACCTTTTCCCAGCGCGGCCGGTGTCTTTGACCAACTTCCCCAAGCGAAGACCCCGTCCTCCAGTAGCAGACAAGAATGTCTCCACCGCGGAGTTATTCGGTCGCGAACCTAACTAAGAGCATTGGACCTATTACAAGCCAGAAAGAGCCCCCAAATTATCTTCTGTACTATGGTGTCAATCGTTGCAATGACTGAAAACAGCCCTTCTAAGCAGACTATCAAATATTCGAAGTTTACCTATTTAATTTGATCATCCGCAGACCCGTTCTTGAAATTTGGCTCTTGCGCCGGCGTTACCGACACGATGGGACCCGTACACTTTCCTAACAGTCGGGTCGAGGCGACCTGTTTTGACTCGTCCAATTGTGAATAAAGCCCCCAGGTTCCTTCTGGATGGGATCCCAGCACCATGGCAACTGTTTCTATATTCTTGGGTCCTTTTGCAGGGGTTCTTTGCTCGTTTTGACGCTTAGTATGCAAGGTTTAATTTTGGATCATTGATCCCATAAATCTTTGACCAAAAGAAGGTAAGAAAACAAAAATTTGTTGGTTATTGGGTTGACCCGTTGGGTTGCACATGGTGTTTCCTCAATGCTCGGAGTACTCCGAGTACAGGGCTTACCCCTAGCTTAGGTATCGATATTCTTTTCTCATCAATTTTCTCACTCGGGCCACCATCCTAGACGATTTACCACATCTCCGAGGTCGGTACTGCAACAAAATTCCAGCCCCCAAAAGATGCCTAGTAGTGGGGAATTGGTTCTTCGCTAATCTGCCCTTTTTGCCCAACCCCGCCGATAATTGCTAGGCGCCTTTTGATGGACTAGGATCAACACTTCGCACAATCATCCCATCAAATGTCTACAAGGTGAAGAATAGCTTATCAAGCACATGATCTGTGGCTGGACTGAAGTGATACCACAGATGAATGATGAACGCGAAGTTCGTCATACTGCATAAGGTACGATCCGGCACGAGTCATTGAGTATGGATCGGTGTAGAGGGACCAGCGTAATGGGCCATGGATGATTTACCCGAGCTCTCCGAACCCCCGGGCTCGAATATTGGAATACGGGGTATAGAACCATTCTTTGACCCTGTATGACGGACGAGGCGCCCGGCTGGAGTCGAGCAGGTACAGCCTTTGACCTATGAATATCCCACAAACAGTCCTAGTCATGTTGCACCGCCGGACACGAAAATTATACTTTCCTGGAACACACCTTGTACTCCGTAAATAAAGAAAGTCAAACTTTGAAACGACTCCCCACGCGTCATATTGCGACCGAAACCGTGGCCAGCTGTCCTATCCGGTAAAACTCGGTATTTTGGACATATCAACTTTTCCACCGCTAGATAGAATGTGGCAGGCGCTGTAAAAAGCTAAGCCCAACTTGGGAAGAAGGACCATTTCTCCGGAGGGGGTTTCCAATCTGTTACGAAACCAGGCGATTCCAGGGCGCCCAATCTGTTCTCACCTGCATTCGGGATTTGAATATTGAATTTAACCCCTAATGACGGTGAGAGAGAAGAGTGGGAAATCTTTCTTGCTGGTCGTGACAGCTCCGCTAAATGCGCTTTCTCCATCGCTGCGGGGCCGAAGACCGGCGATATCAGTGGCCGATCAGAGATTCTGTCATTTGCTTGCCCGGTCGGCTCTCGATCTAGTTTAGTACAGTAGCAGCGGAGAAAGCTACATTGTCCATCCCCATGTGAGTAAGAATTCAGTATTATTTTGGCCCGATGTTTCTAGTGTATACTTCTTTTCCTCTCTCAGAGGCTGGTGCTTTGGGCTACTACTATTTCGGCACACCCTCTTAGGCAGGTCACCATGTCGGAGGTCTAATCTGGTAGGGTTACTGTTCGGATTATATCCGAATGAAAATTTCTTTTCCAATTTGATTCGGAACCAGGATAACCCTGCGGGGTGGACGCATAGTATATGTTTGAGAAGGGGAGGGGGTTATCGTGCAAAATCCGAGTTCCACGCCTGTGGTTAGGCTGGTTGACAATTCCCAGCCAGCTGGGACAAGCGACCATTGGCCGATCTGCAACTGTACAAAAGAACTATAGGATTGACAAAGTACTATGGAGTACGGAATAGAATATTCGAAAAGAACCGACACAATCAATATGTAAGAATTACTGTTGAAAGTTTACTGCTTCCAAGAAGCCCTGTGGATCCGTGAGAATTCAAAGGTCAAGACCACCTTGAGGCACCTTGAGGCAAATTAGACCACTCCATCTGGATTGATTGGCTACTGACGACTAAGAACAATGACAATGGCAATGAACTCTTTACGGATCTCCCCAAGTCCGGTGTCGGTTTAGTTGCCGGTGTTTAAGCAGGGGAGGCTCGATTCCAATCCGAACGGAAAACCTTGGATCGCGCTCGAACCGCCGAACAGGGAAAGGATTGATTGGCGTTTTATACGTGCGTATTGTGTATTTCATTTCACCTGCTCCGCTTTTGAAGATCAACTCGCACTTGGGAAAATAAATTAAATCGCCAAAAATTGAAAATTCAGCAAAATCAAATCCAATCAAATCAAATAGACGTGAGAATAGAGGAATCTTTTTCTTTGCTCCTGCCGCCTATAACCCTTATAATCCTTTTTATAATTCTTTTTATTCCTTTTTCTCCCACTCTTTACTCCCTTTCCTTCCCATTTCCCGTCGGGTTCATTGACGCGGTCTTCCGGGGTTTCATTCCTAACCCAAAGCGTCCGGGTCTCATCCCCGCCAACTTCTGACGTCCATGGATGCCCACTGTTCGGTATAGTCTGGCTCAACCTTGTACCCCATCCATGCACGCACTTGTACTCCACTCCTTCCCCTCTGCGGGCCTTGTTTTCCCACAACATTTTCAATGTCGATCCCAGGTCAACAACTGATTTATAGTTGTCCGGATCGTCCTGCCGTCCTGCCAAACTATAGCTTAACCCAAGCCGTCGGGTTCACAGAAGTCTCCCCAAAACCAATTTGAAACGGACAGGCAAAACAACCAAGTAGGAACTTGATTTGACCGTCGCAATTTCGTCTTGCTTTCTTACTAGTTCTCGAATCTCTTTTTTTTTTTATTCCGAACAACAAATCCTTCTTGGCCAGTGCACACCGCGAATGTTGATCCGGTGTGGGACATGAGACAGAGGAATTGCATTCTCGCTGGCTGAATCGCGCATTCACTAAGTACTAGCTCCTCGCCCAACCTGTACCCTCGCGGAGGCAGGTCATCGGTGATTGGAGAGCTGCGCAAGAGACGTTATACTATTCCCACAAGCTTGACCGTTCCTACATCCTGGCGTCGGTTGCTATCACCATCCCACCCTTATTAGGGTTGGCTGTGCAAATCCTACCTCCCTCGGTCGATCCCTCCGGATTTAGACTTGAGGCGATCAGGATGGGCCCAAAATCCTCCGTAAGTTCCCCTTTGCTTCCTACAAAAATTCTCCTGCCCCGCCATGTCGGCCCTACTATCTCCTTCCTATCAAGCCGACTTTGCCCATTCTCTACCAACAATGTATCAAACTGTTCATCTGCAGATACTGACGCAGAAAATGCAGGAAGCAAAAAGCGATTGGTATTTACATTCCCGTTCTTCCATTCCCTTTGCCGAGGGGGTCAGTCAATATGGCAGTTGCTCTTAGCATGTCGCCCCCCGTATACCCAATGTGGAAACTAACAGAAGAGCAACAGTGATACGCAGTCGCTGACCGACAGTGTAACGGACTATCCAATGGAAAATGGTCGGAGGTATCACAGGTACCATGAAGGAGGTAGGTGGCTGAGCTTCGCCCGCGCCAATCTGTGCATTCTGTCTAACTCATCGGGAATAGCCTACCCTTATCCGAACGATGAGCAAGAACTTGACCGTCTCGACATGCAACACCATATGTTTAAATTGGTCATGAAAGGTCAATTATACCATGTGCCATTGAAAGAGCCGAAGGAAATTCTCGACATCGGCACCGGATCGGGAATATGGCCGATAGAGATGGGTATGATCACTTATTCCCAGCAAAAAGGTCGTGTGTTACGTGCTTGAGAACTCATGCTCTGCCCCTTTCCATTTCATAGCTTCTTTATTCCCCCGCGCCGCGATCACAGGGACCGACTTATCCCCGGTACAACCTACGGAAGTCCCGGAAAATGTTCATTTTTTGGTCGACGATGCCACAGAGGAGGAATGGCTATGGGATACAGATCATTTCGACCTTGTTCATATTGGGCACATGATTGGGGCGATGCCATCATTTAAACGATTATTACAAAAAGCGTTCAAATACTTGAAGCCCAGTGCTTATTTGGAATGCCACGAAATGGACCCGAAACCCAAATGCGACGACGGGACGATGCCGCCTGAAAACCCCGACGGCTATAGTGCTTTTGCTCTACACGACTGGTTCGACCTAAATATACGATCCAGCAGAGAAGTTGAGCCTGCAAGACAATTTCGGATCGCTCCTCGGATTGAGCGATGGATGAAGGAGGTGGGGTTTGTGGATGTTGAGCAACGAGTTTTCAAGATCCCGACAAATACCTGGCCGACCGATGAACATTTAAAAGAAGTCGGCAAATGGAGCGAAAGCAATTGGCTTGAAGCATTGTCAGGCTGGTCATACAAACCTTTTCTTGCACTGGGATGGTCGAAACCAGAGATCGAGGTTTTCCTCGTGAACGTGAGGAAGAGTATACAAGACCGAAACGTGCATGCATACATGGACTTTTACGTTGTGACAGGGAGAAAACCTTTCCCTGGAGAAGACAGTTCCTGAAAGACAAAAACGAAACGAGTTCCTTTTCTTTTCTTTTCACGATTTCGAGATTTTCCTCGATTATTTCTGCATTCGGATGATTGGCTTGAGATACCATTGGCGGGAGGACATCATATTGCATGCATTGTACGGGCGTATGGCTGTCTACTATTTTGCATAAATTTCTCTGTTTTCTTTGTCTGTATTTGAAGATGTTTTTGACCCTCTTATTCCATTGCATGCATGGATGCATTCTCTTGATGAAAATGATGGATGATGAGAGCGAGGTGAAAACCAGTGGACATGACGCTGTATAGCGCAGTGTGTAGTCTGATACATTATGAATCTACAAAATACATACTATACCCTCAAAGCAGCATCAAGGTTGTAGCGCCGCCTGATATCTAATTCTCCCTGCTACATTGTACTTTTGTACTTCTATACTTCGACTTGACTCAACTCGACTAATTCGGGATCGTTCATTGGCCAGTCGAATAGCTGAGTCATCACATGCCAAGACTTGCCGACCCGCGCAGCGGCCAAAAGTCGACGCTGTGAAGTTACCGACCACCCAAACCCCAATTGGCCTCGCATGTGCCATTAATTGACTCATGTCTTTTGGTAGACATGCCTACCGGCATGCTCTAAACCCGTCATCGACCCCGAGCCTCGATTATCTCTGGATTAGCGACGACTTACTTGCAACGACCTTCCGTCGGTTTGCGAACGGACAACGGCGCCATGGGAGCTGTGTCCCCGGACCCCTAGAGGCACGAAGACGCCTTGCTAAGCGGAGAAACACGGCTCTGGCAGGATTGGGTGGTGGACCAGCTGAGGATATGGCGTGTTTATTTGGACGCAATGGACGTGAGCATATGAAGTGGACCGATAATCCATGGCAGCGAGCACATCTCGATACACAAGGTATGTCCTGCGATGAAAGACGGCCCAGCAGGATATTGAATCTAATTTCTGGAAAGGCTTAGGCAGCTATGCATTTGGCACGTCCGAACTTCCACTAACTCTCGAGAATCACCATACCGAGCCCGTCGAACCTTTCATCTCCCATAATCGCTCATCAACTTTCGATTCAAGCCCTTCGAACCGCACACAGGCCCTACAGCAATTCCTAGAACATGAAGGCTGGAACATTGAAGATGCTCGAGATCTCATTCGCCAACTGCATATCGACCTTCAGCGCGAGCCGGAATTTAGTAGGCAAATCTTCGATCATATCATCCAGCGTTCACCGGTGGACCTTGCACAAGCAGTCGCATTTCTGGAAGATCCATTCCTCAACACATATGGCTCTGGGAATCATCTCACCGCCGTGGAGTTGTTTGCGCGTAGCAAGAAAAAGCGATCGAGCAGAATCGCCATCCTAGATACAGTATCACGGGGATTAGAACTAGGGTTGGTTTCAATGAGTGAGCTGTGTTCGATTATCCAAACTCTGCCAAAGATACTCATCGAACGAAACAAGACCTTGGATGCTTGGGATCAAAAAGCCTTACTGAAGCATCATCGAGCATTGTGGAAAGCTATTGGGAAGTGCAATATCCTCGGTTACCGTGACCTCGACAAGCAAGTCATAGACCTCTGGGTTCAAGAGCTTTTGCGCATTGGCAGCTTTCGCTTCGCCGAGGAGATTATCATTGCTACGCACGATGTGAACTTTGCTAAATCCTGGCCTTCAACGCTAGTCTTGAAACATCTCGAATGCACGAATGAAATTGATGGAACCACACCTTTTCAATGGGTTGGCAGATTTCTAGATCATCTTGATGCAGATACATCAGCCAAGTGTATTATTGGTGTCACCGAGCACCTTGCCTCGATCGAATCCGACAATGAGTCCCGCTACGAGTTGCTTGGCCGATGGAGGGACTGTTTATCGCAGCTCTCGGCTACATCTGCGATTGCGAAGTCCCAGGCGTGGCTTGATATGCCGTTGGCGTACATGGATACTGCAATCGATCACCCTACCTCATCGACTCTACCGATCCACTCCCAGATTGTTTTGCGTCTCTGGGCCCTCAGGACTTTGAGTCGGACTCTGGCTCCCATGTACAACCAAAGCTCTAGGGTGACGGATTTACCTATTTGTCAACTACTCAACCTCTATGAAATGGTCACGCAGAAGACGGACGAATCATTCCTGTCAAGCTTCATGCACGGCATTCACGAACTGGATCTTCCATATAACAGTCTTCTTTTGCTGGCTGTTGATATGAAGCTGAGAAAGCTAACATCAAAGGCCACACGCCAAACTCTCCAGCGGTTGGAAACTACCCAGGTCTCAATATCAGACATTTGGACAGACCATTCTGTCTATAGAGGAATCCGGGGACTTTTCCACGAGACATTCGAACAAATGTTTCGCAATATGGATATCACCAATCCAGAGTCTGTGGCAGAATGCCTTCATCTTGCTCGTGTGGGAGATTCGAAGGATGTTTGGTCTCTCCTCAGACTCCTCAACAACCACACACCTATGAAAATTTGTCTTCACAAAGCTTGGGCGCCTATCCCACATCCCGATGAGAAAGCGCTGGTTCGCTATCATCCGGGGCCCCGGGACAGCCAAAGCCCTGATCCCTATGCAGCTGTGGAATTTATTCATCAGCTAGCTGTTGCGTTCTCCTGCTGCAAGCAACTTACGCCTTCCCGGTCGTTTCACCTTGTCCACTGGATCTATGACTACTTACGCCGACATGGTGGCCCTGTATACCCCTCTCTGGTACGAGCTATGTACCATGCTGGCGTTGTGCGATATCGTAGCGAGGGGCGCCGAGTCTCGGGCACTCAATATGATTACATTCTCTGGATCGCGAGGAAGTTTGAGGGACCTGGTGTGGTCAGGGAGCTCACCAGTGGGGCGACAATCGCCAGAGGACGACCTGTTGAATACGAAGATAGCTACTAAGCCTACTAGTGATATCTTTGCCGACCACAATAGTCATCATGTAAATAAATATACCCACGTCTGATTCAAGGCATGCATCATCTATGTATGATTTTTATACCTACTCCCACTACAAACTATTCATCGAGCAAGAGCTTGAAAATAAGGGCCGATTCCATGATAAAATAATACTTGCATTCGTAGAAACTCCAAAAGTAGGCCCATCGCCCTTCATGTCATGAATACAGTGGTAAAATATTTTGAGATACAAGCCATAGTGTAAATTAGAACTTCTTGAGAAGACCATTAACCTGTATCCCAGGCTGAGGCGACCACCAAATCTAAGAATCTACCTCCATCTTCTCAGCCAGATTGTCATCTCCAGACAAGGTCTCGATGGTAACATATTTCTTCATATCCTCCTTGCTGATGATCTTCTGGTTCAACCAAGCAGTAGTACCACGAGGGAAGCGGTAGTTGCGCTCCTTGAGTCCACGCTCATTGGGCTTCTCGTAGTTGCGCATCAAATTGGTAGGCTTATCCTTCTCAATAACGCAGACATCGACATTGCTACCGGATCCCAGATCGTTGAAGATACCGGCCTTGATAGCTTCGGCGCAGAGAGTGACAGCGCCCTCCTTGTCCAGATCCGGCTGCCACATCGACTCGAATACTGACATGGCTGCTAACGAACCGGATCCCATTGTCACGTAGGGGAGCTTATCCGTCGATCCGTGAGCGTGAACGGTGTACAGACCAACGCCAGTCGGGTCCACGCCCGCAACTACCAGGTAAGCACCGATGTGACCTTGGTATCGGAAGAGGTGTTGCTTCAGCATCGTCATGCAAGTGATAACGCGTGGGTCGCGGCCGGTGGATAGAGAGTGCAGTTCGACATTGGAGCTGATGAGAGCGGTTGTGAATTCGGTATCAGCGGCGGTACCGGCACCAGCACACCAGATCTTGGGGGCGATGTAGTGAAGCTTCTCGCAGTTCTATGGGTGAATCTGGGTTAGATGTCGATCTATGGCGAAAGGTAGAAGCCCGGGATAATATCTGGGAAATCAAGAGCTTCTTAAATGGTGATCAATCATTTCCATACCTTGTCTGCTACTATGGGACCACTGGTGGCTCGGGTATCTGCTGCAATCTGCGATGACCGCCAAGTCAGTTTCTTGAGTCCGTGGATTTGCCGAGGGTCATTGGCAGCCATACCACAACACCGTTGTCATAAACACATCCAACAATTGTTGTACCAGTGCTAGTAGCCTTAGGGAGGGGAACACCTCTGGCGTGAAGAGCGGCGTTGCGGTTGAAGTTGGAGAAGTCGAAGCCCGGCATCGTGGCAACGTAGGGGGATGTGACGGGTGGGAGAGCGGGTATCAGCAGTGATGGAGAGAACAAGAACCCGGATCGAAAGTAGGATTCAAGTAGGAAAAAGATGGAGATCGGGCGGGTGGAGGTGAAGGGCGAGCTGATGGAGGAGAGAGGGAGGGAGAGGGAGCTGTTTGGAAGTGACGAAGCTCCCGCAGCCTGGCGGACTTTGGTGGCCTGACGGGTCAGGCAGAAATGGGGTGTTTTTGCCTTGGGAACATTTTCGGGCTTTCCCAAACCTCAGACTGACCTGACTTTACCCTTTGACTTGACTTGGTTCAGTCTTCTCCCTCCATCTCCAGGGTTTTCTCCCCTTCTTTTCAACTCCTATTCGCCTTCTCTTTGCTTAGAGAGAGAGGCAGATCTCAAGATTTTCCAGCGTACCTTACATCTCTTTAACCGGAGTCCTCAAACGCTCCAACGTCGCTCTTTCTCTCCAACACCGCCGAGCTCTCCATCACTCAATGCTTCTAAGACCGGCTCACCCCTAGGCGACCATTCTCGTTCAGTTTCAGGTGACTTTAATCAACTCAGAATGGCCTTCAGCGGCTTCGGCAACTCGAACCCTGCTGGAGGGAGCGCGCAGGCGGAGCTTGGCCCGGAGCTCTCAGATGTCTTTACTGATGTACGTCGCGCTCTCTCAAAGTTGATGAACCAAAAGGATATCTGGCTAATATCTAAACTAGGAGATTGGCTTCAAAGGTATCTCCGGTGACTGCAATATTCGCTTCCTCCCCACCCCTTGGCCTACCGATGCCCTTCCCTCCTCCACCTGCTCTCTGTTGGCTGTTGCGCAAAGCAAAGGCCTCGCAGTTGCCGCCGGACCCGATGCGCTAGTTGTCGCAACCACCGAATCCATTCGCAAATCCATTGAGGCATCGCCCGAGGGAGAGAAAGTGAAAACAAAGTCATTGAAACCTCTTGCGACCATCCCGCTACCTTCTCGCCCAACACACATCGCTTTCAACGCGAGTGACGACGCGTTAATTTTGGCCACCGAGAATGGCTCGCAGATTTCAGTTTTCCAAACAACAAGCCTTACACAGGATAACGCGCAACCTGCTCTATCCGTCTCAACCAATGGCGCTTCGATTCGCGCTCTGGTCCCAAACCCCGATCCCACCTCCAATCTCGTCGCCCTCGTCACAGTGAATGGTGAATTGTTAGTCGCTGATCTGAAGGCGGGCAACTTGGTATCCGGAGCCAATGGCCCGATTCTCCGGAACGGTGTCAGCTGCGTTGCTTGGAGCAACAAGGGTAAGCAGCTTGTTGCTGGGTTGGCAGATGGAACAGGGGACCAAATGACAGCCGATGGAACCAAGAAGGCAGAAATCCCCCGGCCTACAGATCTGGAGGGCGAATGTCATGGTGAGACTTGATTTCCAGATCGATTATTTCGAGCTCTTTTACTAACAACACTTGTAGTTTCCTCTATTTCATGGCTGGAGAACGATGTTTTCTTCGTTATCTACACTCCCAACTCCCTTGATGATATGGGTCAAAATCCTCCCTCATCTCCATACATCATCACGAGACGCAAGGGTGCACCCTTTTTGATACAAAGGTTGCCTGAAGTGTGTTCGACTCTCGGATTTGGCGTGAACCGAGGCCCCGCCTACCAGTTCATAACTCGGCTTCGCGACTATCAACCTCACATGAAAGATGTCCTGATTGTCTCGTCCACCGCATCTGCCGATGTAGGTCTTGTCACACGATGCGATCAACCACTTGCCGATGATGATATCTCAAGAGGCCTTGTTGGACAGTACGTGACTACAGAGATCAATAATGATAGTCAAAAAGCTGCTGTCCCACTGAGAGATTCAGTCGACGAGACCTCCGTCATTGGTCTGGCCGTCGATCTTTCGAGTACTGAGAATGTCTATTCGCCAATTCAAGGGCAAGAGGAAGAAATCCCAGAGAGCTCATCCCCTCTGCCAGGCTTGCTTCTCCTGAATAATGATGGCGTTCTTTGCTTTTGGTGGTTCATCTACAACCAGGCCATCAAGCAACATATCTCATACTCGGGGCTTGTGTCAGGTGGTCAAGCCCAACAATTCTCTGCTTCAACATCGACCCCTGCTCCTCAGCAGTCTGCTTTTAACCAGGCGTCTCCGGCACCGCAGCAGCCTGCTTTCGGCCAATCTTCTTTTGGTCAATCTTCTCCTTTTGGTGCCTCTGCTTTCGGCAAGCCAGCTGGAGGTGCTTCTTTCGGCAGCCCATCTACCATGGGCGCGACCGCCTTTGGCAAACAATCAGGCCCGGCCTTTGGAAGCCCATCTCCAATGGGAGGTGCTCCTGCAGGTCCTGCCTTTGGACAACCATCCGCGCCAGCTCCATCCTTTGGAACTCCTTCTAAACCTGGAGCGACATTTGGCACTGCTGGCACCCCAGCACAGCCGGCATTCGGCCAGTCAGGCTTCGGAACACCCGCTTCTAGCTTTGCACAGCCTAACACTCCAGGAAAGAGTCTTCTTGGAGCTGGCGGTGGGTCTACTGGCGGTGGCTTCAGCTCGTTCTCTGGAGGTGGTGGAGGCGGATTCTCGAGCTTCGCCACCTCCAAACCAGGGGAGTCTTCCTTCTCAAAGCCTGGCGGCGAAAGTTCATTTGGTAAACCATCTGAACCCTCCCCATTCGGCAAACCTGTCAACGATTCCGCCTTCTCCAAGCCTGCCGGTGAAAGCTCATTTAGTAAACCATCTGAGCCCTCTCCATTCGGCAAATCCGTCAACGATTCCGCCTTCTCGAAGCCTTCTGGTGAAAGTTCATTTGGTAAACCCTCCGGGCTCTCCCCGTTCAGTAAACCTGTCAACGATTCTGCCTCAAAGCCTTCTGGAGAGAATGGGTTTGGTAAACCTTCCAGCACACCTCTTTTCAATAAACCTGCCGCCAGTTCCCCATTCTCTTCGGTTGCTACCAATGAGACCAAGAGCCCGTTTGGACAGTCTAATGACTCGCCATTCCCATCAGCAGGGGCCGGTCAGCTCAAGAACCCATTTGGTAAGCCTTCCAACGATTCTTCTTTCCCTGCCCCCAGTGCCAGCGAGACGAAGAACCCGTTTGGCAACCAGAAGACAGATGGTTTCGTCCTTGGATCTTCCTTCAAGCCAGATGGCACTGCCGCCAATGATGAAGCGAAGTCCAATAAGCCTTCTTCTGGGGCCCTCTCGCTTGGTGCCTCGTTTGGTGACATGGGGGGTTTCATCTCCAGGCAAGGGCAGTCCATCTAGCGAATCCATGGATAGCGATGAGAGTGAACCTGAAGAGCCTGCCAATAAGGAACCATTCTCCATCTTCGGCAAGCCTTCAAACCAGGCTCCATCCATGTTCAGCCCTCTGAGCTCAGAGAATACGAAGTCGACCAAGGTGGAAACAAGCAAATCGAAGTTTTCATTCTCCAACAATAACTCCAGTACTGCCATGTCTAGTTCCACACAGAACCAAGTGACTAGTCCTCTGTCGGCGCTTTCCGACAAGACAGCGACACCGAGACGGGAGCAGTCTGTTTCTACGCCTACCTTTGATTCATCCTTCGATGCCCCACTACCGCCAGATCCCATGAGCAGGGCTAGCTATGCAGCTGGCGATACCTCCGCATCCTCCAACGTATCGAAGAGCTCGGTCGAGGATGCGCCTCTTCTCTCCGGACTTTACTACTTGGAAGAAGCCCTCCTCGCAAGAAGACGCACCCCTTCCTCCCGATTTCCTTAACCAGAAGAAGTCTTCGCCTAAGTTGGATGATGCTCCACTTCCCCCCGATTTCATTACAAAGAAGCCAGCACCGGCGGCCGACGATGCTCCCTTGCCGCCAGATTTCTTGTCAAAGCCCAAGAAGGCTGAGAGCCCTCTCGCGGCCCCGGAGGAGGCACCTCTACCCCCTGACTTCCTCACCAAGGTGAAGACTGAGCCTATTGAGGATGAGGAGGCCGTTCCGATCCCTGATGGTTCTGACGCGGACTCTGAAGGCGATGAATCCGACTTCTCTGACAGCGGTGAAGAAATTACTCATGACGAGACCAAGGTCCCGAGCCCGGAGGCTTCTGCTGAGAGTTCGTTCGGCGGCATATCAGAGAAAAGTGCCACGGGTGGGCTTTTCAGTGGTTTCTCCAAGGCCGCTGCCCCCAAGGAAGGCCAGCAGGCTCCCCGCAAGCTATTTGGCGAAATTCCGAAGCAACCGCTCCTCCCGCCTCCTGGGCCAATTGCTCAGAGCAATCGCGAGCCGTACCGATCCCCCAGTCCTACTCGCCTCAACTCCCAGCGAAACACAATGTTCTCAAAGAAGCCCGAACAGCACAAAGAGGCTGGAAGTGCCTTAGCGACTCGAAAAGCTTCGTTAACACGGATTGCTCAGCGTGACGGGCAGCTACGCAAACATAGTAATACTTCGCAAGACGAGAAGATTCGTGCCAGACAGGCCGTACAACGACAAGAGGAAGAAGAAGCCCTCTCCCTGTCAGACGACGATGAAGACGAGCGGCTCCGTGCAGACCTGGCTCGCCCAGTTGAACCTGTGGCAACTCTCGACCCTTTCCTCCCCACCAGAACTATACAGGAGAAACGGCCAAGCCCGGCATTCCTGGCATGATCGAACGTCTCTACCGTGACATCAACTCGATGGTCGATACGCTGGGCATTAATGCGCGATCTCTGGATTCATACCTGCTCTACCAGCAGCCTTCTCAATCTTCGCAGGTTGCCGCATGGGTGGAAATCTTGAAGAGCGAACAGCCCTCCGATATCCTTGACGAGAAAGCATTTCTACAGAACATCACCAATCTTGACGATGTTGTCGCCGCTCTTCGCACCTCTCTCAATGACCAACGCGTGCAGGGTGTAGAAGAGAAGCTTGCACAATGCCACGAGTTGTTGACCAAGGATATCGTTAGTCTACGAAGCCTGTTTGCCAGTATCCGGAAGATCCTCGATGCTCATACCGACACCGGTTCTATCATTGCGGCACCTCTTTCCGCCGAGCAAGCTACACTCCAGCAGGATCTCCGTACCAACTTCACTGAGATACAGGCAAAGATGGCTGGTCTTGAAGAAGGCGTGTCCTTGCTACGGGCCAAGATCGCAGATATTCCCCGTACCGATGGAACATCTGCTTCAAATAGAAAGCGACCCACCGTTGAAGCTGTTGCTTCTACTATCGCTACTATGATGAGCATGGCTGAGGGCAAGAGCAGTGATATTGATGTCCTCGAAGCTCAGATGCGGAAACTTGGCGTCGACGTCTCCACAGTATCCAGCAGCCGCGAAGGATCCCCCTTTACAACTCCACGTAAGAATGCGGGTCGTTTCCCTGCAACCCCCGGCTCGCGTGGATCTGTCGATGGTAGCTCCTATCACACACCTGAATCTGCCTCACGCGGCGTTAATTTCCGGGCAAGCATGAATGGCTCAGCGAAACACAGCCGCCTTCGTAGTGTCGAGGGCGTTGGTCAGATCGCTGTACAGGAAGAGACTTCCCGCTGGAAGTCGAAGAATTCCCGCCGCCAGCATTTGGTAGGCAACCTGAAGGCTGCCATCGAGAAGAAAGATGTCAAGCTACGTACCCTGGATGAGGATTGGGTCGTCGTGGACAAGAAATAAGAGTTATGAACTCTTGGTATGCCGGCGAAGCAGAATGAAAGAGAGCATGTGTTTGAGGGATGTGGAAACGAATGGCATTTGGACGAATCTATTTTAGTACAAGGTCTGGCGTGCTTTAATCGGAGGGGAGTTACAGAAACCTCTTTCCCAAGGAGATGTACATAGTCCAGCTTTTATTGTGTGTGTTTTGATTATCGATTAGCATGGCTTAATGACGAACGGATTGACTGACATCATTTCGCGGTGTGACATCAGTCCAACTCAATTCCTTATTATTTCGGGCTTCTAAACCGCAACACTTTCGTACCTAGCCCAAAGCACTCGATTCGGGGTCATGCTTATACTACTGTGGTAGCAATTCTGGTAGCCAGACGACCGACGCAAATACTCCGGAGGCGGTTCCAGAAACCTTACCCTATCCAATATCCAAGATCCATGCACCCTCACCATGTCTCAAACCATTTGCCAATTCATCTTCTTCAAGATACAACCTGAGGTTCGGCCCGAGGACCCGGACAGCACAGAGGGCCGCGACCTGGTGGCTGTCTTTCGCACTACGCAACAACAAAGCGGCCACATGAGTTCCGTCTGGGGCCGGGTGATAGGAGACGAGGATGTGATCATTTGGGTTGTGGGTATGTTACTAGTACTTTTCCAATAGTCATTGTGATCATTTGGGGGATGGGGGATCTGTTTATCTGCTCTATACGATCTCTCCAGCAATCATACACGAAGCAAAATGATCAGATCTAGAACAAGAATACAAACTAACACGAAACCTTCAGAATGGGCCGATGCCCGATGCTCAACAGCCGTTGCTCTACTGGAACCCTTCCTCGCACCTTCGGCCCAACCTCCGACATCACTCTACACAACGCTTAACCCACCGATTTCCAGTACGGGGACACTCACCACAAACCCGATTACAGAAATTTGCGTTCTGCCTTTCCCCAGCTCCTTGACTGTGCAAGAGACCAAGCAGTTGGATTCGGACCTGATAAATTTCCGCATCGTGTTAGTCGAGCAGTTACCGCAGGCGAGTGGACCACGGTCGTGGACGATGGGTCATGTCGATCGGCCGAGCACGGTGCAGCATGCAACCAGCCCGAGTGGACGTGCTGCCTTGCATTTGTTGGCTATCGGATGGGATTCGGTCGAGGCTCATTTGCAGGCTAAGGAGACGGAGCAGTTTCAGCAGAGTGTTGCGCCTTTTCGGGAGAAGATTTTGCCCCCCCGTGCCTGGATTGGAGATAAAACATGTTAGTCTCAGGAAGGTTTAATTTATCGGATTGTTGACATGAAAACTGGCTTGCGGTAGAGAGTGGTGGTGGTGATAGTGGTGATAGATGCGTGATATGGTTCTTGCACAGGGGGTGTGGTCTCTTTGTTTCTTCTTTCCTTCGTGAGGGTGACTGATGGGAAGATAGGACGGACGAAGGGGGAGGAGATTGGAGCTGGGCTACTGGGAAGGTGTATGTGCAAATGGGTGGGAAAAATGGGATTGGATATTAGGAGACCGGATCAAATCATTCGCCTGAAATAAGATACAACAAGAAAAGAAGAGGCCAATAAAAGGAACACCCATATGAAATTGAAAGATAAAAACGAAGAACGGAATCGTCATGAACCACCGTGGACTTTTTGGGTATGACGCCGGAGAGGCCCCCAAGATAGGAAAATTTGGACCTAAACGCGGTGTTTTTCGCTCTCTGTAAAGCAATTAGTAAAGTGGTCATGGGTGAAGTAAATCGGGACAGGGAAAAACACGAACCAAGTCGGGAGTAGAGCATGTACAGAGCCATCTGGTTGCACTCCTGGGTACCAGTGATTGTTACCAGACGCTCATTGCTGCTCTCTTGAGGCTCGTTGATCTTGATGACACTGCCACTTAAGTGACGAATCTCGTTGATCTTAGCGCCACCCTTGCCAATGATGGCACCGACCATGTCGTTAGGGATATAGATCTGCTGGGTAAGAGGCTGGCCGGGCATGGCACCACCAGCGGGGGCGGCAGGGGCAGGGGCTCCACGGCCGGGGGAGGCTGTGGTCCACCAGCAGCGTATGGAGCAGGCTGATGGGGGGCGCCACCAGAGTAGGGGGTGTGGGGAGCAGGAGCACCGTAAGGCATGGCTGGCTGGCCGACAGGGGCCGGGGCAGCTTGGCCGTGCAAATACGGGACGCCGTAAGAACCGGCTTGGGCGCGGTTAGGGTGCGGGTGGTGACGCTTGAATGTTTCAGGATGACCATACTGGCCACCAGCTGGCTGCGGGACGTAAGGGACGACCTGCATGCCACCGGGAACAGCACCGGCAGGACCACCACTACGAGTAGCATAGGCCGAGGCCGCCGGGCCACCGAATCGCTCCGTCAATTGCTCGCCGAGTGTAACAGCAACATAGTATGTCGCAATATGCACGGCATCGGCAACACCGAGAATGACAAGGGAGCGCTCAGTGGACAAGGGAAGGCAGGCATCAGAGGCGTTGAGGCGCGCGCCGGAAGCTTCCTGGATCTCACGAATACGGCTTCCACCCTTGCCGATGATGGAGCCAATGAGAATGTGCGGGATTAGCAAACGCAGAGGATACGTCTTAGACTGGGCAGTGGAAGGGGAGTCGAGGGGTTCGTTGTTCAGGGTGCGGATGATCAGACCAAATGCCTATAGGAGTGATTAGCGGGGGATATCCAGCACGCTAGTGGGAATCAATATAAAACTTACCTTAGCTACAGCATCCTGGGGGCCGCTGACGGTCAAAATGCGTTCGACGGCACCCCGCGAGTAGTCACTAACGGTGCACTTGGCACCGGAAAGACGACGGATTTGGGAAACATTCTCACCTCCCTTTCCAATCACAGTCGCGGCCTCCGGGCTGGAGATCACGGCGCGGATGTGGATCCAGTTCGTCTCGTCCTGAGGGGTATGCTGGTCGGACTGGGAGCCAGCGCGCTCCCCGTGGGAGGCAGTGGACTGGATCGGCTGGGTATCGGCATGCTTGCCGTTAGGGGCGTCGGGGACGACGGTATCACCCTGTATATCCTTGGTGTCTTCCACGGAGGGAATCTGGTTGCTCGACACGTCCGCTTCGGCATCGGGGTCGCTCTTCACTACTTTATCCAGGGCCGGGCGCTTGGCATCGGGCTGGTCGTTGGGGCCTGAGGGGGAGGAAGGATCCTCAAGAGGTCGCTTGGTCGACTGAAGGTTGGATGGAGAGGCCGACATTCTGTACTGCTGCCTGTTTTCACTTACGTGAAAGATCGGTGTCAAGAATGGGAAAGTCTGCTTTCTTTTTTGTTTATGATCGTCTATGTACACCAGGGGTTCCCAGGGAAAGGTGCTGGTGCTGGTGCTGGTGATTTGGCGATCGACGAAGGGGAAAGCTGGTGCTGTGCTGTGGAGAAAGAGATGGTCGGGGTGTGGGTGCGCCGAGAGGAGGGGGTGTAGAGCAAGTGGTAGAGTGGACGGGACCTCAAAGCAGCAGAATCTGAGCTTCACGAGGAGGATTTGGGGTCTGGGAAGACTTCGGTGGAAATGGGTTGGAGGGAGGTGTGGTGTGTGGTGTGGAGGGCCGTGGATGCGACGTTGGGAAAGGAGAGTGCCGGAGCTAGGGAATCAAGGGGAAAACGGGTGTGCAGCCTTGGAAGTAAAGACGAAGGGAAAGCACTTCCGAGAATCAACTTGCGCGAAAGGAAACAAGGATAGAATACTGGGGGAGAAGGGCAAAAAGGTCGGAGGTGAGGTCAATGGGAGATTGCAAGTTGTAGCAAGTGCGAAGAGGTGAGGTGTGATCCGCTGACCTAATCCGTCACGTGTGTCCATGTTGTTGGCCGCGGCCGCGTTTGTATTTGAAGTATACCATTCATTACTCCTCGATTATTCTTGATTCTCCCCCAAAAATAACGACCGAGCAGGCAATCATGGAGGACCCAGAATTGGTGTTGACAAACATCAAAAAATTTGTCCAGAACCGTCAGGCCGCGGAGAAGGAGGCCGCCCACGAGCCTCTTAGTGCAACGGCGCTGCATGCCTATGCGCGACGGTTAGATGGGACATTGCTGCAGCTGCAGGACCAGGTTCGCCGACAGGAGGAAGAGCTCAGAAGGGTATGTAGAGCCCCGAGACACTTGCCGACAATTATTTATCGGAAGCTCAAATAACATCCTATCATAGCTCCGTGAAGTTCACTCCCATGGTCTCTTGGACGGCGGAGACGACCGATGGGTACGCGTGCAACAAGCACGTCGGGCCAAGAGGGCGTACGAATCATTATTGAAGAGTGAAGATCAGCTGCCAGCGACTGACTCGGTCCTACCTCCCTTGTTGGCGCTCGAGCAGACAGGGAAACTCATTGAAGAGGGCAAGCTCTCCGTCTCAGTGACCGCAGAGAAATTGTCAGCAGACCGTGACCGTCTGCGTATAGAAGATGCCAACTTGCAAGACTCGCAAGCTATTGCTCGCGGACTCTGGGAGAGAATTCAGAGAATTCGCAGTACCAACGAGCGAAAGCGAGAGCAAACGCCCGCGCAGATGGCCCAAGAAGTGGTCACCGAGCACAAAAAGAAAAACAAACAAATGACTCGCGCGTCTGCCGAACTCAAGGAGTCTCTTGACAAGTTCGTCGACGATACCCTGGCTCCAATGTTGGCTGCCGAGGACCTTGGCGGACCAACAGTAGGTGATGAATTGGAAGTGTCAGATGCGACCTTGAAAGCTGGCTACACAGCGCATGGGAAGCCTAAGAAACAGAAGGAACCGGAGCAGCCGGATCTAGGCAGCCAACAGCGCATTGATCAGTTTCTTCGTCCGAGCACTGATGGTTCCAACCCCACCGGCAAACGTCAAGCGGCCGCCACCGAGCTACACAAATTGCTAGATGCTCTTTTGGAAGCTGATTTCTCCTACATTGATTTAAACCGTGACTCGGCAGCATCCCGATTTCTTGTGCGGGCTAAAGTCGCTCAGTTCCATCCACGAGATGCGAGACGCCTGCGGCTGATCGATTTCAGTCGATCCTTAGGAGGATGAGGGAAAGAGAGGATTTATTATGGTTGCCCTCGGGGCAGAGACAGAGATGGCATTATGTCTACTAATATCCTAATCAAGAATGATGTATGAAAGCAATGAAACCATCACCCACGCACGCCTTAATTTATGCGCAGTAAAGACAACGTAACCCTTGGGTAATTTGTAAAACGCCGATAAATGCTTCACGCGTCGATTCATGATCAATTCGCAAAAAAAAAAAAAAAAAAAAAAAACATTAGATGGGCATCATTCCAATCGTGGATTTGGAGGTTTTCGCTTTGCTGATCTTGCGAGGCGCAGATGCTGACCGGCTGGCTGGTCGGTCACCACCAGATCTGGCCTTTGATCTAGCACCTTTGGCTTTGAAATTGCCCGCGGAGCCACCGTTTTTGCGACGCGCGGGTCGCTTGTAGTTGGAACGCTTGCCCTTGGAGTTGGAAGGGCCTACCCCTTAAGTCGTCGCCGGGGTCGAAGCCGGGCGATGGCGGTGGAGGGAAATAGCGGCTTGTGACATCTTGGGTATCGTCTTGAACGGGATAATCAAGATCGAAATTAGATGCTTGATCCACGAACAAATCGTCATCACTATACTCGTCACTGCTGCTGAGATTGATGACATTATGGTGATTGGGGTCTGGGACAACTCCGCTGGTTTCCGCATCCTGTGTCAATTCATGGTATCGTCGCCTAGCATTGTCTACCAGCTTCAAAATCTGGCGTCCATATCGAGTGACCTTGTCGCGGTCAATACCTGGTATGGCAGAGAGTTGCTGGATATCTGCAGAAATTCCTTAGTATTGTTCTAATTCGCAAGTCCATTCTCTCCTTACCTTTCGGGAATGAGATAGCCATCTCGCGTAATTGCTGGTCTGAGAATGGTTGAGAACGAAGGCCTTTCTCAACAACAATCTGACCAAGAGTTAGCCTGTGATGTCTCTGCAACTAGAGCAAAGATGCAGAGCACTTACCTCCTGAAGATATCTCTTTGCCGTGACCTCAAAATCTTCCACTACCGCTCTGTGCAGATGATCAAGTCGATCCAGTCTTTGATCAGTTGTAATCGGAGGTCCCATTTCACGGGAACTACGATTCCCGGTTCCACCAGCTACCCGAACTGGTTCAAACCCATCGCTATCATTGTCAGAGTCATTCACGGCAACGCTTCGTTTCTGGGTACGCGCTTGGCGGCGATCATTGGCAGATTGGACAGGAGACGAGACCATGGTGGACTGAGGATGAGATCGGTTGCCAGATTTCCCTTTTTTGGTCGTCTTCGAAGGTCGAGCCTTGCCATTCGGAGATGCACGCACTTGCAACATCAATTTCCGCTGCCCAGTCTCATATTCAGTGGCTCGTCGGCCAAGTATGATGTACTGGACCGCGAAGTCCTTTCCGTTGATCACATTGTCTTCTGCGAGAGCATCTTCACCCAATAAACGGTAGAATAGCCGCTCGGCCTCACCTCGATCAAGGTCTGAGCCATTGCCATACCAGGCAAGTTGCTTGTGGGAGGCAGATTTGGCCCGCTTCAGGTCTCCGCGAAGGATATCCACACAATAGAGCACAGTGACCTTTTCTTTCAAGTTCTTTTGAAAGTGCCGGACAATTTTGATAACCCAGCCCGCATGCTCTGAGAAATCATGCGACTCAAACACCGAATCAGACTTGCAATTATCGCAAGCGCTGCCGCAGTCTTCTCGGCGGAAGTATTCATTGAAGTAGGCAAGTACCTGAACACGTCTACAGTCGCTGCGGTTCTCGCAGAACTGAACCACATTGCGGAGCATATGCTTTTGTCGGGCCTTTTGTTCATAACTGCCGTCGCCGGAATCGATCATTCGTTTGAGGGTTGCCGCGTCCTTGTAGCCGTAGTAAAGATAGCAACCAGAACGCTTGCCATCTCTACCAGCACGGCCTGTTTCTTGGTAATAGCCTTCCAAGCTCTTGGGAATGCTGTGATGGATAACAAATCGTACATCGGGTTTGTCAATTCCCATCCCAAATGCAATCGTGGCAACAATAACTTGGCATTCACCTTTCTGCCACTCTTGCTGCACATTGGCTTTTTCATCTGATTTCATGCCTGCATGATAATGTTCGGCCGCAAGGCCATGCTTTTCGCGAAGTTCTTCTGCGACTTTCTCGCATGTTTTGCGCGACAGACAATAAACAATACCACATTGATTGCGGTAGGATTTGGTGATTATTTCTGCGATACCGGCGAGGACTTCATCGTTTTTGCCCTTTGGAAGCACTTCATACGTAAGGTTCGGACGATTGAAGCTTTGCAAAAACGTCTCGCATCCGGTCATCTTCAAATTATGGATCACATCCACTTTCACATTCTCTGTAGCGGTAGCAGTCAAAGCCATAACTGGGACGCCGGGAAGCTTGTTCCGAACCTCACCCAATTCCTTGTAATCCGGTCGAAAGTCGTGTCCCCACTGGCTCACGCAGTGTGCCTCGTCAATTACCAACCGTGCGAGTTTATTCCGACGGTGAAGTTTCTCAAGAGCCCGCACAAGCGTCTGGTTCTTGTTGATCATCTCTGGGGTGATATACAACAGCTCCAGGCCCTCTCCCCCGGCGTTTGACAATTGACCAAGAATCCAGGATCGCTCGGACCTGTCAGACTCACCGTTCATCAAGTAGGCACTGATGTTCAGCTTCCGCAGGTGGTCCACTTGATCTTGCATCAGACTTAACAACGGCGAAACCACAAGCGTCACGCCATGGGTCTTTCCACCCATCACAATAGAAGGTAGTTGGTAGCAGAGTGATTTGCCTCCACCTGTGGGCATCAGGATGAATGTGTCTTTTCCAGCAAGAGTCGTATCGATTGCTTCGAGCTGATTGGGACGGAACCCACGGAGATGGAATCGATCCTTGAGAACCGTTTTCACTTCTTGAGACCAAGGATTATTAGACCAGAAAGTGCTACGGCCTGGTGATTTCTTCGGGGCCGGCATGCGAGATGTGTTGCCTGATGTTTCTGCAAATACTTTCCGGTTCGGGGCTTCTGATTCACGAGCAGAGATCGCACGGTTGTCGAAACTTCCCGCCACCTCGAGCATCTCATCATCGCTGGCGTTCCAATCAAAGTCGTCAAAGTCCATTGTGTGCGGCGGGGAGCCCATATTGCGAGCAACAAATCTGTCTTGTTTATCGTGAGGTCTGTCGGGAAAATAGTCTCTCGTCTCTCGGTCGTTTGTAAAGGGAGATTTCTCCCTCGGGGGTGGCTCACTCGAATACGCCGAGCGGGATGCAACAGGCGGGGAATCAATCGAAAGAACTGAATCGTCAAACATATCTTCAGGAGGGGATTCGTGGCTTACTCCTGCATGAGGAATAGCCATTGGAGCTTCGATATCGGACAATCCAGATGCCGGTGCAATATCGAAGACCCTGGAGCTGGGGAGAAGCTCGCGGATATTGGCCTCGATTTTCTCCAGCTCGGCTTCTACAGCTCGACTTTGGGCTAGTTCGGGCATTGTTGTCGGGTCGATGCCCTGGGAGATCACGCGCATGAGGCTCTTCTTGAGATCGTCCTTGCGGGAAAGGCACTTTTTGTAAGAGTCTTGGCTGGTTTTCAAAGTCTCAATGGACTGCATCTGATTAACCAGGTTTTTGTTTGCGGCAATCAATTCCGGTGCCGTTCGACCTTCCATTGCCTGCTCATAAACTATTTCCGCATTCTTCTGAAGCGTTGCTTTCAAGCTCGATATAGCCTGGGTCAGTGATGTCGAGGGAAGAGCAAGGAATTTCAAAATTTCCGGATCTCTTTGTTGCGAACTGGGCGCTTTTGGTGTGGGTGATTGATCCGGATTCTGGGACTTGGGCAACGATGATTTCTTCTCGGCCCGCGTTGGCGGTGGCAGGGCATTGCTGGGAGAAGGCCGTGAAGCTGTACTGTGGTATTCCGACTTCTGGCTTTCCTGGGAGCTCATTTTGGGAAGTGTTGGGTATAATGCCGGCTCCGGGTCGAAAATCATGTCATCAACATCTTCGGCACCAAGCCAACTATCGAATTGGTCATCGTCTTCCTCGTCAGAATCGGCGATGACTCGCTTGGGCTGTTTCGAACTACTCGAGAGGGTGGTTCGGCTTGACACTGCGGGCAATTCTGCCACGGTGTTACCAGCGATAGGTGATCTGTTTGCCTTGGAAGGTGTTCGAATCTTTGTCGAGTGCTTAGACGGGGATAGCAGATCTGATGTGTATTCCTCGCTCTTTCTTTTCTTCCCTCGCTTCTCGTGGGGAGCATCTTGTGGCGCAGCCCCATCGGTCCATAAACGACGCGGTTCGCCAAGGTCTGCTGTCGCCGAAGAAGGCAGGAAACGATTGATCTCTCCTGTCAGATCAATGGACTCGATTGCATCGAATGGCGATGTCGCGAGCTTGTGTTCTGACTTGAGTGGGGTGGCCTTTGGTCGAGAATTCTTGGAAGAGGATGCTGGCTGTAGCTCTAGGTGGGGGTTTCCTGCAATCGCAACACATCATCATTAACTAAACTCCAAAATCTTCATTGTAGCACCGCGGCAAACGTACCTGCAGCCAGATTGCGCGTCGAGGACGGCTTTTGTGAGGTCGAGGACGTCGCATTGTGCTTTTTGTCGACCTGGCTAAGCATGCGAGGCTTGCTTTCAGAGGAAGGACACAGCATTAATCGTGCCATGGTTTCATCTGAAACATCGTCGGCGTCTTCCAAGATCTCGTCCAATTTCTCGAATTCTTCCGGTGGTGTCGGTTGTTGCGAAAAGCGGGCAGTAGGTTGTTCAACCACAGGGGACTCGGCAGTTAGCGATGGGTACAAAGAGGGGCCTTGCTTCAGCAGCCATTTCAAATGAGAGGCCAAGTTATTCTTCGTCATGGGGTGATATTGGAATCATGGCCTTTTCGCCTAAGGTTGTAGTTTAGTCGTTATCGGACTTCATCGCGTTGTCGCGGTCCACTCGAACGCGTCGGGCACGTGAGCGGTCAGCAACTAATTTGTAGTTGGCCCGCATTGAAATGGATGCAAATAAATAGAAATTAGGAGACTTGAATAATGTTAATTGATTTTGAGAGAATTCAAAATCATAAACTATCGTATGAGCATGGATTCCCAGTTTTTAAAAAGATTTTTTTCTTCCATAATAAAGGCCCTAGATGCTACTTAAGTGGCCCCCATAGCAAACCGCGGGGGCCATATCTATCCAAGTGGGGAAAGCCCTTTTTTTTATGCCCCGCGGCCCAAACCGTTGAACTCCAAGAGAAGAAAAAAATCCTGTGCAGAAACACAATTCCACCATGGGTAAGAAAACAAAGAAGTCCGCGGAGCAGAAAGAACGGATTGCGGCCAAGCAGTCCAAAAAATCTGCCAAGACTGAGAAAAAGTCCAAGGCCAAGAACAAGGATGCGGACAGCGACGTCGAGGATGCCGACCTGGATTCTATCCTTGCTCAGTATGCCGAGGAGCAAGCGAGATTCCTAAAGGTTACCGAGATCGTATCAGAGCCTCCGGCACCACGATCCTCTGCCACAGTGCTCGCTTCGCCTTCGAACCGCAATGAATTGTTGCTCTTTGGTGGCGAGTACTACGACGGGACTCTTGCGACATTCTTCAACAATCTCTACGTCTACCTGATTGATCGTGGGGAGTGGAGAGAAGTCACCAGTCCTAACAGCCCCCTGCCTCGAAGTGGCCATGCTTGGTGCCGTGGAGGTAACACGGGCGGAGTTTACTTGTTCGGAGGTACGCTCAGAACTTTCTTATGATAACCATTGTATCTGATCTGTGGCTTGTGTCTAACCGCAAATAGGTGAATTCTCGTCGCCCAAGCAGGGAACATTCTATCACTACAATGATTTCTGGCACTTGGATACTGCTACCAGGGAGTGGACTCGTCTCGAGACCAAGGGCAAGGGCCCTCCTGCTCGAAGCGGTCACCGCATGACCTACTACAAGGTATGTGGCTCTTTTCAAATCAATGACGGTGATCCATATATCAATACAGTAGCTGACATGTTATCTAGAACTATATCCTTCTTTTTGGAGGTTTCCAAGACACCTCTCAGCAGACAAAGTATCTGCAAGATCTGTGGATCTATGACTGCAACCAATTTACCTGGTACAACCCTATCCTGAATGCCGCAGCTCAAAAGCCAGACCCGCGATCCTCATTCTCTTTCTTGCCCCATGACACGGGAGCGGTCATCTATGGTGGTTACTCGCGAGTCAAGGTGAGCAGCGGTGGTGGAGGCGGCAAACAATCCAAGGGCGGTCCCCAAAAGATGGCTTTACGGCCCATGGTCCATCAAGATACTTGGTTCTTGAGGCTCACCCCTCCTGTTCCCGAGGCACCATCCTCTGCTGCCCCTACAATTCGATGGGAACGAAGGAAGAAGCCAGCGAATACTCCCAACCCCGCACGCGCTGGAACAACAATGGCCTATCACAAGGGCCGTGGAATCATGTTTGGTGGTGTCCACGATGTTGAGTTGACCGAAGAAGGAATTGACAGTGAATTCTTCGATACCTTGTTCGCTTGGACCACAGACCGAAACCGGTTCTTCCCACTCGGCCTGCGTCGTGCTCGTGCCCCAGGCAAGAAGCAGGCGAACCAGGCTATCAAGTCTCGTAACAGAGGCAAGGCGGACGAGGAAGAATTACTGAACAACCTCAAGGCCTTAGAAACCAAGCAAGGCCTTCGTGATGAAGATGATGATGAGTTCATGAGACCCAGCGCTCCCGAGGCCGAGGAACCTGAGGAGCCTAAGAAGCCCGCAGTAGTCCGCTTTGAGATGCCACACCGAAGATTCAATGCCCAACTTGCTGTGCAAGATGATACCCTCTTCATCTACGGCGGTACATTCGAAAAGGGTGATCGCGAGTTTACATTCGACGATATGTACTCTATTGATTTGGGCAAGATGGACGGCGTCAAGGAAATCTTCTACAGAGAGCCCGAGAACTGGAATCTCCTGGACGAGGAGGACAGCGATGAGGACATGGATGATGACGACGAAGATGATGAAGATGACGATATGGATGAGGAGGAGGGCGATTCTATGGCTATCGATACCCCTCCGGCCGAAGCGACCGTGCCATCGGTTACGCAAGAGATGGAACAACTCGAGGTTGAGGAGCAAGAGCCAACTGTCGAGGACAGCCGACCACTCCCTCGCCCCTTCGAGAGCTTGCGAGAATTCTTCAGCCGGACCGCGGATGATTGGCAGCAGATTGGAATTGAAGCACTCACTATGAAGGGCCTAGTTGAAGGTAAGACCATCAAAGAGTTGCGCAAGGCGGCCTTCGAAATGGCAGAGGAGAAATGGTGGGATAGTCGTGAAGAGATCATGGCCCTGGAGGATGAGCAAGAAGAGGCCGGTATTGGCGAGGTGGTCAGTATGGCCGAGCGGGCTGAGAATGCGGGAGGTGCCGGTCGTCGCCGGTGATCTCAACGGAAAACAAATTATTTTGGTATCGTATTAGTTTGGATTAGCCTGAGTGGCTTAAAAATTTACTTCTCTGGGCAGAATCATTACAGGCAGGATATAGCTATGCGTGCATTGCTCCAATCAAAGTAATTAAAAGAAATTATAGTTGTGCTACTTGGTTTAGAACCTCAGTCACCAACGCAGTATCCCGCTCGACATTGACCCTCCAGTTGGAAATGGCGATTCTACACGCCGGGGCACCGTTCCAGCTAGTTCCAGAGACAAACATGCGCGAGGTATCATTAATATTCTTGGCGAGTTCACGGTTGAGGTTGTCGTCCTTAGCCCGGAAGAGCACGCTCATAAAAGTCTGATCCAAAAGTTCTGGCTTCGAAGTCGACTCTGGAAGAGCAATGTACGCCGGTGAATCATAAATCCAATTATAGACAGCCCTTGCGAGGCGAATTTGACGCTGTAGCATATCAGAATATCCTTCCCTGCCATATGATAGCAGAGATGCGTACACCGGCAAGGCTCTGAACCGCCGAGAATTTTCCAGTCCGATGTTCAAAGGAGAAGGAATAGAAGGTCCCTCAGAAGGTCCTGCAGACAGATATGCAGCATTGGCATTCTGGAAAACTTGGGGGGCAAGGTCGTGGTGTCGACAGAAGAAAAAGCCGCAGTCGTAGGGCACATTGAGCAGCTTGTGGCCATCGCCAGTGATTGAATCGGCCATTTCTATTCCTTCGGCTCCTTTCTTGATAGTTGCAAACTCAGTATTGTCCTCCAGGGCGCGACAAAAGATGCCGAAGGCCCCATCAACGTGGATCCATGCATCATATTTGTCGCAGAGTCGACGGATCTCTTTCATTTGCTCCGCTCCAGAGGTAGCAAACCGACCAGTATTAACTTCTCCACAAGAAATCGCAACTATGGTAGCTTTGTCCTTTCTTGCAAGCTCCTTTTCCAGAACATCCATATCGAATAAGAGGACATTATCAGCAGAGCACACGTTACGGACATTGGCTCGGCCGATTCCCAAAACACCAGCAGCCTTGACAAGAGAGGAATGCGGCATCGTCGAGAGAACTTGGATGCCCGAGAGCCCAGCAGCTTGCAAAACTTCCAACAAGCCATTTTCTCCAACGCTGGTTACCTGTGACCCATTTCGCCGGGCTGCTTTTTGAAGGACAAACTCACGACCACAGGCCAAGCCCAAGATGTTGCTGGCTGTAGCTCCGGTTGTAAATGTTCCATTCTGCCATGTGGGACGTTCCAGTCGGAAGAGGTCTGCAAGCATTCCAAGAGCGTTGAACTCAACATCTGTGACAATTGAATGGTTTGGGAGATGTACCTGGACATTCTGGTCGTAGGCTGATACCACATTGTCAGCGAACAATGCAGCTGGTGTAGCTCCACCAGTGATGAAACCATAGTAGTTGGCACTGATGCTTCCTCCGTTAAATGCTGGCACAAGTTCTTCCATTATATGTCTCTGCACAGAGTCCAAGCTAGAGCCAGTCGCAGGTAGCGTACTGGGAATGGACTTTCTAGCTCGACTAAGCTGCTCGGTACTCGGAAGGACGCCAGTTTCCCAGGGGCCTTGGGCGGCCTTCCACAATTTTTGCATTATCTTCTCGTCCATTTTGAGTGTTTCAAGGTTCGAGCCCTGGAAGTTCTCCGTGTACTGGTGGTACTAGTAGTAGTTTGAGACAACAGCTGTCCAGGATGGAGGGCAAGTGTCTGTCGGAGTGTTCAAGTTATTATACCAATAGGTACCTACCTAGGTACCCAGGTACTCACTAGTAGTATATATATTACCTGGTCGGGGGCCGATCTTGACGGAATCTCTGAATGACTGAGCCTTGGGGGTCGGGATCTGCTCGATATAATGCTCCGGTTGGACCTCCCCAAACCAGCAATAGCGTATAATAAACAAGGCTTGATGTATTAGGCCCACCAGATAGGATAGTCCCGAAGTGATGATTGGTGGTAGGCTGTGTCAGGAACGAGACTGAGGGGATGTTGGAGGTTGCAGCGATGGGCCGGTGCTTCTCCGCAGTCGATCCACTCTGCACTTTCCACTCCGAACACTCGGACTCTCGGACTCTCGGACAACCCACAACTCGCAATCATGGCAGCCAAGCTGATCGAAAGACAGTTCCACAACGTGCCCGGTAGGTCGATCGGTTTTATCCGGGGGAAGATAAGGCTTGCTGATCGTATTTACAGGAAAGCTGCGTATCGCGGAGCTGTTCTTCGACGTCCCTGTCGATTACAGCAAGCCAAATGGGACCACTCTGAGGCTGTTTGCCCGAAGCGTAGCTCGCTTTAACAAACCAGTTGAACCCACCAAGGATGAGGGCAAACTACCCTGGCTAGTCTATCTTCAAGGTGGCCCCGGTTTTGGATGTGGTGCCCCGCAGAACTACGGTTGGGTTGAACCCGCTCTGAGCAAGGGATACCAAGTAAGCTGATTGGCCACGTGGAGAGCCTTGGGAGCTTTCTACATCAAGAATTAGCTATTGAGAGAGCTATTGGCTGACAAAATATATTCAAAAAAGGTTCTTTTCCTTGACCAGAGAGGTACTGGCCTTAGCTCGACTATTACAGCCGGAACCCTTGCCCGCCAGGGTGATGCCATCAAGCAGGCCGAGTATCTCAAGCACTTCCGAGCCGACAACATCGTTCGTGACTGCGAAGCAATCCGTCAGTGTTTGACCGATGACTATCCTGAGGACCAGCGCAAATGGAGCATCATCGGCCAAAGCTTCGGTGGTTTCTGTGCTGCCACTTACTTGTCGAAATTGTGAGTACCAACAAAGAAATTTTGGGGGGCAAATGGGTTGAATGTCTTTACTGATGCTATTTGAATAAAGCCCGGAGAGTCTGAGAGAAGCTTTCCTAACCGGAGGATTGCCGCCTCTTGTGAGCGAACCGGACCCAGTCTACTCTCGTACTTACGGTGAGTGATTATACTATCTTCCAGCAAGCGCCTATAAAGTTACTGACAACGTAGTAGAAAAGGTTGCGGAGCGAAACCAAGCCTATTACGCCAAATTTCCCGAAGATGTTCAGAAAGTCAAGAAGATCATGCAGTACTTAGCGACAAACCAGGTTCCGTTGCCAAGCGGATGGTTGACTCCAGCTCGATTCCAACAGCTTGGTATTATGTTCGGTTTTCACGGTAAGAATTCCAACCCATCTACCTACATATGCGCGATTCTCTAATATGGAATAGGGGGGCCTCGACTCTTTGCATGGTACATTCTCCTCTCGTGATAATATCTTTGGAAATGACTACCGCTCACCATATTCTAGAAATTGTCCTTCGAGCCTGGAATGACTTGGAGATCTTCGAATCTCTCACCGTTCCTACTCTCGCCCTAATTGACGGCAACGGCGGGATGGACAAGAACATCATTTATGCCGTTTTGCACGAGGCAATCTACTGCCAAGGGTGGGTGAAAGTACCCCTCAACTTTTGTTCGCTGTTCTAACAATGGGATACAGAAAACCGTCACGCTGGGCGGCAGACAGACGCCGCGCAGCAAGCCCTCAGTTCCAGATTTCTGACTCGCAACCCGAGATCTATTTCACCGGAGAGATGGTAAGCCTGTCTTTTCCCTCGCGCGTTGAGCCAACCAGCCAACAGAACTGACCTTATCAATTTATAGGTTTTCAAGGATATGTTTGAATCATACACGGAGCTGAAGCAGGTGCAAGAAGTTGCAGAAATCCTCGCTACCACAAGCGATTGGCCTTCCCTGTATAATGAGGCACAGCTAGCCAAGAACGAGGTGCCCGTCTACGCCGCGACATACATCGATGACATGTACGTGCACTTTGATCTGGCTTGCAATACTGCCGCCAAGATCAAGGGAACTAAACAGTTTATTACCAACACCATGTACCATGATGCACTGCGCAGCAAGTCGGGTGAGGTCATGCGCCAGCTTTTCAACCTTCGGGATGATTCCATCGACTAGACATACATTCTGGGCCATATTTGTCGAAATTTGCAAGTTAGTCTAGAACATAGATATTGAGCAATTTGAATTCCAACCTTGGAAATCGTGAATGCACTGAATAGTTTCTATTGAAATTTTGTTGTTGGGTATAATATAGGCATAAGTACATCTATATACGTAATATTTGGATTTATCACCCTCCAGGGTTCTGAGATCCTCGATTGCAGTCAAAAAACCTAGACGATGGTTACTAAAATCCAAATCAAAGACGACTTGTTGCGGGGCTGGAAACTTACTGCACCACCGATGATAAATAGCCTTTCCTCTTCTTGTTTCACCCACAGAGCAACTTTGCTAGCACTTTGGACCAGCGCATTTCGATTCGCACTCGGTTCAGCAATACAATAAAGCTCGAACACGGGAGTCACCCATGCAAATGAGGTTGCAGACCGAGAGACACAGTGATGAACTTTGACATGTGTGTTCTTGGCATGGATACTGGCATGAAGATTGTTGTATGCAGACATCAATCTGGGGGTAGAGATATGTTAGGATACTAGATATTTAACTGCTTCTGGAAGTTGGTTGTTGCAAGATACTAACCTTCGTCGTCGTGATACCGAAGTAAACTCGGGAGCATATGACGACATGGTGAACTGGACGTTGGCACGCGATTTGTATAAGAAATGGCGAAGCACTGTACCGGGAACGATATCAGTAGTCACTGGTCGCCCTTGGTCCACTGCAGCTTTGATTACCTGGAGACTTCCGTTCTTTTGTAATTGCTTTTGGGGAAGTTAATATATAGTCATGATAGGGTCTAAACAGTGGTGAGAAACCTACCTCAACGAGGGAATCACGCATGCTTTGCATTTCAAAAAAGCTCTCTTTGTCAGGGCTGATGAGGACGATAGCAACCGATTCATCTTTCGAGATATTTTCATTCTCCTCGACATCACTACGAAGATCGAGGAAGCTGACATACATATATAGGTAGCCACTGCTGTTGAAGCCAGGAAGACAGACGGGAATCCAGCTCTCGCCACCACCAGCTTGGACTCCATCAGCCTCGAAGATCATGTTAAATAAAAGTTGCAGGTCACCGGGGTGAAGAGAATGCTTCTTTGGCCGAATGACGCTGACAAGACGCCCACCAGCCACAACCAGGCCGTAAAGTAAGTTATTGGCCTTTGTCTTGAGAAGGGCATTGTTGATGGCTTGGCGGTGGACTTTGCGAACCTTGAGACATTCCAATGCTGATAGCAATGTGGAAGGTGATCCACGCGTGAAACTATCTGCCAGCGAAGAGAGAAGTGTCTCAGTTCCCTGCAAGGGCCGTTTCAAATCCGTGGAGGGGCGAACCGAGAATAAATGAGTGAGAGACGGGAGTGTCAAGGTAGAAAGAATTTGCATATACAAAGCCTCTAGCTGGAGTCTCAGCTGGTTATCGCTTTCCATCATGCGGCTGATGGCAACAATTTGCAGAGACCCACGAGTCAGTACAACAAATCTAGTGTCCCCGGTCGAGAAACCTCGCAGGCGATCATTCGAGTCTTCATAGAACGATATAATGGTCTGGATGACACCAACATAAGTTGATATCAACCCACTGTCGCCATGCCGTGTCCAAATAGGTTTGCCGGCAGCCGATAGAATCAAATAGTGTTTCTGTTTTGCTTTCCATCGTTGGAGGAGGAGATCTGCATGTGTAAGTGTCGCGTTAGCCTAATGAGCCTGAGCAACCGATGAAGAAAGAAATGGTAGAGCTACCTTCATTTCCCGCAAGCTCATCTAGTTCCCCTACGGCATTAAATTCGTCGAGGAATTCCTCGTCATTGACATTGTCTGCCGGGAATTCAGGAAAATGCAATAGACTCGTTGTGTCTGCCGGGCCTGTCGGGACAGTCACGACAAAGTCCGAAAACATGGCATCCACATCTCCAAGATCGCCATTTTGTATGGAACTCCGAATACTCGCGGAATCTCCCGCGTCACTGCCCTTGGGGCTCGTAAGCTGGCTCAAGCTCGCTCGCGCCTTGAGACCCCGCGACAGCCCTCGAACAGCGAGACTTGAATACACCTTTCCTGCATTTGGTGTCTGAGGTCCTGCATCTTCTCGCGAAACGGCTGTTGTAGCCTCCGCTTGGAGAGTTGGTGCTCGGGGTGATGCCTCGTCATTCAACAGGCTCAGTGTATTCGGTCGTGGGGGTAATGGCGGTCGCTGTCCTTCTGGACTAGGAGTGCGGTTGGTGCAGTTGGGGTAAGATGAAGTGGAGTCTGGAATTATGGTCGATGCACCAGGATTAGGCTCGTCGCGATCCTCATGGTGGTCGGTTGGAGGGTCAGTTTGCGAAGGCATCCCCGCAGTAGACGAGCGCTTCTGGGCGCAGTCGCTCGGCGCGGGAGATGAGATCATAAATCCCTCATTCTTGGGATGAGCAGTCAGGGGATGTGCTGTTAAGTAGGAGATATAATATAGAAAGGTATTTTCTCCTGGGTGTCGATTGTAGTAAGTAGTTGTAGTTGTAGTTGTCAATTGGCTGATTGTATCTGCGGAGGAAGCGGCGAAGCTCCCAAAGGCGGACAAAACAATCGAAAGGGCCACGCAGGCGGCCACTTTCGATCCTCCTCAACCCACTTTGGCTCTTCCACCAGCTCCCTTCTCGATGTCCTAAATATGACGGAGGATAGTCTGCCGCTTTCGCATCCATTTCAACTTCCACATTGGCACCATGAGCCTTGATCCTGCTGCATTTCCGAGGTCGGACTCCCCCGCAAGCTCCGAGAGCTCCTTGACGCGCTCGCGCCTACAGGGAAAGGAAGGTTGGTCACAAATGCGCATGCTTTACTCTTCGGTTGAGCACTTGTCTAACCGATCCAATGAATTAAACACAGGATCTCTGAAGAAAGATAAGAACTACCGCCGTTATGCGTCGAGCGTCGAGCGGGCGTTATCACTCTTCGACAACGCTTTACAAGAATGGGCCGATTACATCTCCTTCCTCAGTCGCCTATTAAAGGTGCGACAAGACTCATGCAAATTAAAGCGACTGGGAAAGGAAATCGCTAACCGTTAAAAGGCGCTTCAAACACATCCCCCCGACCAACCGATCGTCCCCCATAAAGTGATTGTCTCGAAACGGCTTGCGCAATGCTTGAATCCGTCCTTACCATCGGGTGTTCACCAAAAAGCCCTCGAGGTCTACACATATATCTTTGGGTTGATTAAAGTATGTTTTGTCTAGTCTGCTGCATGGCCTCGGATACAATGACTGATTGGATGGGCCATACGTCTAGCTCGAAGGACTGTCGCATGATCTGCCCTTATATCTTCCCGGTCTTGCACCGACTCTGACCTTCGCCTCGCTCACCGTCCGTCCCTTATTCCTTTCTTTGGTAGAGGGATACATTGTCGACCTAGAACCGAGGGCTATTAGACCGGCTCTGAAAGCAATCCTTCTGGCTTTGCTGCCAGGTCTTGAAGAAGAGACCAGTGATGATTTCGAGCCGACTTTGCGTACAATCAATAAGCTTCGAGATGCTGCTGGTGATCTGGAGACCCAAAGAACATCCGAGGCTGGCGCTTCAGGGCAGTACTTCTGGCAATGTCTCTTCCTCGCCTCCATCACCAATTCTAGCCGACGGCTTGGCGCCCTTGCATACCTGAATCGCTATCTCCCAAAGTTAGGAATTGCAGATCGACGACCGAGTGCAAGCGATGCAAATGATGCGAAAGAAATACCACCAGAGATGCTGGCTGCTGCTGATGCAGTCATTCTACCGGAGCCGGGTTTGTTGATCAGATGCTTTGCATCAGGCCTATCGGATGAACAACTCCTGGTGCAACGGAATTTTCTCGACCTTCTCGTTACGCACCTACCTCTGAATTCTCCCATTCTCCAAACTAAAGTTCCAGAAGCAGACCTACAAACGTTGATTATTGCGGCAGTGGGCGTGGTTACCCGGCGAGATATGAGCCTGAATCGTCGACTGTGGGCGTGGTTTTTGGGACCGGAGCCTGCGAATGACCGGGCTTCCCTCGACGGCCGCAAGTTCTCATCTGAAACCACACGCTCATCTTCTGGGGATGTAAGGGAGCTCTCGCAGTCTCAGTACTTCAGTCACGTCGGATTGCAGCCTTTGGTGAATGGTCTTCTCAAGATGATCAAGCACACCCCATCAGCCCCATCAGAGAGGACCAAGCCATTCCGTATTGCGCTCTCATTAATGGATCGCTGGGAGATCGGGGGGGCACATTGTACCTGCAGTGTTTCTCCCTACAATCCACAGCGTCCAGGGGTTTGCAAAAGAGGCACCCCGTGCCCACTTCGAGGAAGTTTTCCGAAGCGCAAGCGCATTCTTCGATGGTGTAGAAAGCAGCGTTATATTTTCAGAGCTTCTTGGCTTGATTGACTTCCGCCCAAGTGACATCGATGGCCATCATGACCAAGTCTTGCACAACTTGAAGCTGGCTCAATTTATACTGGAGAACTTCAATGTGCGGGAGGAAGATATGATTCAGGTCCATGTGCCTCTCCTTACATTGTCAGTTCTCGTAAAGATGAGTGAAGTTTCATCATTGCACAAGTCGCAGGCAGCACACAGTGACAACAAAAGGACCGTCTCAACCGAATTGAACAGCGTGCTAAAGTCAATAACTCCACTGCTCATAGAGCGAGCCTTCTCGAGGAAATCTAGCCAAGACAAATCTGGCACGGACTCCAAAGCCAAGAACAGTGAAATACTAAAGCAAATTCATCGCTTCTATCAGGCGAGCAAGAGCAGCCTTGACCTTCCCCCTCTTCCATTTGCTCCGAAGCAGGTCGGGGAAATGATCATTCGGGAAGCTCTGGATTTGTCCATTGAAGCCTTACAAATCAACGATAGCGTTTCCTCTCTCCATGAGAAACTCAATGTGCTGGTTACGTTGCTCCAGAAGCTCCCGAGATCACGCCTTCTCCGAGACAAGAGACTTTTCGAGGCGATTTCTGGAAGGTTAGCTACGAGAAGTAATAACCCTACGACAGCTGCCTTTGCGGATATCTCTACAATTGCTTCTGTTATGACAAACTTGTTTTTTATCCATACCCCTGGTTTCTACGTCAGTTACGAGGATGCCAGCGATCTCATTCCCAGCCTAGTCGAACATATTTGGCAGTATCTGTCTCCACTGAGCCCGAAGTTCCATGTGGAAGCCGTGCGCTGTCTGTGGCTGTTACATTCCATATCTTGGGTTGAGCATCTTGTTGAAGCTTCCATAACATCGCTCATGATCAGCACCAAGACTCCCGGCTCCTACCACCTATCATCAGAAGATCAGGCAGAGAAGTTTTATGTCCTCTGGAATCACAGCAATCATGGTACTCATGAGCAACAGCCACCTAAGCAGGTCCTCAATGTCGGAGGAAGCCTATTCTCATATCAGTGCTCCATGCTCGAACGTCCACTCTTCATTGTTCTTGATCTCCTGTCACAGGAACCCGGGGATATTTCTCTAGGTGTTCAGCAATGGCTTCAAGATCTGCCCTCCATTAACAAGTAAGAATGACTGCAAGTTGCTCGAAATTCTCAAGCTAACCTCTCCAGGATATTTCATGTTATCGTTCTAAAGATTGAGGAGCTGTTCGAACGTGATACCCCCAGTGAAGCTGACCAAGATAACCAATCCATCTCACCGGATGATTATAAAGAATGCAACTACCTGTTGCGCACGGTATCGAACATCATTTCAACACTTTCTCACAGTGGCTGGATCGCACTTCTTACGCAAACATTATCCGAGATAGAGAAACGCCAGGATGTTTCCAAGTCAGAAGAAGGTAGATCTCTAACTAGGCCCCAACAAGGAGCACCAAGCTTATTACTTCTCGAAATAGATCACGCAAACTCAAAGAGCCTCCACGCTACTTTCTTCGAGGCATCATTAAAGATTATCAGTGATCAAGCGCTTAACAACGTTCAGATCACCCCCGATGGGGAAAGGCTTCAAAAGGATGCCCTCCACCTCATGCGACAACTTCTTTTAGGCCCAGGCGCTGAAGATCTGGTGGAATCCGGCATCGACGACTTGCTGGTGGACCGTCTTATCACCGCATCGGATGGGATGGGCAGTGTTGCCGTCCAGGGAGCTCTCATTGACGCCCTTCTCGCAGCACTCAAGGTTCGGTTCGCTCAAGCTTATGCGCCTCCGCCTCCGCCTCGACCAAAGCACCAAAGAGCAGGCTCGCGTGAACGATTGACCAGTCCGTCCATGCTGTCTTTTACAAGTGATAAGGCAGATAGAGCGCCATCAATTTCGCACTTCCCACGCCCTCCCGAGAGACTCTTGGACTGTCTTCTGAAAGGAATCAGTTCAGCGAAGTCGCGAGAAATTGTAGACAAGTGGATTGGACTACTATGTGAAGTGCTTCCTCTTTACACGGGATCCATTTTTCAAATACTTCTCATCCTCGTGGAGTGCTTCTGCAGGGAAATCAAAGCTTCATTTGGGAGACTTCAGCTTGCTTTCCAGCAAACAGAAGATTGGCCGCAGGATCGCTCGGAGCATGTTACCATATCTATGCTTACCGGTCTAGAGACTTGCATTGCCCATGCTCACGAGCGTCTTCTCGTAGAAGAGGCGAACGTTCCCGCGGCGAAGAGCCCGGACCAGCCTCAGGGCTTCTTTGGGAATATGGTGTCAGGGGTATTTAACTCCGATGGCAACCAAGGTCGCTCGAATGCTGCTAATGATCGATTGACGGTCCTTCTTTGCTTCCAAGACGCAGCTCGACTTTGTTTCTCTATCTGGGCGTGGGGCGCTGGGGATCGAAACGGCTCACCCCCCGATTCAGAATCCATGGCATCCTTCCAATACACATCTTTGCGTATGCGAAACCGATCACGACGGATACTCGAGCACTTCTTTACAGCGGAGGCCCTAGAATGTCTTGAGACATTGGTTGAGATGTGGACTAAATCTGACACGGAGACTGCGACATTGATCTTCAGCCTTTTACACACCCTTGAAGGCTCTCGCCCGAAGATCACGATCCCGGCAGTTTTCAACGCCATTTACACTCGTACCAACCCGAATGCTTTGGACCCGGCCCGCAAGTCATCCATGACCTCAAACCTTACCGAGTCTGAACTTGCCAGCTTTTTGGTTGCCTACGCGCGGTCTCTGGACGATGATGTTCTGGACGAAATCTGGGCGGACTGTACTACATTCTTACGTGATGTTCTCAGTAACCCTTTCCCTCATCGCCAGATTCTTCCCCGACTGATCGAATTCGCCGCGATCCTGGGGGCAAAGTTGGAGAACACAACTTTTGGTGAAGATCGCCGGATGCGCAAAGAGCTCGGTGTACGTTAATTCTAGTTGATCTCTCACTTATTTATCTTGCTGACTTATATGCCTATAGGATGTACTGCTACGGTTGCTCACGGCTGTTTTCACCAGCAAGCCACTGGGACTTAACCAAGACAGTGGCTACATGGCGAGATCGTCCCTCGACTATGACCGCACCGCAGTATCTCATACCGGGCCCGATGACATGTTGAGCATCCTTGCCGTTTCCATGCCCTCCTTCATCACTACTTTAGGTGATTCAGACCGTATCAATACCGCGATCAGCGGCATGTCTACCAATGTTGTTGGACCATTGATTCGCTCCCGCCTATTCCCCAATAACCTGAACCGCAATGTCATGGTCCTTCTACAGCAGATGGCCAAAGTCCCGGCAGCAGCGAAAATTTGGAAGAAAGACATCTCCGATGCATTCAATGACCCACGTTTCTTCGGATTGCAAGTGGATCTTATCAAGAGCACTTGGATGGACCTCCTCCGGCAATGGACTCTTGCTGATAAGGATCGTTTCGCTGAGCTGCTGGGTCGCCTCCCACCACCAAGCGCAGCAGGCATCATGTTCGGCGTGGGGGCGTCTGCAGCGCGATTGGAGGCCGATCGTAAAGCACAGCTCAATCTCCGTCGCATTGCATTACTCATCTTGTCTGCCAACACCGACTATTTTGTGGGTGAGCTCCCAAGTTTGCTCCAGAAATTCGAAGATCTCCTGGCGGCCACTAGCTCCTCGTCGCCATCATCAGCGACGCGAGCAGAAATATTCATGGTCCTTCGTGCCCTGACAATCAAGACGTCGCCCTCAACCATGGCGCCCTTCTGGCCGTTGATCAACGCCGAGCTGCAAGAAGCTATCTCTGCTGTGCCCCGAGGCTCTCAATCAGATCTTTACAGCCCTTACTCACTATTACAGGCCTGCAAGTTATTGGACGTGCTTTTGGTCATTGCCCCCGACGATTTCCAACTACTGGAATGGCTTTTCGTCACCGATACCATCGATGCTGTCTACCCGCCCGATCGGTGGGAGCCTGTCTCCTTAGCCGACGAGATATCGCAAAGCTTCGGTCCGCGTGGGGTGCTATCCCCGGCTCTTCCTGGCGAGGTAGCAGAGCCTGTGACTCGCAGCGGCCTGAAGCGGCCCTGGCTCGTTTCAGATCGAATTCGGGAGACAGCCAAGGATGAGATTGTCGAGAGAGTTCTGCGACCGTTCTTTGACAGACTCAGCATTTATGTCTTTGAGAGTACGTACGGGATGGAAGCTGTGGATACAAGAGTCTGTCTAGATGATTTATTGGCGGATTTATTCAATGAGAGCACTATGGCGAACTAAGATCGCTGAGGATGGTGGTTGTTTATAGGTTGGCGGCTAGCGGTTCCTTCCCATGATGGTTTTCTTTTTGCCCTTGCAAATTCCTATCGATGCAACTCTGTAGTTCTACACCGAATATATACCTATTTCTTTTGTTGTCATTCTAGTGTGTTGGTTTTCCAGTAAATATCATGTGTATCGGTGCAGAAGTGACCAAAACGGCAATATCCGGGGTACTACTGGGGTATACACTCAACCGCTTCCGCGGGCGCCCGTGACCTCCGCGTCAACGTCACCTCCCTTTTGTTCACCACAGCCACCCGCCACCGCTTCTTTCCCCATCGTACGATCAATCAATACTTTCAAGGTTGTCCTGGAATGCTCTCCTGAGAAATCCAGACTTAACCATCACGATGAACGCTGGGTCAAAAGCGTTCCTGCCCCTACGCGCACGCGTCATCGCCCGACCGTTCTCGACCTCCCGTCCCCGCTGGGAGGCCGCGGCGCTGCCCGCCAAGAAGCCCGTTGGAGCTTTTCGAGGAGGGTGTGTATCACAATCCTTCCGGCAGATATCTGTCGCTTCTAAGCTCAAATTCTAACCTTTTGTACAGAGTCTTCGGCTTTCTCGGCGGTGCCGTTGCCGCTGGCGCGTCTGTCTATTACTATGTGCTCGGAGAATATCGCCTGTCTAATGAGATGCTGAACCAAGATATTAATGTACGTTACCGCCCTTTCATAATAAGCCCTTGCCTTCGCGTTTATGGTAGCTAACCGCGACCCTTTCTTCCCTGGCTTGGCCTGGGGAGATGGTGCTTGCTTCTTTCATAGGCTCTTCAGTCTGCCACGATGAAGCTCCAATCCTACATCTCCGAGCTGGAGACCAAGGTCGATCAATTGAAGAAGAAATAGGAGACACAGACAAATCGGGTGAAATTCCCATTGTACTTATTACTGCATGGTTACTCAAGTTGAACCTGTGAATTGTATTCCCTTTTCGAGTTGGATCCCCCGCTTTCTCTCCAACTTGCGCGACGCTGTAGGCTGATATGATCAAAACAACCTTGAAACACATGATAACACGGGGAAAAAATCGAGAAATTCAGAATAATAATTCAATGATAGCATGAACAGCTTGTGACAAAAGAAATATCTTCCAACTCTTTGCTTATGTATGATGGAGGAACACTAGCAATTGGCTATTAGTAATCCGTTTGTATCTATTGGGTTTGTTTCCATGCGTCGAGTTCTCGAAGTACAAGCAGCATTCTTAACCAAGTTTAGCCTTACCTAGGTGTAGATTTCAGGGGAGCACCTATCAATGCGAAAAGATTTGGGCGTTGTCAACGTAACAGTAGGCTCTTCAGCCCCGGTATCTCTGGAAGTTGGATACAATTTTGTCGGCAGATCCCGAAGCCCATATGTAACCCATTTATCAAGCACACGCCAATCCAATGCCTGATAGAAGGCACTTGAATGAAACTTCTTCGCCGCTTCTGCGCGGGATGGCCAATGGACCCGCCTATAGGTAGATGGCAAATCATACTTTTTCGACTGGGGTTGTCCCGTTGGATGACAGGATCCAAAAAAACCAAGCCTTGAAAGAGGGACGGGTGTATAAAAGCAAGGTGAGCCCTTGACGCTTTTAGAATCCAAATCATTGTACACAGGTTTAATAACTTACAGCTGCATTCCATCCATGCTGTGGCCAACTCCAAACATAGGCTGAGTAATGTGGTCCTGAAGCTGATTTATCAAGAAGAGCAAGTCTCGGCCATGATCAAACCAGCTGGCTTAATAGTGCTAATATCAGATAACAATATCTACCAAGCTTGATCATACAAAAGACTTACGATCGTCTCCCAGGATCTCTTCATTCAGGACAGCACTTTGGCCTTGTTGAACAACATCTGCAATCCATATTGATCGAATGCGTCGATTTTGACCAAGAAGTCGCTGATGGATATCATCCCAAAGAGGCTCGTATAGTTCCTAAATCACTTAGCCACAACATTCAAGTTCAAGTTCTTGAGTAACGTAGACGTAGTAGTATACAACCTTTGGAAAGCCATTTGCTTGAGCGCCAATAATTGTACTATCCCCATCTCCTGCAAAGGGGTTCCCATGCGGAACATATTGCTTGACAGCAAGCCGAAGCTCTCGTTCATGACTTGCTTTCACGGCTCCAGGGCGTTCTCGAATATTTTGAGCGCGAATTTCGTGCGAGATAACGCGAAAGTGTGGCATATTTCTGGTGCGTGTTGGTTCAAATTTTGATCTGATGGTTTGTGAGATTCGAATTCGCTGCCATATCCACCGCATGGTAAGCTACTTAGTAGGTACTAGTACTAATAGGGGAAAGAATTCTTTAAACTCGGAAATAGTATATCACGGTACAACTTGAATACTTGTGCCGAGGTCAAATAGCAGCAGCAGAGTTATTTTCAAGGCAATCTCCAATTCCTCTCCGATTGCAACTAAAGCGCGGTGTAGGGCGCAGGGTGTACAATCGGGGCTTAGCAGAAGCTACCAAGCGAATTGAGATTCTCCGAATTGGAGACACTCGGGAAATGTGGGGAAATTGCTCCGCGGAATCACTCAAAGTGGCATCGGCCAGAAGGCCAAGCAGAATTATGGTGCATCTCACCACGTATATTCAAGTTGTTTGGTCCGTTGCCTCGAGGAAGTTAGGTTTTCTTGGATCCTCAGAAGTATTTTCTATTAAAAAATGCATCATCAGTACTTGAATTGGTGGCAAAAATATTGACCTGACATGCTCACTCTCAGTGTCTAAGCAGCTCGTAGGAGTTATTGTACAATGAAACAGCCTACCCTATTCATTAAAACTAAGCTTGGTTAAAACCGATATGAGCTTTTATCTCATCCCTGAAAATAAACCTTGCCAACAATCAAAGAAGAGAGGAGGTATCCCAATGAGGTAAATCTTGGCTTGTTTGACAAACCTGGGATCCAACAAGGCAGCTCTTTGGGATCATCTGGATTTGAGGCTGGAAGAATACCAAATCTCCACGGAGGCCATGAAAGCAAAAGGATACCAAAGCAAACGAGTGAGAAAACGAGGATTCTTCGTCATTATAACCTGGAATAAAGTAAACATCCTGGCTATCATATTCTCACTATTTTCCGAGGACTGGTTCCGCGTAGACTCAGCCGGACGTATAGGTGGCATGCAAAGAAGCAAACAAGGCTGGAACGTGTATCTTCTCTGCATGAGTCCAACACATTCAATCGGATTGGTGAGCCCGTAATGTGGACTGCGTGCTGTGATTGGGGGCATTCGGCTCCATTACGGGAGATTCACGGCTGCCTTACCTGTGACCAATAATTCGCTATTTCATTTAAACTCCCTCGTCCTGATTGGTCCAATGGGGTCAAGCCGAGGAAGCTAGTTTATGCTCAGTAAGTACCCGCAGGCCTGAGTGTTACCTTGAGGTACAATCGAGACGCATGCACGAACCGATCCCAGTTAGCGTCGCCAGCACCCCTGTTTTTCTTTCTATGTACAGTGTATATTGGAGCGATTGAACCCCCTGGTGGCGTGGTCAAATCCTTGCCCGGCCCGAGGGAGCAGTTCTACTTAGCCTTTAAAAGTGCTGTCAACTTGGTTGCTTTCTGGCTCATTCGCAAATTCCAACTCTTGTGGAGACCAATGGTATAAACCTTGATTCTCTGAAACACCTCCCCGCAAGCAGCATGGCGACCGCACTGAATCACCCTTTTTACCCTCTTGATCTCAACCCTATTGGCTATGTTTCCAATACGATGAGCATCACTGCCCTGCTCGGAACATTCACTGTTGCCGTTGCTGGTGTTATCGTATTCACCTCGGCTGTTTTAAAGGCCGCAAAGCCGAACTTATCACGGACGGACAAAATTCTGGTTGGATGGTTTGTCTTTAGTGAGACATATTGGTTCCATTGTTGCCTCATTGGGCAGAGCTGATTACTTATTTCTTAGGTGGTTGCATACACTTCATTCTGGAAGGGTACTTTGTATACAACCACAAAACCATGCCACGTAGACTAGATCTTCTAGGTCAGATGTGGAAGGAGTATGCGAAGGCTGACTCTCGATACATGACCATGGAGCCTTTTGTACTTTGCATGGAGACTATTACAGCTGTAAGTTTGTGTCATTTCATCCAATTAGTGTTTAACAGCACTAAAACATTTTGTAGTTTGCGTGGGGGCCCCTATGCTATATGGTCGCATGCATGATAATTTCGGAGTCTCCGCACCGACACTCAACACAAATGATTGTCTCCTTGGGCCAACTATACGGCGATATTTTGTATTATGCAACAAGCATAATGGAGGAAATCTACCATGGAAGGTCTTATGCCCGCCCGGAGACTTTCTATTATTGGGGGTACTTCATCTTCCTCAATGCCTTCTGGATTGTTATTCCAGCCTGTAAGGATTCCAGTACCGGTTCAAGGCACATAGCTTCTATTTCGTGTGCTAACTTCTCTTCTCTAGTCTGCATTTACCAAAGTTACTCAAAGATGACGGGGGCGTTTCGACAAGCCTCCAGTACCTCTGTCAAAAAGAATGTGTGAACAACCGGGCGTATCCTTTCGTAGGGTACTAGAAGACACAGCAATTTCGGGGATTTAGACCAGTTCGGGCGGTATAAATCGGACAATGGAGTTAAATTGGGGCTGAAATTAGGAATCAGAGTGACATAAGAATGGAAATCGGGATTAGAGCAAGGCGACTTTGATCAGTGTTGTAGTATAACTTGAAGCAAGAGTCCAGCTATCAAAAATAAGATACACATTGTCATTAAGTAAGGATTGAAGAAAGCAGTTGCTCTTTGCTTCTTCAGGTCCGGGTCAGATGTTAATCATAAGCTGAGTGCTACGACTACTTTAACTGCGGTGACTCGCAGATTGCATGGGTATTTAGGGCTTCAAACTAGAAAATCCAGATATGCCTTATGGAGGAGGCCCTTCTATGTACCCGGGGAACTTTGCTAATTGTGAAACTATTTTGACTTCAGTGATGATGGTGACCATCTTCAACTGTGACGTTCAGTGCTTGAAAATGGATATGAGAGGATTTGGATTCGGCACATTGAATGCGGTTGGCAAAGTTCCGGTGCGAATGAGACGTTGAAACACACAAGACATCTGATATGAATCGAATTGCCTCGATAACTGAAATGAATTTTCTACACGGAGAATAGAGAGGAAGGTAACAAAAAGTAGAAAAAAAGAAAAGAAAGTTGGTCGCTGGCTGACGGACTTAGGAAGCACGTGCCAAGACCGCCCCTGCGGTTCCGCTCACTTCGAAAGTGTAGACCTTCTACCGACCTTCAAATCCACCCTCAAATCGATACAAGACACCATGTTTCGAGTCGAGCTCCTCCCTTCAAATTCCCACGCCCAACCAGGCTGGTCCTACATCGCCGACAGAGGTTTAGGTCCATCCAAAGCCGCCACAGCCCCAACCCTCGGCCGCAAACGCGGTATTCGCGACGCCGGCAAAGGCGGCGACATCTCCTCACGACGCGCCAATGCGATCGCACGACACATCGCCGAACTGGACCGCGAGAACCAACGCGATGTGACAATCCCCGTCCCCGTCAAACAAGCCAAGGAAGCCGGAGCGCGCAAGACCCGCGAGAAGACGACCTCCAACGTGCGCCGTATCCTGATGTCACAAAAGACGTTCAAAAACCATTTCGATGACGAGGAAGCGGCCATCGCTGCCGGCGGGGGTGGTCTGAGTGCGGTGCAGATTGGTGGAGGAGGAGCCAATATGAACGCTGCGGCGGTGGCTGCTGCTGTGAAGGCGGGTAAAGATGCGGTTGCGGCGACTGTTGCGCGACGGAGCTCTACTCCTGCAACGACCCCTTCCACTCCCGCTGCTCGTCGGAAGAGACCTTCGGCTGCGGTTACTGCGGTATCAACGCCGACGCCTGCCCCCTCACAACCGGACACGACCGATGCGGAGACCGAGAACGATGCGGAAGAACCCAAGCCGAAGCTGTTGAAGACCGAATATGACAATGACCCGCTTCTTAAATCCTACGCCCCGAATATGCCGTCAGATCGCATCATGCAGCTTCTTCTTGCTGAACCGGCACTTTCTTACAATGCGTCGCGTGTTGCGCCGCCGCATGACTCGCAGCCGCCGCGGAACTTCTGCTGCATGTGTGGGTATTGGGGCAAGATTCGGTGCAAAAATTGCCATGTGCGAACTTGCGGACTTGATTGCTATCGTCTTCATGAAGATTCGAGATGTGGTGCCTTCTTTTAGAGGAGCTTTTTTTCAACCTGTATACTATTCAAGGGGACTATTTGATCACCCTGTAGACTTTAATGATTGTATGAATATCACGGAAACTGTACACTAGCACAATTTGAACAACCGAAATTACTAGAATGCTTTCATATATTTGATTTGATCTCATGTTATACACTGGAAGAAGAAGAGAAAACGAAAGAAATAGACAGAGGCAAGGCCAGCTCAACACTTCAGGTTGATACCCATGCGCAGTTCATCCTCCCGAATCTCAAACATGACCTGTACACCAACAAAAAGCACAGCACAGCAGGAAAACATATACGCAACGCCGGCATATGATCCAGTCAAACCTGCAAGCAAATCCTTTAGACCGTCCAAGCCAAGGGCGAACCCGACAAGATTAGCAATCATCATCATGAGAATGTTGGCAACAGACCCCACGCCACTCAGAACACGGTACGCTGTCGGACGAGAACGCCAGCGCTTAGCGGGGAACATCATGCCAGCGAGGGCTTCGGGCAGAACGAAGAGCGTCACGAGCCAGCCCCACATCAAAAGACGAAGGTTGATATCGTGCCAAAGAGCGACAAAGGTGAAGACCAACAAGAAGTTGCGGATCTGCAGACCCTTGGACATGAGGCCTGAAGAGGGTGGTGACGAGGAAGGCTTCGCTCCGGCAGGGCGATGACCACCGCCGCCACCACCGAGAGGGATATAGATGTATCGCACAATCCAACGGTTGAAGGAGCGATGCCAGCCGCGCCAGAAGGCAAAGGCAGAGTAGTTGTTAGACATGCAGCGGACCATGTTCTCCGGAGGGTCGATTCCGTCAACGAGAGCCCAGAGGCGGAAGAATCGCCAGGGGATGAGTAGCTTCAGCCAGATGATGTGGAGGTTGAAGAAGGCCAGCATACTGAGTTGGCCCGGAGTGAAGATCGACCAGTTTGGCGAGGCTTTTGAAATAGCCACTGCGTAGATGTAGTGTAGTATGAGCTCCATGCAGAGGAAAGTGAGGAAGAAACGGACGCCGTAAAGGATGGTGCGGGTGCGGGTCAGTGAAGGCGCAGTATATCGCTGTTGGGACGCGTAGTCGTTGAAGGTCAAGATGGGGCCAGCCAAGTATAATGGCGAATAAAGAACATAGGCGACATAGTTGCGCGGGGTGAAAGCTGTTGGCTCCGCTGGAATCTTGACACGATCTCTGTCAGAGAGAGTTGCGGGGTCGAGTTGTTTCTTCTTGTGGAACTCGGTCAGTTGACGATCGACAAATGTCTAGATAGAGCAGAATAGGTTATCACATACTTCGATAGGGCTTGCAGAGGGGTATTCAACGCTCCAGTAATAGTCCATGTTGAAACTGATCAAGCGCAGCACGGTCACCTTGAACAGAACCTCCCACCTAGGCATTATACCCCCCCCATATCATCCAATGACCGAGCCCATTGTATCAGTAGGGTACTTTTCTCTACTGGCGTTCCAGATCCGGGCGAGAAGAACATGGCAATGGGCTCCAGTTGATATCCGCCGAGTAATTCATTCGCGAACAAGATGCCGATATTGAAAGTCCATGTCGCAGCGGGAACATAAGCTCGAGGAAGACTTTTCCCAATTCGGTAGTTGATAAATAGGATCAAAAACACTTTCAAAGCTGAGATCCCATGAAGTGCCACGATGAAGATCATTCCAAATGCAAAATCAAAGCGCATGCGCTGATCGAGTTGCACTTCGCCGGCGGCGGCCACCGGGGACTTTGTTCCAATATTGGGTCGGCTCGCAAAGGACTGATAGACTCTGCGGGCTAAAGGGTGCGCGATGAGGAGGAGGAAGAGGTAGGGGATGTTGTCACGGACGCTTGCATACTGAGCATCGGAGTTGTCCTAATGTGGTTGAAATAGCTTGGGTCAGCGTGTGTTCTATGCGCCGAGGAGAGCATTCGCAACATAGCGATGTGGTTGGAAAAACTAACGACTAAACGACCTGGAATCCAGCCTGGCGATAGTAGGTCGGAGTATGCAGTGTAGGCAGGATTGCTTTCTATGATTTTGCGGATCCACGGTCAGCGATGTGGCCAGAGCCCCGGCCCTTGCGAGGGGACAACTCACCCTTCGAGGCATCAATCACAGTCTTGAACATCAACGGGACGAGTGTAATAAAGAAAAGGTAGTAGATGAAGAACTCAGGTGTGTGCCAGAGTGATGCACGGGCATTCTGGGCGATGGAGCTGGCGCGGGCATCTTTTGCGGCGGGTCGCGTGTCGGAGTTGGAATTGGAGTTGACATTGGCATTTGTAGGGGTGATGGCAGTGGCCGTGAAACGAGTGTCAAGGGTATCGAGCGAGTAAAGCCGCCGGAGCCATGTGAAGAGGGAAGCCATTTCAGGGCAGTGGCATGGCGCAGGCGGGTAAACTTGAAGGGGGGGAGATCTGTTTACTCGGGAGATCTGGGGGGGTTCTCAAGACAGGGGGGGGCCGAGGTGCCCGCACCAGGCGATCCCCAATCAGCGCTGCCCGATTATCTCTTAAGACCACAAGCTATTTTAAGATTTCTTCGGGGCTCAGAGCTCTATAATAATGCTTTACCCCATACAGCATTGTTATAATTTTTGGGGCACTGCTAGGTGGACACCCCATTTGGCTATCTGGACACCCTATCTGTCTATTTAGAAAAGGTGCTGTATGTGTATTACCACGAATTACAGTAGGAGGCCATAATTCTATTTTCTCACCCTTGAGTACCTAGGTAGGTAACTGAGTAGATACCTAGGTATCTACCAGTGCTAACTATCTCAGTACCTAATAGTAGAGGTACCTATGTACCTAATCGGGTAGATTCTACTAGCCATATCTACCGCACCACACCTTGTGGCTAAAACCCTTGGAAATGTGTATAAACTACCACTATATTTTAATTAGGACTGACCATGGTAATACACATACAGCACCTTTTCTAAATGTACAGGATAGGGTGTTCAGATAGCCAAATGGGGTGTCCACTTAGTAGTGCCCAATTCTTGAGGCAGTTATATCACTACTACTTTGTGTGTGTAGAATGCTTCTTGGTCGAATGGAGCTTTCTCTAAATATTAAATACATCATGCTCATGAGAAAATCACACTCTATTTTATGCATTCAGCAATTCGGGACAAAAATCATAAAATCAATTGTTTGTTAAGAAGCGTCTAGGTAAGTCGATTCTGGGTTGGGGTAGATTAGATCAGCAGTGCCGCCAATTCAATCGCGCGGACCATTATGAGTTGTCTTCCACGACACCCTGTCAACATACCAAACGGAAGCTCACATCATGTCTACCAAGCGGGTATGTGTATCTATGTTTTCAGTTGTAATTTTACATTCGAAGAATAATCTACAACCCCCCGGGATTTCTAACTTCCAGCTAACCCTTTACCTCAGATTGCGTTTCGAGTCCACGGCACTGTACAAGGTAAGGATACATCAATCTACCCTTCCAAATACAACTCGGATCCCCACGATGTACTATTTACCCGTACATTATCAGCCATAGCTAACAAGTAACCAGGCGTTGGCTACCGGTATGATCATTTCAACTGTTCACCTCTTACTTGAACTATGACATCATATTTGATAGCTCAAACACTGACCTGGTATCAAACAGCGACTTCACTCAAAAATGTGCCACAAGCCATGGCTTGAAGGGCTGGTGCCGCAACACCACGTGTGGTCGTGTAAGTTTTGTTTATCATCATATATAACCTAGCCGATGTTCAGACTAACCAATTCCTATTTTCAGGTTGAGGGCGAAATTCAAGGCGAAGAGGAGACGATCAAAAAACTGCTTCAACAGCTTGATAAAGGCCCGCGAATGGCTCACGTTGTGAAGATGGAGAAAAAGGAGCTGAAGCCCAAGGAGGGTGAGGACCATTTCTCCGTTATGCGAACTATGGAATCCAGATATGCTTCTGAGGATTGATCCATATCCAGGGATGTCTTTCAAGTTAATTTTGTGTTTGTTTGGCGTTTTCAATGTTCCTCGGGTAGGAGTATTTCCATATCTCTCGATATTCGCGCAAAGTTAGTCGTTACTATTCTGTGTTCTTGTCTCTGTTCAATCTCTTGGGTTCGGCTTGAAGCTTCAACTGAAAGTCTTTTAAATATAGGGGTGATCATCCAGCCGGATCCGGATTCTAATTGCAAAGGTTACTAGTACTACTGTACCAGTACTAGTCAAATAGTAGATCTTCTGTTCAATTTTTTCTCACGTCATCGTTGTTTTAGCTAAAATAAGAAACCACTCTAGGGGAACCTTAATACCACCGGCGAGCGCCGGAGAGGAGAATCTGTACCTGGCTCGTGACTGAAAACAAGGCCATAATCTGCCACCGGTGAGATCAGCAACAAATCCCGAAAGCTGGCGGCGTCTGAAGCCGATATTTTCTCGGGAGGCCGTGACTCAAATGTGCTCGCTCGGAGGTCGTAGTTGCTGGCAGAAAAAAAGTACCCGATTCTTCCCGAGGTCACCTGCTTTGTCAGATTCAATTTTACCGTAATCGGATAACGCGTGCCGGCTAGGGACTGCAGCTGCAGACAAGTTGAGAGATAATGGGAAGACTTTTTGATTCGCTTTTTGTTCGAGTTAATTCAAGACAGAGAATATCTGCTGTCGGGTCCGATGGCCATGCTGCATGTATCGGAGCCGCAGGCGGGGACATGGAGTGGGGCATGCGGCTAAACTCGAAGTATGTGGTACAGATGTACAAAGTATACAAGTACTGTATAAAGGATACCGTAAAAGTGTAAAGGAGGCACTATTTGGCCAATGAACCGCCGGAAATGTCATCATTCCAGCCCCAGGCACACCCGTGCTCCATCCCTGGGTCAATCAACTGCGTTCAAGTTGTTGGTAATCGGGATTCAACTCGTATCCCGGACTTGGCCTTTGAAAGAGATTTTTCTCTTCTTGTCTGGGTCGAGTCATATAAAAGGCCCGACTCTTTGACGCTGCCTAGAATCACTACTTCAATATTGTCTAGTACATACACAGACCAAAACATACTACATCCCTACCTACCACATCCAAGCACCTTCACATCTTCAAGTTGAATACTATACTCAACGACTTCAAGACAACTCATGAATTCACTACCAACCATCTCCTCGACGCCCCTCCGGGTGGCAGCGCGACCACAGTCGTACTTCTACTTGGCTGCACGAGCCTACTCAGGCGTCGCAGCCACCTCCCTCCCTAACTGCTATCGAGTCAACAAACGTCCCTCGCCAGTCATCTACACCCCAAAACGCCTCATCTCGTCGACCGAGCACAAGCAGATCAAAGAATATTTCCCACCACCACAAACCCCCGGCGTGAAAGAGGTGGAGTCAGCATGGGCACATCCTGTGTAAGCCACCCCGTCTCGTATTACTTACTCCCTTGATGCCGACCAAACTGATCCGAATTTTAGGTACAATGAATCGCAGATGCGCAGCATCCAGATTGCTCACCGAAACGCAACGAATTGGTCCGACTGGGCAGCCTTGGGCACCGTCCGTATATTCCGCTGGGGAATGGACTTTGTGACGGGATACAAACACCCCGAACCAGGCGAGACACTGCCTGCCAAGTTTGTCATGACAGAGAAGAAATGGCTGGCTCGATTCGTGTTTCTCGAGAGTGTTGCCGGTGTGCCCGGCATGGTGGGCGGCATGTTACGACACTTACACAGTCTCCGACGAATGAAGCGCGACAACGGCTGGATCGAAACCTTGTTGGAAGAGGCATTTAACGAGCGCATGCATCTATTGACCTTCCTCAAGCTTGCCGAGCCGGGATGGTTCATGCGTGTAATGGTTCTCGGAGCGCAGGGCGTCTTCTTCAACGGGTTCTTCCTGTCCTATCTCATTTCACCCCGGATTTGCCACCGTTTTGTGGGATATCTTGAGGAAGAGGCGGTTATCACATATACCCGGGCCATCCAGGAGCTTGAAGACGGCAAGCTTCCCGAATGGGAGACTCTCGAGGCACCCGAGATTGCTGTACAATACTGGAAGATGCCGGAGGGCAAGCGCACCATGAAGGACTTGCTCTTGTACGTCCGTGCTGACGAGGCCAAGCATCGTGAGGTCAACCATACTCTCGGCAACTTGATCCAATCGGCCGATCCCAATCCCTATCAGACCAAGTACCGGGATGCGACAAAGGAACACCCGAGTAAGGGGATGGAAAATTTGAAGGAAGTTGGATGGGAGAGAAAGGACATCTTTTAAGGACTGCCCCAGCAATGTAAAATGCAAAGATGAAAGCGATAATGAAATGGAAGCATCTCCACTCAACACGCGCGGACCAAAAAGGTTTGGGACGCGGTTGTGGACGCGGGGCACCGGCTAAACCCGCGCAATCCACTCATTCCTGCTTGACTGCTATCTTTTTTTATACTGGCAGTACTTTTAAGCATAAGGGAATGACAAAGGTGGATAACAATTCAAGCTATTATTATTATTATCATTACCTACAAAGTCTCAATAATTACCTAGGTACTTCAAAAACATCTGACACTCATTCCTAACATCCAGATTAACAATTAATCAAACTGTGTAGCGTTGACCCGCTTTCACCCCCCTTTTTAGTGCCACCACCCCTTTTGGCCTAAAGAAGTTTCTCGACCGGCGATCTTCCACTTCTCATTAAACCTCCGAATTGGCGTTGGCCGTGCGACCAGGCCGTTACTCTTTGCGATCCTTACTTGTCATTCCTCGAATCTCCATTCTGAAGCATTCCGCAACCCCCTCCAACTTCTCCCCGATCCTCGGCCCCGCCGTGTGTACCTCGAAAAAGTCACTTCAAGAACATTGACCTCTTTGTGTGGCCTGCTGGTGCAACAACAGTTTCAGATCATCCCGCCACATCATGGAAGAGCCGCAGTCTGTCGACGTTGAATCGGTCTCGCCTCCAGTCCGGGCTTCTTCGCCATCTCCCTCCGTTCCAGCTACACCGGCCATCTCCTCATACTCCTCGCCAGACCGCACCTTCTCCTCCGTCTCCTCCCATTCCGCCTCTTCCGCAACCTCGGCCGATGCTCGCTCGACCGTTTCAACATCATCCCGCCGTCATGGATACATTCGCGCGTTTGGAGCCGAGTTCTCCGAATCCGCTCGACACCGTGACAGTGTCATGAGTCTAGGCAGCATTGCCCACCTACAATACTACTTTGCTCGGACCGGTCTTTTAGATGGAAAGACGGGTCGAGGCAAAGAATCAAAGAAGAAGAATGCGGAGAACGTGCCTCGGGTGCTGATCACCCCCAATGAACGACACATGGACGACTTGACAGCCAGCCCGACAGAAATGGTCGAGTCTCCAGATTTCGACCCCAGCATGGAAGACGAAGACGGGGAGGTCATGCTCCCACCGACAGTCAGTACCTACAGCATTAAAACACACCACATTGCACCACCGCCAGATTTACACTCCCTGCGTCGGGACTTGCAAAGAGCACTGCACAAAGCCGATTCCAACATCGAAGCCATTGAGAACGGCGCCGAGCCCCAATCCAGAGATTCACTCCGATCCAGTCTTTCGCCAAGCGATATCCCCGAATCCCTGGACGACGAAGCCTCGAGCCAGATCCCAACCCCGCAAACAAAGGAGGAAGCGCAAGGAATGTGCATCCTGGACGACGTGACCAATGCAATCCGGGCGGCGAAGATTTACTACACAACCCACGAACACCCCGAACGCCTAGCGTCAATAAAAACGGAGCGGGAAATCCGCAAGGAACTCTTCCAGGTCCTCGATGTACTAAAACGCTGGGCCGCGCGGCACTTTGCCTGCGGACTCCGCGATGAGGAACGCGACGCTATCAAAGGCTGGATCGCGGGCGTCCGCACCATGTTGGTCCGGGAGAAGGCCCTGGAGGATCTCGAAGCGCAGGAGCGGGAGAATTGGGATTGGGCCCAGGGCGACTGGACCGGACGCGAGCGATCCCGCGAGGAATCTTTTCTCCGCAGCTTGATGCCTGGTGGTCACACTCTACCTGAGTGGACTCCGGTCATGGAAGAAGAGGACGGTATTGAGCCAGCGCCGACTGCATTCCTGGACCGGTTCCGCGACGGTCGGATCCTGGTTCAGTTGCACAACATCGCCGTCAAGAAATCCAAGCGGCCCTTTGGGGAAATTAAAGCTTTCCATCAGGATATCGCCAAGCCTTACCGGCAAGCGGAGAATCTGCGATACTGGGTCAAAGCTGCAGAATTGCGGTGGGAACTACGCTTGGTGGTGGATGTAATGGGCGTGGTCCAGAGCAGCACGGTTGTGGCCTGGGAACAATTCGATGCGGCGCTGTTGGCCTGGTGCAAGACCGTTCGCGAGGAGTTGGTGCGAGATTGGCAAGCGGCCAATCCCGGGCGACCCCCTAGTGCTGGTCTGATTTGAGAAGAACCGGCTCAATTTCTCCCTCTTTCTCTCCCTCCCTTCCTATCATATCTGCATCTCGGTTGTTTCGTATTTCATTCAGGTTTCCTTTTTTCTCCCCCTTTGTCTTTTCTTTTTCTTTTTTGTTCCTCTTGGGCAATTTGGCTAGATACCCCTGGACCGTCTCTCCGACTGTTCTTCCCATCTCCAGATCTGGTGTTGGGTTCATTTTCATTTTTTTGACTTTCACTTCTCTTCGCCGATTACCGGTCTTGTTCGGGACTGCGTTGCATATGTATTGTTTTCTACCACTCCATACCGTTTGTACCTTTGTACCGCATAGACGAGACTACGCCTAATTGATCTCAAATCACCATAGCATGGAGACGGTGCTCGAACCTGTGGAGAAATTAGAAGCTAGAAGCATCACGGAACAGCGTTGGGCCCGAGTCCGCCCTGGCGCTAGGGCACAACGGTGCTGATCTGCGCCCCTGAAATAGTGAAATGCCTCGGAAATTGGAATCTGGGCCGAACCCGTTGAGTATTTTTGGATGGTACAGCACATTAGTATTACTAGTACCACGTGCTGGACGATCCATCATTACTGCAGTACTGAGTACTTATGTAGTAGTACGGGGTATAACTGGCTTCATTTACTCCATACAATCCATTGCTGGTGGAAATTATATTACAGAACTAGTCATGCTTTAGATACCTAGGTATTGTGCATGCAGGGATCATACTATCAAAATACAGCTGAGTTGTTAAATAAACTACAAAGATGAAATCCAGTCTCAGAACGCCCACCTGGACACTGGCATAGGACTCCTATTCCGAGACGAGACATCTTGTGCTTTCATGAGGTTACAAAACAATGGTACGATGCATATTAGTGCTTAAGGCTTAAGGTGGCCTCGTGCTGAAAGCGATTCCCATTGTTGCTGAGAATATGAGAAGGACCTTTCAAATTTGAGACTATTCAATAGGAGTAGTATACATAGTATACTAGTAAGTAGTCAAGTTGTAGAACTGGTACTATCATCTTTCCGCTATTGCATCCCGATCTACTGTTTACTTATATGCCATATTACCAGGACTACTCTTTTAAATGTCAAATTGGGTTGAATTAAATAGCCATACATTGCATCTACTGCTATATCTTCCAAGTACTTTATAATACTCAGATCGCCGTGCCGATCGCAGCAATTCCATACCGAGGGGAAGCGGTACCTGGTTGCCCCATAGTAAATTGGTGGAGCCGAAGGTATCCTTTCCTGCAGAGTCACCGTACTCTGGCCACTTCATCCCTCGTTTCTTGTCTTAACTTCCTTACCGGTTGCTGCCCAAATCCTACATCTTTCATTCAGCTGGTCATGTAGCCTTTGTCCTTTCTCTTTCTCTCTCAAATTCCCTCTTCTCCCCCCAAAAAGAACCCAGAGCGAGCTCGCCTACTGTGGAAGGAGATTACGACCGACCCTTTTTACAACCTTTACTCCGTACCGAACGAGAATACGAAACATTCCTTGCCCATCCCTGCCTGAACCCGAACCGCTTTTACGACCCTCTCAACCATTTTCCAACTGCCCCCCCCGGGGCCTGTCCTCATGCATGCTACACTTGATGGTCCAACTTCCTCGGCGACTGACATCGCGCTGTCCCCCAGCACGTCCGCTCTGTCCGCATCTCCTCCCCCCGCGGTCTCCGGCTCCCCCAATGAACACGGACCCTCCCCTCTCCGCCGCCTAAAGTCCAAATCGTCTCTTTGGAGTATTGGCAGTAGCAATCAAGACGACGAATATTTGCCAGAGCCTACCAGCGCCGAAAAGAATTCAAAGCCGAGCATCTTTCGTCGCTTATCGCCCGCCCTCGCAGCTCGGGTGAAGCTGCTGGACGGCAGCTCCAAAAACAATAACAACAGCCGCAACCCCGGCGCGGTTGGTCGGATTCCGGAGGAGCATTTGAAGGAACTGGATGACTTGCACCAAGACCTGTCTATCAAAGTTGAAAGGAGAGGTCAAGCCTGGGCTGGCCAGGTGCCCACAACTCCGGACGAAACACCGACCCAAAAGCGCACCGCGTCGAACAGACTAGAGCTACCTAGTCTTGATCTCCTTCAGAAAGTCTCCGACGCGCGCGCGGAGGGCGCAGAATACACCGACGTCGTCGTCGACCTCCCAGAACCACCTGTTCCTCTCGCCGCCGCTACTCCTTCCCCTCAACCTCCGCCCCCGGCGACTGTTCCTGATCCACCGAACAGCCCACCACTGACATCCATGTCGGTCGCAGAGCCCACTCCCCTCCCCCTCCCCCTCAGCTGGGTGCTGGTCCGGAACCAGTAGCTCTTCCCGGAAATGATGGGCCACGGGATACACGTACCGACTTTGAGAAATATGTTGATGACACTAAACGCAACGAGGAGCAGTCCGCTCCTTCTCCGCCACCAAAAGACTCCCCTCGCGGCCACACCTATAGCCTCTCCTCTTCCTCCAATCCACAGTCATATTTCAATGCGATGAACTCACAGCGCCCCGAATCAATATACTCCTTCTCCCGTGCCTCCTTCAGCAACCAACTCTCCCAGCTTACCTCCATACCACTCCCTCAACCTGCGGCGCTCGAGACAAGTATAAAGAATATACAAACCGCGCTTCTGGCGGTCCGCACACTGAACGGCCACGCTGACCAAATCCAATTCTGGATCAGAAAAGCATTCGACGTGCTCAGTGGGCTGGATTCCGAGGATGATGTGGAGTGGGCGGCAGCGGGTGGTCGAGAGGGCCTTGAGGGAGTGGACAAGGCGATCACCCGATTTGAATCTTTGGTCAACGTATATGTGAGCGCGATTGAGAATGTGCAGCTCCGAGACGACGTCGCCACTGTCGACAACGAGAATTTGAAGACTATCGTCAGTCAGATGGAGAGCATTTTGCAAAACTGGTCGCAAATCAAGAACAAGCTTCGAGGTGTGAAACAACAAGTAGAGTTGGCCATGGAGTGGGAAGAACTTTGGTCCAACGTACTTGGCGATGTGGGTATGGAGATTGACAATCTGAGTGGGATGATTTTCGAGATGGAGGAGAAGAGACACGAGGCTCTAATGGGCAACGGTCCTGAAGCGACCGGTGGTGTTGACATCAACGAGCTTGAGACAATAGTCGAAGAATCCCCATCCAAAGGCCGATCGATCTCTCATAATCGAATGAGTCTCGGTGCTATTATGGCGAGCGCTTCTAATACGCCTATCATCAAGACCCCTCAGGACGACTCGACTGCCAATCTCATGGCCCTGTTTGCCCGCATGCAGCCCCTTCGTGCCTCTCTGGATTTCTTGCCAATGCGACTGTCTATGTTTCAATCTCGGGCCAACAAGATTTTCCCAAGCGCCTGCGATGAGCTGGATGACCGGCGAGAACGTCTAGAGAAAAGCTTCCAGGTTCTACAGACTGACTCCGAGGCGTTGCAAAAAGAACTTGGCGAGGACAAGTGGATCATGGTATTCCGCAATGCAGGAGGTCAGGCGCAGAAGATGTTTGAGTCCGTGGAGCGCAGTCTTTCTAAACTCCAAGAAGGGTTGGAAACAAACGCACCTGTCAACGATCCTGCGACGTTTGTCAAGCGAATGGATACCTACGAGACAAAGAAGATGCACTATCTACCTGCGATTGAGCGCGTGGTTACGATCATTCAAAAGGGTATCAATGACCGTCTAACACTCAATGGTGAGGTCCTGCGGCTGCTATCTGATATGAAATCGCGAACGGATGCTCTCAAGGCTAGTGTGAGGGTGATGGATGCGTCTCTGGAAGACGTTCAGATTGCCAGAGGTCCGCAGCTACGTGATTCCATATCCAGTATCGTCACCATGGATAGCCCAGCTGCGGGAAGTGCCATTGACACCCCTGGAAGCTCACCTGCGTCGTCTGTCGTTCTTGGGGGCAGTTCATATAAAACACCGCTGGGTGGATCAAGTCGCCGCGAAAGCTCCGTCGGTAGCGCCACGACACGCTCGACCATGTCCCACGTTCGAAGGTTTTCAGGTCTACCACAACCGCAAACCACTGGACGTAAATCTGCTATTCCCGTCCCTTCGGGCATGGGATCTCCGCCACCATCCAAGCACAGCTATGCAACTACCCCGACACCAGCAAGTCGCAGATTGTCTCGCACTCCACAACCACCGTCCACGATTCCCAACAGGCCGCGGTGGAATCCTAGTTTTAACACGCGGGATGTGGATACTGGTCACAACTTTAAACCCAATTCCATCGGCAATCGAAACTCGTCTGCTCCAATGCGCACGCCCCGGCCATCATCGACGATGGCGTACCGACGCGATATGTCTGCTTCTCCAGCTCCTGGCGCTGGACCTGGCGGTCGCTCGATGAGTCGTCTTTCCAGTCGCCTAGCTTCCTCATCCCGAAGTCCTTCACGGAATATTTCCTCTCCTACTCCCGCTAAATCTTCCCTTCTCGACCCGCCTCCCTACAGTCGACTTCGTCGAGCCTCCGGTGTCTCGAACACGTCCGGCATGTCGAACACGCCACGCAGTCGACAGAGTTTTGCCGGGGTGAGCTCCTTCAGTCGCAGCGTATCATCGGCTCAAGAACAAATGGCTAGTCCGACCAAGTCGACCCGTCCTGGTACTGCGTTAGGCCATTCCGGAAACAAGCGCATGAGCTTGCTACCCTTGCCGACGCCCAAGGAACGCACCGCTGCGCAAAAGAGGCTTGACGCACGACCGCCATGGCGAGCATGATGAGCTGAATTTCCTCGTTGCTGCTATTATTGTTTCGGCTGATCATCCTCCCACTCGACAGTATACATCATCACCGATCCTCCTTACTCCTCATTCTTCCTCATCCTCTATATCCTCTCTTACCTCTCCATATCCTGTATCAACCTGTTTTTGTGTCTTTTGTTTAGCATTATGCATTCCACCTGCGGCTTTAGCTTTGCTTGGTCATTCACGTCATTTCTAGGCTGGCCAGGGTGCGAAGCATGATTTCTTGAGGGTTAGGTTTTGCGTGATATCCCCATTATTTTGCATGGTAAGGTCTGAGCGTTGGGTCTTGAATTTTTTTTGGCTTTCCCGGGTCTTTTTGTACTTGTATTCGCGCTTGTTGCTTTCTTGGTCGCTTGTCTAAATTATGGTTCCTTTTTCCCTCTTACCCTCTTCTCCCTTCCCTTCCCTTCCCTTCCCTTCCCTTCCCTTCCATCCATGTGAATATCCACCTCTTGTAGTTTACCCCCCTTCTCTCCTCGGTAATGGAATCTAGATTTTTTATTCTTATTTTATACTTGCATGGCTTTGTTCAAATATTGTTCCTATGTGCTTTTAATAGACATTCCATCGTCACCACGCATTCTATACATATCTTGGACCTATCTATCCTTTTTTGAACCCCCGCCCATACCCTCCCTCGAAACAAGCATTAAATTAGTACTGATGAGGGTCAGTTTCCAAGTTCCCTTCCAAAGATCAATGCATCGACCAGCTCTTCACTGTTAGCCAGGCGTGCAGCCTTGGGCACGCGTCCAATCACGCTGAACCCAAGCTTCTCCCAGATGCGGATGGAGGCTGGGTTGTTAGCGAAAACCAGGTTAAAGACGGAGTACGTGTATCCCTAGAAGCAAATTGAATGTCAGAGAGGATTCCTCTCCCGATGAATCTCGAAGCCACAGAAACATTCAAGTTCCAACTTACCAATTGAGGGGCGAATTCGAGATATGTTTCGCCCATGACTTGTCCAACACCCTTGCCGCGAGCTGCGTTGGTAGTGATGAATCCAGCATTGCAGATATGCGAGCAGCGGCCTAGTCAATTGGAACGTAGGTAGTTAGTCACTCAGTCAATTTCCACGGGACACAAGGTTCTTATGAATAGCTTCAAGTTCCAAGATTCATTCGAATCATCAATGTACGCAGTGACTCACCAGGATAATTCGGCTTAATATAAAACGTCCCCAAACAAACATCCTTCCACTCCCTGCCCTCTCTCAACCCATCCCCAACAGCAGCCCCCTCCTCATCCAGCACCGCCACGACTGCAAAGGTCCCAAACCAATAGTCCCGGAACTGATCCAGGGCCATGGCCTGTTCCATTGGATACGTCGCACCGCGCTCAATCTCGGCACTGAACTCAGCGTGCAAAAACGCGCTCAGGTCCGCGGGAAGACTGCCAGATCCCTTGGTAATGGGATACAAAGTCACGCCGGCATTTCCTGATTTGGGGAGAGTTGTTTGGCGCGGGGTGAGTGTTGATGCGGCGCTTGTGTGTGCTGCGGGTGGTGGGATGCGGGTGGAGGGGTCTTCCAGTAGAGCAGGCATTTTGAGAAAATAACAGTACTGTTGATTTGGGGGAAGTTGGGTTTTGAGAGTCTTTTTGGAACTTGAAGCTTTGTATGGGTTTTTTTGTGGGATATCCGGCTTGATATGTAGGTAGTTTGGGCTTGGGAATTCCGATTTCGGGGTTGCGGGGCGTTATGTAAGTGTCATTCCGCCCTTTGCTTGACATCTTCGGTTTCTAGATTGGAATGGAGATCCATGGATGGCTATAGACAGATTAAATTTAGGGCTTGTATACCTAGGTATGAGAGCGGTTTTCGTTCAATTTCAAGTTGTAGTTTAGTACTAGCAGCCCTGGAGTCTTGTTCCAAGGTGTTAAGTACTACTGGCATTTATATCTTCCACGACGAGTAGTACTACTGTGCGAGCTACCTAGGTAGATACAGCATGATTTATACTATAGAATACATCGCTACTACTAGTAATACACAAGAGTGAAAAGAGGCGCGCACTCAAATCAAACATGCAGGTATGGTATATGTACAAGGCCTGGAGAGACATCGAGAGATGCCCGCATCTCCCAGCACCGAGGAGTTGCCAATGACAAGGCAATTTATTGCTTCTCACCTTCACCATCATTCTCCGGGCTGCGAATAGCCTGCATCAGTTCAAATAACTGTCCAAGTTGTTGATCTTTCATATCCATTAGCAAACCGAGTCCAAATGTTTTTTGCGAGAGACATTATGGGAAGATACCGCTCAACTTGTCCAGCTTCGACTTATCTAACTTCTCCCCGGTCCAATTATCGCCTTCAAGCTTCTGAGCATAGAGTTGCCACTCGGTCAAGAACCCGATCTGCCATTGCCATTGTCAGCTGTGCCATGCTCTCCAACCCAATTCCTTCGCACCAATCGATGCGCAACGTTATTTCCCCAACCCAGGATTGAGACATACAATGTGTAGCGGGTTCTCCGCAGTTCTATGTGCTCGAAACTCCTTCTTCAAATAGGAATCACCCAGGACGCGCATTTCGGGGTCCAGTTTGCGATGGACGCGGAGGAGCCGGCGGTACAGCTGCAGCGGTGGGAGGAGTGCGAGAGCCTCGGTGAGACTGGACTTGGAGCCAATCGAGGACGGCGTGGCCATGAGGAGACGGTGAGCGAGACGCATGGCGAGAGCAAGGATTCAAGTCGAGTTACTGGTCCTGAAGAGGGCGATTGGCGCATGACATAATTGTTCTGGAGGCCGCGGTTCTTATTTTGGGCCGAAAAAGGCGGCGAGGCCATCACCGCCCGCGCGCTTTTCCGCTTCTGCGCCAATCGCATCGTATTGCAATTTTGAACCATTGGATCAACTTTCCATTATCTGCTTTCTATGCCGCGTTGAATAACTGGTTAAATCAATCTGAGGTATCTTGATTTACTAGATATCTAGCTTCATCTACAACTACACATATTGGGGCTGGTGTGTTTGAAGAGACAAGACCACATCGCGGGGCAGTCGGTTTTGCACACCAGGAAATCAAAGTACAAAAAGTACTTGACAAAATGCTTCCCACGCCAGACACTTCTCATGTCTCCTTTGACACCATTTACGAGCCCTCCGAAGACTCATATCTCTTTCTGGACACACTCGCATCAGCATCCGAGTCACAATGGCTATCAGACCGATTCCAAAAAGGCACCTCTAGTGCTGTGCCATTCGTTGTAGAGGCGGGTACAGGCTCTGGTGTCGTACTGGGGTTTGTTGCGGCGCAGTCGCAGAAGATATTCGGGCGTCAAGATATCCTCACCCTGGGAACAGACGTGAACCGCAATGCCTGCATGGCAACACGAGAAACCGTCTCTAGAGCGATCTCCACAGAACAATCAAGTTCAGAAACCACCGCGCTCAAGACTGTCCACATATCATCATTAACAGGAGACCTTTGCTCACCTCTTCGACCTGGAAGCGTTGACGTTCTTCTTTTCAACCCACCTTACGTTCCAACCGATGAGCTGCCACGCCTGCCAACGGCGTTAGAGAATGATCCCACGGCATTGAAAGGGATGTCAACCTCTGCCAGATTTGACCAAGACTCTTATTTTCTCTCGTTGACCTATGCGGGCGGCGCAGATGGAATGGAAACGACAAATCGATTGCTGGACTCAATCCCTGGCATTCTGTCGGACCGCGGAGTCGCATATGTGCTGCTTTGCAAGCAAAATCAACCCGAGGTGGTTAAAGAGCAAATTCGTGGCTGGGGCGGCTGGGACGCTGAGACGGTTGGTTCTAGCGGTATGCAAGCTGGCTGGGAAAAGTTAGTTATCGTGCGGATTTGGAGAAGCCAGAAACCTTAGCGGAAGGTTTGTTTTTGGAGAAAGATGCAGGACATCATGCACATTGTCATCTTTCCGCATTGCATCGGCACTTGGAGGAGCCGGAAAATTAGGATGTTGCTCTTGCATTCGAGATTTGGGGCAGACCATAAGATCTGAATGGTTGGTTGATCTGAACTGCATACTCGACAGGGAATAGCATCGACAGCGGTCTTGCTTTTTTTTTTTCACGCTAGGGGCATTTGGGTTTCCATAATATCTTATCCATTTCTTACGGAAGAAGATGGGTGATGGCGATGACCCCCAGCCTATCATTTTTGGCCCGTGAGACAAGCCACGCCTTTCCTCCAATGCAGGACCAACGCCCGGCTGTTCCACGGCAACCCCATCGGCAACTTCAAGACAGCATGAATGCGGCATTGTTTAGCGCCAAAATAGTAATACAGTTCGACCTGGGGCAACATTACGACCCACGAGGCTTTCTGTGCTCAGAACAGATCGTGCCCTCAAAAACTCGCCCCTTCTTGATGACGGTGAATGAAACCCCGAAACATCTCGGCCCCGGCGGCGGCCCCGACACGAGGGTATCTATTCCCAGCTGACTGGTAACAGCCCCAATAACGAAGGATGAGGCCAGCAATCAACAAACAAGAGATGAGTGATGAGGTTTGAAAATAACCCCCAAGGGGCCATCTGTTCTACGAATACGAATACTCCCTTAGCGAGGAGTGCAATGCCTATCAAAACCTACACCTCCGGAAGGAAATTCTTTTCCAAACGCCCACTCGTACTCCGTATTTCGGAGCAGTGAATTCAGTTTGAATAAGCGAATGATTTCACCTCCTCCAAGACCGCTCGAACTTTAATTGATTGTATCGATGATCTCTCCCGTTAGTCGGCAGCGGCGGGCGCCAGGAACACCCGACGCCATGGTTCATGGATATGACCCAAGTGGTAGTTGGTAGTACTAATGGTGTGATTTTACATCCGGAATTTCCCCGTTCAGCATTGGTTGTAGGGGTTTGTGATCAACAGTGGCGCCAAGTGCCATCGCCTAGCTGACCGCTTCGGGCATATGAGGAAGGCAGGCTGTCCCGAGCTTCGGTCCACAACATCTTGACCATACTCAAATAGGTATCCGGTGCGCCCAAGAAAGACCCTTAATATGTCATTACTACTCTGTACATACAAAATACGGAGGCGTACGGAGTAGACCCGGGGAAATCTTCAAAGCTTCCGATCGTCAGACGGGAGAGCCACTGGGGACCACTGGGCCCGCCGGAATCCTGTCATTTGACCGACCAACGTTTTAAAAATTAGAGAAAGGGGGAGATGTTGATGAACCTGACACTTTAGGAAACTACCAAGTGGAGCAGAGAACATACTGCTTCAAGTTCAAGTTCGCAACAGGGGAAATTAGGATTTCAGTTATGGGTACTCGGTACTCGGTACGTACGTACGAAGAAGAGTCTGACACACGAGGTGAACGAACGTGGAGCGTGGAGTTACACGCGTCAGCTGCAAGGTAAACTACGTAGACAGACCCTTCGGCTGTAAGTTCGTGCGGGAATAGACCGTAGGTAATTAATGAGGACAAATCGGGGTTGAGCAAGGTCCAATGAAAATCACCGATTAATTATCCCTAAGCCGTAGCCTCCCCCACCGGCCTGACTCGTGGATCAATAAGGCTGCTGCCGTGCTTCCTGTTCGAGCTAGCCCTGAACTGTTTTGATCCATTTTATTTTTATTTTTATTTTGGCGCGGAGTGTGGCCGACTTACTCCGGGCAAAGAAGATTGTAACTTTCGGGATTTGCTACTCGTATGCTGATTCGACCGAACATACTAGTTGCTGTATGTTTACATGAAAAATTACTAGATGAAAGACTAATTTCTTAATCTCCAAATCTTGTGTTGAAACGCTTAACCGATTTAATGGTTTAAGTTAAACATGTTCTCAGCGGAAGTTAATTAGGGACGATATCTTTGTTGATCCTGAAACTTTGGCATTGCTCTTGTCTCCGAACATTCCCCGGGGGGAAAAGGGATGCCAGTTCAAGTTCGCTCGATTAAGACAAGAAGGCCCACAGCGCTTGTCTCATGACAGGGTCCATTTCTCCTGGGATCTCTGACCCGATCGACCAACCATTGCTCTTTTGACTTATTTTCCCGGAAAATTGTCTTGGCACTTGCGACGACCATGCAGTGAGTACTCCGTACATGTTGGATTTGGATAAGGGAAGGCTTGGGATAAACATATTAAATCATGTTCTGGATGACCGGACCTCGGAAGTAACGGGTGAGATCTAGATCTCTCCTCAATTCGAGCTCAACGAACCCCCGGAAAGGAAAAGCTGTAGCCTTGTAGTTCCAGGTATGTCGGAAATTCGGAACTTGAAGATCCAGACATGTCTATGTATGTACTAACGAAGCTGGGATTGGGGTAGGGAGTGTGCACTTAGTATCTAATTTTGATTAAACTTGTGTCCACCGTTCCACATAGTTTCTTTTCAAACATTGGCCTAATCTATCAGATTCCGCCCCTACCGCCAGAGTGCGTCCCCGAACTGGAACCCGGCCCCATTTGATCCAGAATAGGTTCTTGTCTAGACCATGAACGATTTTCTGGCCTCCAATATCTGGTTGCAACGAGATCAAGTCTGATATCATTGCGATCATATTGATGGTATATAAAGAGAACACATTTGAATATACTCTGTACTCCATACTCCTCTAAGGATTACTCCGCACAGGACACGGGATTGGAATAATCTACTGCTGAGCAGCATCCGGTGGTAAATGGTGCGGCGCAGATCGAGGTAACCTAAGAGGTGGTAGGATTTCCTATAGCCAATAGACTGAAAATATCACCACAAGCTATGCGAGAATGGCTTAAAACATGTGATGTGTTGATCATCGCCAAGGATCGGTCTGGGCAACCGCCAGGCCCCATTCGCCACACTAATGCAGGCTTGTTAATCCGGCAGTACGTGGCCGGGGGCCAAAACTGACAGGTATTGCTAGGATAGTTCCTTACATACAGAGTAGAGATCTACGGAAAGGGAGAGGGAGATCAACGGCCTTCCAGCAATCCTGTATGTGATCGAAAGATGGAAGATCGTTTATGGAACGGTAGATCAAGAAATATGCCTTTTCCGGTCGGAAGACACTATTTGCGAGACCCGTGGACACCTGTGCATGCAAAAAGAAAGCAAAAATTGCAAGATCCGCCAGTATATATTGATATCTGGAGAGAGGGGGGCTTTGGGCCCGGACCGCTCGATACTAATAGATCGAGTATTGCGAGTAGCAAATCCCGGATTCCAATGGCTGAAAGGGATGCCGTGGCGAGTTTCGAAGATCTGCGAAGATGGGGCCGATTAGTAGGCAACTACGTATACAATATTGGGGGCTTAAAAGGGTGTCAAGACGCGAGAGACTCGAAGAATACGGAGTTCGGTTGAGATTTGGGAGGCTTGGGAGATGGCATTGTCCAAGCGAACGGACCTGACCCAAGCCAACCTGCTCCTGGCCCCTGCATTTGCCCGAGTAAGTCGATGGCTTGCAAGGACGGTAAGTCCAGCTATCATGGTATCCTGATGCACTAGGTCCGGGGTTCCATCTCGACCTTAGTTCGTACAGGCCTACCACGGACAGTCTTCGTTTTGAGCTTGCCAGGGGGTGAAATTTTGATCAAAATTACCTGCATCTTGAAGTCATAAGAAGTCTCAACCTAGCAAGCCTCCTCGATTAGATAGACCAAACCTAAGCTTATCACAGTAAGAGAAGCTGCAGGCAAGACAAGAAGCAAATATCGAAGCAGTGAAGGATTGATACTCTTAGTAAATAATGTATCTTAGAAACCTCAGAACATTATAGGGAGTACCAGATACTCGAAATATCATAATTAGCTGTCCCATCGATAGTCCATACTGTCCCCTGTTTCCAATATTAGACACTTTTGGAAGACACTAGCCACTCTGGTCTACGGAGTTCAAAGGAAGGAATTTAATTTGACCCTTACCCCTTTGAAGCTCTCTCGACCCACAGGATTTGACAATCACGAAGTGCCATATGATCATTCGCCAGTCCTGACCTTAGTGCGCGTGTTGGACTCCGTGCATTGCACTGCACCTTATATACCGGGTACGACGCCCAGCGAATCAGATGTCACTTTATAGACAGCTCTAGCAAAGAAATAGGATGAGGTCAACACACACAATTGGGATATTTTAAATAATAGAAGTGTTGCTTTTTCTTTCACACACCCAATTGAAAGAAGCCCCAGGGTAACAAATGACATCCCGTGATCATGCAAAGTGAAAAAGGAACCAGATACTTTGAAGGAAGAAACAAACGCCAGTCTGTACTCTCAGAAAGAATAAGAAGAGAAAAAAAAAGATCTAGAAGCCACGTCCCCGCCCACGGCCACGGCCACCGCCGCGGCCTCGGCCTCCACCACCTCGAGGGCCACCACGGCCGCCACGCCCACCACGGTCAGCCTCCTTGCGAGCCTTATTCTTGGGCTTGGGAGCGTCGTCGACTAGGAGTGTGTCCAGCGGCAAGCTGTCGGGAAGAATGTAGTAACGAATGGTAGAGCCACGAATGTTGATAGTGTCGAGAGAGATGGGGTCACGGCCCTTGGGGGTCATCTTGACGGTCCGAAGCGAGGTGTTCATCTGCGGGGAGACTGAAGTGATGGTGCCGTGAAGGATTGTGCCTATGGGAAGTCTTGATGTCAGCAAATCAAGCTTCTTCTTCAATTGGCGGTGGACAGAAAGCCCGAAACTGTTCAGATATGTCGCGAGGTCGGGGTCACGCAGAGTTGGTGGTCTGCACATACCATTCTTGAGCTCGATAGTCACCGTCTCATTGGCGCACTTCATCAAAAAACTATAAGGTTGGTCAGTTAGCAGCTCCGACGGAAAAAGGATGGTCGCGAATTCCAGCGCGCATGTCGTGGGGACGGCACGCGGGCTCGAATGACGACGCATGCCACGTACCGGACGAGCTTCATGGTGGCGATTTATGCACACGAGTATATTAGAAGGTCGAAGATAGCACGTAGCAGCTCACAGAGTTGGTGGGGGATGTCCGTGTGGCAGACGCGGATATCGATGCTGTCCGCCGTGCAGAGTCGGCGGTGCTCACGTGACGCAGCACCAATCTAGTCACGTGATATTTACAGGGTTCGCCAGCAAGCCAGTCAACTGGTCAACTGGAATGATCAGCCAACTTCTTGACTTTGCCACAGGTCATCCCGCGGGATTTCCAATTGCTTGGTCCAACGACATGGTTAGGTCCGATTTCCACGTACGCAGCATGCCCTTAAAATAGGCAGATCGGCCAAATGCAAGCGCAAAACGAGATGGTTTCTTCAACAGCGCTCGCAGAAACTCGTCTTTACCTCTCTATACACCCCATGGCCTATCTACGGTCTCGCTGGATTCATATCAACTCAAATAGGCGACCTTACACGGCTGATCGGTTGTCTTTGTGGAGCTCCATTGCCACCTACAACTGCCGTTTGATACTAGTTCTACTCTCTGCACTGTGTTTACGTGGAAACGATCACCGGTATCCACCTGGAATCTCCTAGGGCTGGCAGGCAGAAATATAACCCAGTCCCGGCGTCACTAGCCTGTCAATGGATCTATATACATGCTGAGGTCAACATAACGACTTGGATGCATACAAGGCTATATACCAAACTGGTAACGGGGTCTCATAGACTGGCTCGATTCGGTTAGTTCCACTTTTATAGGTTCGGCGGGCCCACGGAGGCGGACGGGCAGATCCAGTGCGGGCGTTGACCGATGTGTCAGTTTGCATAAGCCTACTCCGTACTATGGATGGGTTTTGAGAAAGGAGAAAGCTGGATGCATTTCAGTTCGGTTCCTACTATGTATAGCGCCAAGACTATAATGCCGATATGGCTTGCCAGCCTCGGCCTTAGGCAAATCGGTATCGACAATTCCATCCCCGGGGCGTTGATGCACCTAAAGCGATTGGCTTTGCAGGTCGGAAAGAACCGCACGAGTGATTCAACGGGGTGAGCACGGAGACGGGGGTGTGCCATGCACAGAAACAGGCCAAAAAAGCACCGCGCGGTCGAGGGGATCCTTCTATGTGGAGAGCATCCGGTCGATCGCGAGTCATCCCTGGAGCCCGCATCCCCGGAACCATTCCTGTTCATGACAAATCTATCCATCCTTAACGCTAAGGCGGCTTCATCTGTTCGCTACGTCGAACTTGACTACTTAAAGGCCCTTCTTTTCGGTCATTGACTCGCTACCGGCACTTTGGGTATCTCTGACCTGGCTCCACTCGTCGGCGTTACACGGCTTAACGCAACAAACACATGGCTCATTGTCTAAGGAGCGCCAGGGCTAAAAGGGCCGTGGCTTTACCCTTATCCCAAGATGTTGATGCCTTGTGACTTGGTCAAGGCTGGATCTACTGAGATCCGGAACCAAACACCGAATAGCCATCAAACACCGAATAGCCAGCCAGCAACAAACTCAAGACATGCCCGGAGATGCAGCTCTTTTACGCACCATCATGTATTCTCGGCGATCACAAGCTTCTTATCCGTGAAAATTGCTAATTCCAGCTTTGAGACATAGCCCGATTGGCTTTGGACAAGTTCCCAAGACTCCGCCACCAACGCCTAGGGCATAGTTCTGATCATCCCGGGCCCCAATATTTCTAACGGCGCGTTCGTGTGGAATGGGGCCAGAGAATTGGAAATGAAGGACCGAAACACTCTGCCCGAAAAAAGTCTTACTACCAGATTTTCCCATTCCCAAAAGGGGGTTTCCAAATCCAGGCTTGGCTAGTTTAAATTTAATTTAAATTTATTATTATGGTTTTATTATTTTACTTCTTATGTTCCGTCCATCTTTCTTTTTTTTTCAATTTCCTTTTCTATTTTTCCATTTTTTACCAATTTAGATTCCTTTTGATGGATCATCGAATGACGGCCTGTCTCCGGTACGACTAACTTTTTATCACAGAATTACCAGCCACGGCGTCTCGGCCCCCAAACTCCTATGGGGCGCCCCCATTTGCTCTTTGGGGCTAAAAATCCACTTTACCCAGACCCAAAGCTTTCCCCTATGTTGCTCAAGGATCAATACGCCCTGGCCCCAGATCCAATTTCTTTCGAGCTTCTTACCAGCTATGGGTAGGGCTTGGTCTGACAACGGACAGTCCGATGTCACTTGTGGGGGCTTGAAAAATACCTTCTCCACTATACATGTAAAGCCCTTGTTTTTGCTTGCTCTCGTGCACCGCTCCACAGGTCGAAGATCAGTTGGATCTTACGGTCCTTTTTCGTTCCCGCGCTATATCATATAGGCATGATTACAGCATATTACAGCATACGTGCGTAGAAAGATTGCTATAAAGGGTTAATGAGTCGGGATTTACACCAACCCAAGTGCGTTTCAAGTGCCACTTCTTCGCCCGCGAACACCCCCATTGGTAGAGACGTTCTAGAAGTCCTGCTATGGTGTTGGCTCTGGTGGAACCGGGTTGGAAAAAGGTACCCAACTGGATATTCGATCGATTGATTGCGGGGACTCTTTTGTAACGCCCTGCCCATCTTGTTTGAAGATTTATTTTAAACACTCATCGGCGCGCCCGTACGTCGCCCGATTGACATTTTCCAAGAATCAAAAACCTTAGGCCCGCCAGATATTTGGCAGACTTGCGACCACTGTACGTTCTCCTTCAAATCCCGCCCCTCCTTCCTATCACTGTCACTTAATCACGCCTCCCCCTATAATTTCTGGCCCCATTGGCCCCCATCGTGTGTCCAGTGTAGTCTAGAGTGGTCTATGACCCTTATGAACTCCTCATGTCGTTCGAAGATTCTTGCTCATCAGATTCTTCAATTCACCCCAGGAACCAAGAAGACCAGCCTAAAGAATCAGCCTCGCAGTTAAACGCTCAATTTATCTCTTTAATCGAGTCAGCGCAGGCGCAAAGCTACCAACAAGGATTCCCAACCCAAACGGCGACTTGGACATTTAATGCGCCAGCGCCAGCGGTAGAAAACCACTCAGAGTCAACGCAAAACTTTTCAAACTCTCTACAAAGCCCCCATAATTCAACGGCTTCGCTTGAATCGAGCACCAATATCCCATCTTCTATCCTGCATTCCGATACACCACTCTCTGGACAGAGTGTTCAGCCCTCTTTTGACAGTGTTGGCTGTGAAGAACAATTGACTGATGACCAAGGAAGGTAAGTTATATTTCTCTAACTCCCTCCTCTTCGAGCTAGAATACATTTATTGACTGGATCTGCTAAACCATCAGCGGCCTTGGTATAACATCATACCCTATGTCCGTAGCATCAGATACATACTTCGCTGGCCCAATGCAGCCTCACTCTCAACGTAAGACGACAGGCCTGTCTTCCCCAGGAAAATTTGAATCGGAGAGGAGGCATGATTTCGAAAGAAGCTCAAGTTGAGACTGACAAGCCACTACTAGATTATGTCTGGGCCAATCGCCCATTTCAACCGCTTCAATCGCCTCCAGGGAACATGAATCAACAGTTCCCGCCTCCACAGCCATATCCCCAAACTGGATACCCAGTCGGTTATAGCGGCCAGGCCGGCGGGCCTGTCCCTAATTACCACCAAGAGCTCCCGACACCATCACCATACCTTTCCACGGCGCCTGGTAGCGCTCAACGACAACCTCAATCTCGCAGGTGCGCAAAGCCCCTGAAAACACAGAGGAAATCCACAGGATGACTACTAGGGAAACGAGCTGACTTATGTCTTAGCCCATCCATACCTCGACCCTTTCCTCCTCATTCAGCTGCTGGGCACATGCCCGATCAACCTCTCATGACCTCGTAAGTTCGAAGTCTTCCCGCAACATGTTGCTGAGCTTCATCTGGCTTGCATCATGCAGGGAAAACAGACTAACAGTTCTGTCCGCAGTTCTCCCCCTTATAATATGATGGGTCAGCCTCCATACTATCATCTTCCGGAAGCACCACCAGTTCCGTGCGTAGACCCACCAGGCCCTATGATATACTCTATACTAACCGACATAATTAGATCCTCTCACCATTCCTCGATTAGCTCTCACACATCTTCAATGATGCACGATCCCATATATTCCCACGACTCGGCGAACACCGCGTCAAGCAAAGAACAGCAGCTTCATGTTTCGAGCTCGCGACCAAGACCGCAGTGCTGGGATCACGGCTGTAATGGTCGGGAGTTCTCGACATTTAGTAATCTACTTCGACACCAGCGCGAAAAGTCCGGTGTGGTCGCCAAGGCAGAGTGTTCTGTGTGCGGAGCTGTATTCACACGCACGACGGCGCGCAATATCCATGTTGCGCAGGGCAAATGTAAAGGCGCGGGAAGAGACTCGATGACTGAGTGAGTCGACATTGTATATTGGTCTACTGACCCCACTGGCTGGGCCTACCAAAATAGAAATCTTCTTGTTAAAATATTGGGTAATACTATACATACTACAACTTGGTATAGATGAAAAGCTTCTATATTTGCATTAGTACTACCTAGGTACTAGTATTTCCTTTTCAATCCTCAAGTTTTCACCTGAACAGGTAATCTAAACCAAAGGAAACTGAAACAGATGCCTACTAGTAGGTACCAATATGAAATACTACAGAGACCTAAGGTTTCCTTCGCAAACACCTAAGTATGCAGACTCTGCATTAGTAGTACTTTTACTACATATTTTTAAAAGCCGACTGGTACTACCTAGTACTAGGTAATAGTTATCCGACTCGGACGAGCTTGAGCGCATGCTCCAGGTCAACTAGAGGGTAATTCTGTTATTCGCCGCCGAGACTCGGACTTGGGTACTTGGGTAACAGATCTTAAACCCACTACTAGTAGCAGTTTTAATCCAGCTGCTATCATTCAAATATCATCACATACCTAGTAGGTACTAGTATTATCCTACTAGCTTACTATATGGCTGTTCTAGATAGTAGGTATATACCTAGGTACCTAGTATTTCAAGAACTTGAAGTCAGATGGGATGATCTGCCCAGGAATTTATTACTAGTATGGGAAAATATCTATCTAGACAGGTCCACTGTTTCAGCATGACAGAGGTGTAGTACTAGTAGTAGTGCGTCGACAAAACCTTGGAAACCTGAGAACCTACCTGAAGAACTATATTGGCTGTCAATGTCTCAGCCTCAATTTTAAACCGCTGGCGAACAGCACGCCTATGTTCGTGTTGGCTCGTATTCCAGTGCCAAGATCGCGCAATGTGTTCCAAGGTAGTGAGTGACCCCACAAATGAAAATCTATTCGAGTGGGGAAGGGGTCAAGTTACTTCTAGCCATGAGCTAGAAGCTTACACTGACAAGTCCTTCGTATCCAAATATCCATGTCTGAGACCAGCATTGGATCAAGTGACCGCCAGTGGTCAGGCCCGATTTCAAGTTTTGAATTTCCCACCTGGGCAGGCGTGGGCTGAGTTCACGTTGTTGAGCGAAATAATAGTAGTAGTATATAAGCCCGGGAGGAGGGGTTTGCCAGTGGAATTAGTTATCAAGGTCGCTCAATTTTCAAGGCTGAACTTGAACTTGAAGCCCTATTCCAACAAGTTCAAGTTCGTGACGATCCTTTTCTATCACACCTAACTTCTACCAGTAGTAGTGCAAGTACATTGACCATGCACTTGTTCAAGGTACTAGCTGTTTTTTCTTTTACCAGTCTAAGCAGTAAGTAGTATCTATTCTGACCCCTGAATAGTAGCTGGCTAAATTTTCGCAGCGGCAAAATGTGCACCGGGATGTGGCGACAGTGATGCGTGTATTGGGACTGAATACTGCACCACTGCGACCTTCACAACGCCCAGCTCGACTGTTCTGACGACATGCGTGCCCACAGCAACCTGTCTTGGGGTGTACGGTAAGTATCTGAACTAGAACCGATAGGCAAAGGCGAAAGTGTTAATTGATGTTAGCCCAATGTGATTTTGGGAGTGGCATGGGCTGTTGCTCGGGATATTGTGCGGCGACCAGATGTCGACCCACCGATGAAAAGTGGCCTAGCTGTAATGAGGATGATGGGCCATGTCTGGCTGATGAGAATTGTTGTTATGGAAATAAGTGCGTTGAGGGTCTTTGTAAGAGAGGGGTGCAGTAGCCTCACGGTAACCGGAAATCATTGTCTTGTATTTGTGTTGGGCGAATACTATATTCCAAGGTTCAAGTTAGTAAGTAGTCGGCACGGATTTTAATGCACTCCCTGTCCACTCAATAGTGTCCTGGCTTTACTCATTACTAGATTGAATACCTACTACTAGTATGGAGTAAGAGTGGAGTATTTCTAATTATCAATATCTGCTCAAGGTATTAATGACACGTTCAAGATAAAGTCCAATTTACTTAATAATTGGAACGAAACAATATTAGTATAAAATAACCTCAAGTAGTCCTAGTATCAAAACCATGGAATCCGTTTCTAATAGCCTCCACAATCGTCCCCACTCTAGCTGGGTCCACAGCCCTGAAGAGCACTGGCAATACATATACATACTAGTTAGTATTCTTAGCCGGCAGAGTGACCCTAGCACTGAATAGATACTGGTACCTAGGTACAGTTTACATTTCCTATAAATATTTTTGAATATGATCTAATCATACCCAGACTAGTACTAGTAAGTACTTCGTGCCTTCATCCAATTGGTCCACTCCGGGCCACGTGATGCCTGAGGCAGGAACGTGACTCAACGCAGTCAAGTGAAGTCAACTGCGCCGCAGTGACTCGGAACTTGTCAACCACCTCATTTTGCGCAAGAATGCCGTTTGTCCTCCAATTACATCGCTGGCATATATCTGGATATCGAATACCTTTACATATCTTATTACCCGTCTGAGGTTGTGAAAAAAAATCTTAAATTACATCCGTGATTGACCGAGTGCTGCCATGGCATCCATATTCACCTACGACCCTGACCCTCCCCGGGTTTCCTCCCCGTGGTCGACTTCTGGGTCATCGACACCCCAGATCACCGCAGCCAGTGGAAGAGGACTATCAATACGGACGAAATCCAGTACAGCTCTGGATCATGCAGAAGCAGACTTCCTGTCCGACTATGGAATCACCAAATTAGAGCCCGAACCCCAAGAGGGTCCTACTGAGTACAAGTTGCATCTGCTACTCCGCCCGCGACGGCCATATATTTCCATGTCAACAGGCCACGTGGTCGCAGGCTCTTATCATTGTCGTACGGCCGTTGGGAGCCAGCAACCACCTTCACAGGCGCCATCTCCACTCCAGTATGCGACTACCCCGCGGCCCATGCAAGCGAAGTCCAGCCAGAGTCGCCAGCAACGGCTGCAAGGGCTCACAACTCAATTACTATGGCGATTGCAGCAGTCATCGCCATTTCATTCATCTACTACTGCAAGTCTTGTTGTTCCAGTCCTTCCAGAGACGACACTGCCTACCAAGCCCGCTCGATTGCTACCTGGCCTTGAAGAAAGCCAAGGCGCTTTGTATGAGATTGGAGTTGCCGATGATGGAACCTTTGTGGGCCTCACTCAAGGTGAACTTGATGAGAGTATAATAAATCTACAAGCCATGGCTGCGAGTCTCGGGTGCAAGGTGGAGATCCTCCGCAGGGTTCTTGTCGGGAAATGCGAGTGGGCAGAAGACTGCTCAACCACGCCGCAAGAATCAGCCCAAACCCAAAAGGAAGACCTCTGGGTTGCAGAAGCTCTCGTCAGCCCCGATCTTGATTTTTACAACCTCTCCCCGGCCCTGACAAGGAAGAATACCGACGATACATCAAAGGCAGTGCCTGTGGCCAATTCCGTCTTGGAAGAGGAATCTTCACATACCGAGCAAATTCGAATATCAATAGCGGGACCTAGTACAGCGGGAAAGTCCTCATTACTGGGAACATTGACCTCTTCTACTCTCGACAACGGCAGAGGTTCAAGTCGACTAAGTCTACTCAAGCATCGACACGAGATATCATCGGGAATTACCAGTTCCGTGGCACAGGAGCTCATTGGATATGCAGCAGATGAACCGCCCGCTGTGATAAATTATGCGTCTGGGAATGTGGCAGCATGGAATGATATCCATGCTGCTTCGCGCGGTGGTCGCCTGGCTTTCGTCTCTGACCTTCCAGGATCCGTGCGATACATGAAATCTACATTACGGGGGCTAGTCAGCTGGGCGCCACACTATGTGTTGCTCTGTATTCCAGCGAACTGCGGAGCAGAGACAACAGAGGCTGAAGCGGGCACCGAACAAGTTTCCGAAATCGACCTCTGCCTTGCCTATCTCACTCTATGCTTAAAGCTCGAGGTCCCCGTGCTAATCGTCATCACGAAACTTGACGTGGCATCTCGAACTGGTCTTCGGGAGAATCTCGCCAAAGTTTTGTCGGCCCTGAAGACCGCAGGATGCAAGCCTGCAGTACTACCGGCAACGCCTGCAGCCGACAAACCCTTCGATTTACATCAAGTTAGCACTGCGGACCGGGCCGAGGTCCAAAAGGTCATCAAAGCCTCAAATGGAGATTGGCCTCACACAGTACCAATAATCCTCTCCAGTGCCGTGGATGGCACCGGGATTGGCAAACTGCATGCCTTCATGCGCTACTTACCCATTCCCGAACGTCCGCCTCAAAGAACACACCGTCTCTCCGAACCCACGGCCACAAAGCAAACAAAAGCCAACTTCTTCGACGTGGACGAAGTCTTCGCCATTCCCCCATCAAAGGTGTACTCAGTATCCACCGATAAGGGCAACGAGAGTAGGGGAATGGTACTATGCGGTCTAGTCCGACACGGCAGCATCGCCATCGGTGACGAAATGACCCTAGGCCCAATCCTAGTCGACACAACCGCGGACAACGAAAAGGAACCAACGCCCCTCAGTCTTCTCTCCCGTAGCAGCGGGCCCGGACCATCGGCCGGATTCCCAGCCTCATTCGCAGCAAGCGTTCCAGCCAAGGACCCCAGCGCCCAGGCGAAATGGCAACGCGTTCGAGTAGTCAGCGTGCGCGACCTCCGACTCCCCGTCCACAGACTCAAACAGGATCAGGTCGGAACTATTGGAATCGAGGTCCTCGCCTCGCCTCCCGAGGAAGGCAATATGCCTCGCATTAGCCGAATCCGCAAGGGAATGGTCTTGACGGATTTTCACCCGGCAGGCGATTCGTTCCTCCCCCGGCCCCCTTCGACCTTGTCCCTGCCCTTTCACACTGGATTCACGGCAACGTTCCCGGCCTCTGCATTCTCGGCGCCGAGCTCGCCGCCGCTGTTACTGGGCGGTAATGCTATCGCATATATCGCCAATATTAGGACGACGGTCCGGGTAGTGAGTATGGCGTTGGCCGGTGCGAATGACGAACTTGTCTCGGAACCTCCATCGCCGTCAGAGCCTGAATTTTTCTCCTTTGATGGGGATAACTCACCCTCCCCGGGACAGGAGAAGGCTGATGGTGGTGGTTCTCAAGTGAATGGTGCGAATGGGATTCGTCGACGGCAATCCGCGACAGATATTAGCAAAGTTGTCCCAAATCATGCCACGGGGAATGGTGTCGATGGAAAGGACGGCACGTCTGTGCCATCTGAGACACTGCATGAAGATGTCAAGATTACCTTTGCTCTTGTCACGTCTGTGGAGTGGATTGAACTTGGTTCAAGGGTTTTGGTCATGCCTGGTATCACGATGGGACCGTCGTCAGGTGTTGGGATGTCGACTCCGGCGTCTGGGGCTGCGGCCGTTCCTGCTATGTCGGGACTGGAAGGGTTTGTTGGTACTGTGTGTGAGGTTATTCCTTGGGGGGGCCTCCGGTGAGAATTAGAGTAGAAGTTGATGTGCATTTTGATCTTAGATCTTTTGGTGGCTTCCAAGTTGGTTCATTTTGTATTGAGCGAGGCTTGCATTTGTCTTTTACTACATCTTGAATTGGATTATTATCATCGGATATTCTATAATGCCGTGTTCGACGGTCGATCCAAGTACGTTGGGGTTGTAGATTGAAAGCAATTGACTTAGTGGATATTCTAAATTTCCCTCAAAAGTGTACTAAGAGGAAGCCAGAAGCCATCTCCTATGGCCCTTTCTTTGCTCCAACAAAAGAGGAAAATAGAAAAAGTCAAAGAACGATGTGCATGTCACCACATCCCGAATATTCTCTAGATTGAGTAGAAACAACACATCGATACATAAATAAGAGCAGTGGTTGCTCCTGTACCTGATTCCGAACATTGCTGCCATTTTTGGCAGACAGGCGGCCGTGATGGTCGCACAAGTAATCTCTCTCCTCCGGATTCATCCTGTGAGGAGAATTTTCTTATCATGAGCCACACAATATCATCTCACCCTGGGGGTATTTGCATGGAAGTGTAAATCAGGATATAGATAACATCTAAATGTCACCTATGACCCGATACCGTAAAAAAAGGAACAAATTCGACAAGCAAGTATCGTCGTATCAACGCAAACCCGATCTTGAAAGGGTCAAGTTGAGTTGTGAAGTCGAGCAAATCTATCCGCCTTTGCGCTGATCCCGAGCAAATGTACTAGTTGATCCGATAGTGGCGCTAGCATTCCGAAGCTCGATCTTTTTCCGTTCCATCTCGAGCTATTTACCCAATTCCGTTAGCCTATGTCCCGTTGAAAGAGTCACCGCCATCTCGAAATATTGCAATATATTTGACTTACCACCTTGCGAACTCGAGCGAGAGCAGCCGTATCACCCTCGACCAGTGGGCGGCAATCGTCCACGCGATAGGGAGTGGCAATGGTAACGGCGTCCGCAACAACAATGTTGGAAGAATCCCAACGAGCAGGCATTGTTCGGCTGAAAGCGTCGAAGATCTCCTGTGCTTCACGGGTGACACCCTTACCCCGACGCGCCTCACGATCCATCGCATCACCAATGGCCTTGGCCTCGCGCGACTTCAGGGCACGGGGATCGAGGGGCTGAATGGGCGGTTGGGCATCGGTGAAGGAGGGGGACTCGGAGGAATTCGAAGAGATGAGAGTGAGGAGCTGGAATGACTGAATGCGAGATACAGGGATGACATGATAGTCTCCATTCTGGGCCTGTTTGGGGTCTGTGGGCGAGGGAGAGGGGTTGGTGTTGATGGCGACCAGGTTCGTGATCGGGCATGCTGTGAAGAGCACACCCTCAAAGGTAGAGGGCGTAGGTGAGGCTGTTGTGATGCGGACACTGGTAAAGAAGAAGGTATGGTCAGCTCCGGAGCAAACACGAGACAATGGAAGATGCATGATCAATGAACATGGGGATCTGGACAGTCTGGCTTGTGCCAGCGCAGCATCTGGTAACGAGGTCGCACTAACCGAGCACCGATTGCGCCGCTCAAAGCAGTCTCCATGGGTACCATAGCAGTTGCCATTCCGGACCCAGATGCACTACCCGATGAACCTTGAGAGCCTTTGGTACCGGAACCCTGGCGCTTATTCTCCGCCATGCGGCGTGTGACGGTGATTGCCGGGCGGTGTGATTCACCCAAGTCCACAACAGGAACAGGAAAGATTCAGGATATCCTTAGGTGAAAGAAGGTGGTGTGCCTTTTCACCTGTAATGACGAGCGACAGTGAGCTCAGCTCATGCGACGCAAACGGGTGTCAATTGGAGTTCTTGACCCAGCAGGAGCTCTCGACCAGACCTCCCGTATATAGCAAGGAAGTCTGCGGACGAGGGAATGATCCTTCTAGGATGGAAAGTTGGGTAATCCCAATTCCTTGGAAGAGAAGACGGCCGCGGGGGGGGGGAGGGAAAGAAAAGAAAGAAAAAAGACGAGAGCCCCCAAAAAGATGATGGAAGGGAGGCAGGAGGGGAGAGGCCCGATAAGATGGCAGGTGCGATGGGACGTTGCTTGGGATGCCCTGATTAGGCTTAGCGTGGTCTCCAGCGATTACCTCATATATGCCTGAGGCATGAATCTAGTCAGTCTAAATATACATTTACATCTACTACTGCTGCTACTGCTACTGCTACTGCTACTGCTACTATGCAACACTCTGTTGTAATAATAGTTCGTAACGTTCCATTCATGCGGCATCTAAATACATTGAACCCAATTTTTTACCCTTCTATCCCCAGCCTGGCATTTATGCCACGTAGGTCGAGGCAGACACATCACCGCCACGGCCGGTCCAGTTGACGTGAATGTCCTTGCCCTCGGGGAAGGTCTCGCTGGCGTGCTCGGGCTTGATGCGGAAGGTGTGAGCACCGAAGTAATCACGCTGAGCTTGCAGCAGGTTGGCGGGCAGGTCCTTGGTGCGGTAGCCGTCGTAGAAGCTGAGGGCAGTGCTGAAAGCGGGCAGAGGGATACCCCACAGAGCCGACTTGCTGACAACGTTTCTCCAGCCAGACTGGGCGGTGGTGATAGCCTTGGTGAAGAAATCGTCGAACAGAAGGTTCTCGAGGTCGGGGTTGTTGCGGTAGGCGTTGGTGATGTCCTTCAGGAAGACGGAGCGGATAATGCAACCACCGCGCCACATGAGGGCAATGGAGGGCTTGTTGAGCTTCCAGCCGTACTCCTTGGCGGCCTATTATCAGTAGTTAGCGTGATGTTCAGGATTTAAAAACGAGACGGACGAATCCGCCGGGAGGAGGTCTCACATTCTGAATGAGCATGAAGCCCTGGGCGTAGGAGATGATCTTGGAGGCGTACAGGGCCTGCTCGAGGTCATCGATGAAGGCGGCCTTGTCGCCCTCGAACTTGGGGGTGGGGCCACTGAGGACGGTGGCGGCAAGGGTACGCTCGTCCTTGAGAGCAGACAGGCAGCGGGAGAAGACGGCCTCGCCGATCAGAGTAACGGGCATGCCGAGGTCAAGAGCGTTGATGGCGGTCCACTTGCCGGTACCCTTCTGACCGGCTTTGTCGAGGATCTTCTCAACGAGGGGAGTTCCGTCGTTGTCGTTGTAGTAGAGGATATCGCGGGTGATCTCAATGAGGAAGGAGTCGAGAACACCAGTGTTCCACTTGGCGAAAACATCACCAATCTCCTTGCCAGAGAGGCCGAGACCACGCTTCAGGATATCGTAGGCCTGCAGAGATGATTAGCATTGCTGCAGAGCTGTGGGCGTAGTGGGGCAAAAGGAACGTACCTCGCAGATCAGCTGCATGTCACCGTACTCAATACCGTTGTGAACCATCTTGACGTAGTGACCAGCACCCTCGTCACCGACCCAGTCACAGCAAGCCTCACCGTCGCTCTTGGCAGAGATGCTTTGGAAGATATCCTTAATGTGGGGCCAGGCGGCCTCGTTACCACCGGGCATGATGGAAGGACCGTAACGGGCACCCTCCTCACCACCGGAGACACCACTGCCGACGAAGCTGATGCCCTTCTCATTGAGGTAGCGGGTACGGCGGTTGCTGTCGGGGTAGTGGGAGTTACCACCGTCAATGATGATATCGCCCTTCTCAAGGAAGGGGAGGAGGGACTCGATGAAGTCATCGACGGGCTTGCCGGCCATGACCAGGAGCATAATGCGACGGGGGCGCTTCAGCTTAGCGCAGAACTCCTGGATGGAGTGGGCACCGACGATAGACTTGCCTAGGGAATATCAGCATACCGGGTCTGGGGAGGAGCACCTTGCGGTCCCTCTCATAGAGCCTGAGAGGGAAGGGGTGGAAAGAATAGGCAATATTCAGAATGGCTTACCCTTGGCCTCGTTCTCGAGGAAACGGTCAACCTTGGAGGTGGTACGGTTGAACGCGCAAACGGTGAAGCCGTGGTCGGCAACGTTCAGAATCAGGTTCTGGCCCATGACGGCCAGACCGATGAGACCGAAATCAGCACTGGGAACATGATGCACCGGAGCGCCGACATTGATGCCGGCGAGACGGGCGCTATCGTCAGCGACATAATTCTCTTGTCAATAGCCGCGAAACCGCGAACGAAGGGGAAATGGGGGAAAATGTTGGTGGAGGGGGGACCCGAGTGATTCCGAAGATGGCGGAGCTCTGAGCTCCTGGCGTAGATAATGCGCTGGCATGAATTGCAGTCAGGCTGGTTATGCTGGACTGCAATTGCCGGGCCTCTCACAGGTCACAGAAGCTCGCGGACTCTTTGTCCGGGAATCCTCAGGGAAATCATCATGGTATAGAAGTTGACGATGGCGGGGGAGGGGGAGGAGAGGGGAGTAAAGGGAAGCTTGATGAAACTGGTGGGAGAGAATTGTATAGGGTAGGAGAGGATGAGAAGGAGATTAACTTACACAGCTTGATCAGCCATGATGAATGATGTGAAATGAGAAGTGGTGAGGAAAGCAAGAGGAGAGAGGGTTGAAGGAGGATAAAAGTATGGAGGGGAAAGAAGAGAAGTTGAGCCCAACCGGGTGACGGAGCAAGTCTTCCGTCATCTGGTGGGACACGGGGGGGGGTCACCACTCTGAACCAGGTTCATTTAGGTGACTTAGCTTATTGGGAGTGGAGGCGTAACCGTCGAAACTACAAGGCCATTACTTTGTCCGGTGTAGCGCCAAGTATCCGGTCCAGGACGACTCTGCTCCGGTGAGGGTCATCCCACTCGGGTTCTGTTCTCGGAGGTTGGGGGCAGCGATCATTATCCGACCCGATCAATACCCTCATCCTCGGGTCAATTGGGGGTTTTCAGTATTACAAGGAGTGTTACTTCATATATACTTCCTCTATACTAGAGATAATGATCAAACATGAATAGAATACCTCTTGCAGGATATGCTATAGTTCATATCCAAGGTACATGACTATACATGACTATACTAAATGACTGCATCAACGCGGGGCATGGAGGGGTAACTACCTAGGTAAGGTAGCTGCGGAACTTCAAAC